GCATGAATAGCTCTGTAAGATCTTTTTTAGACCAGCTACAGAAGAGGATGTCCCAATGAACAATGTAGAGGAAAGGCTCACAGCCTTTTAATGCACTTCAAGTCGAGTGATTTGATTCAGAACTGCGAAAGTTATTGATGTTTGAAGATTCCAAAATCCTGTCTTCAAAATCAAGGGCCAATTTAGGTATTGTTACAGGTGGGTTTTTGATGATTCTCAGCCTTTATTGTTAGTACATTAACCAATATCCGTGTGTAAAATACAAAAAAATACTCATCATGACGCCCCAACATCTAGGAACAAGGTGCATATTTTTTCAGATTTTTAGCCCTCTTCCTGTTGCCTCAGGACTTTTCTATGTCAGTAGTTTTCTTTACCGCCCGGTAAAGATTACATTTGGTGTAGTGTATCTTTTCTCGCTTTTCAAAGACCAGACTTTCCTTAGACCAGACCAGAACGGGTTTATACGTTCAAGACCAGACTTTGACTTGTATCTGACAGATACAAGGTTCCCCATCACAAAAAGAGTATGAAATGCAGTATAGGTATTTCCAAGGCTGCGGTACAGTCTACATTTTAATGAAAAATGAGTGGTGAAGCCTGATCCATAACATTTGGTTTTCCTCACACTTTATCTCGCCTATTTATAAGGTCTAGACATCATTCCCTTCCTCCCCCCGCCTATTCTTTCCATCTAATTTGTATTCATATATATCCTAACAATGCTATACTTCCAACGTCCTCAAAATTTCCTCACAATCTTCATCGCCATCTATCTCGCACAATTCTCTTTGACAGTAACAGCTGTTGAATGTATAATTGGATTTGGTCAACAAAAAGGAGGACCCGCTCGTAAGTCAAAACCTGATTTTAAACTTCCATTTTTTCTTTTTCAAAACATATGAGATTGTAGTTCTAAGATCTTTCTGATTTATTTCAAAACAATAACAGTTTGTAATGACAAAGACTTTGTTCAATGGAAATGTCAAACTCCTTCCTGTAGTAGAGATGGTCAGTTTTTCATTACTTTGTTCAAAATAACTATCACTTTGAAATAACACCGCATCTTTTTTACAGGTCACCTCTGGATACCTATGACTTCTTGTTTGTATAATGGTGTGGCGGGCTCTGGTGTGAGTAACCAACAATGCGCGAGTTATAATCTCCAATTCCAAGGCAATTACGGTGAGTATCTCATTCGGTTTCACTTCTTCCTATTCATACTTGCTCACAATACATATCATTTTTCCTCAACATTTATAGAATGTATCAATCCAGGTCGGAATCGGTACCTTTGCCCTTATACCCCCTCTAATGTTCCCTTCATTAGTAAGTCATCTCAATTTCTTTATCATCATGTTTTTCAATCACATATTAATCATCTCATGTCACACTTATCACACTTCCGATAGCATGTACAAGCTGTTACAAATGATGGCCAGATTCGGCCTCTCTTTTATGGTAGACAATATGTAGAAATAGTCCAATTTCTGGATTTGTATATATTATTAGGATCTTTGAATGCTAGATAAAATGTAAAATATGTAGTTCTTCAGTGACCAAAGTTTCATTCAAAAGTCAAGCTGGCTTTTTTGCCGAATGGAGTATACAGTATGTAAGATGTAAAAAGTGAGATAAGGATACAATTAATGAAGCACAATTAACAAAAGTTGGGATAAAGATTTATCAAGTTTTTGTTTCTACATCAATCAGAATCTTCAGAGATCTCAAGATCATTCAGTAATTGAAGGATTTCATCTTCAGGTTCATCTTCATCTTCGAGCTTCTTTTTCTGTTTGGTTTGACGAGTTTTACTCGTTAGTGTTGCTCGAGATTTCAAGGTGACATTGTTCATAAATGTGCATAGACGCTCCTCATCTATATCATCGAATGAGTTATGATCGAAATTTTGATAGGATTTAAGCTTGATCTGCTTATCAGGCTTCGGGATTGGTTTGGAGGGAGGTTTGAAGCTTGTATTCTTGTTTTTCAAAGGTTGAGTTGTTTTGTTACTTGATACGTCTTTAGATCTTATTTGAGCTTTGCTTTTTGTAGACTTCACACCCTTATCAAGAGCCAATGCAGTGATTTCATCTTCTCCTTCACTTTCGGCAGATAGGTCTTCATCCATTTCGTCGTGATAGTTTTCTTCTTCGCTTTGACTCGGTGTACCCTCGTCTTCAGATTCTGAATTACTTGGGGTAGCTTGTTTGCAATTGATGTGTTTACGTCGGTAACATCCTTTGATAAGATCACCCCAGCGAAGATTTGCTAAACAGCTAGGGCAACGACCTCTATCAGGCAAGATACGCTTCCTACACGCGATTTCAGGGTTGGCCGAGGGAGCGGCAAATTGGGTAGCACTGGAATTGAGAAAGTGACGAGAAAGGCAAATCAAGTGAGTTGAGATATAGCAGTCCGGCGCTGAGCAGTTGATATATGATAAAGAGTCCTATCTTGAAATCAGTTCAAGGAATCAAAATTTTCTATATGATCAATGGCGATATTGTGCTTACTTCAATATCCATCGTCTCATGACACAAATAGCATTTCAAAACACCTTCACATCTTGTTGTGATCTCTTCCATCTTCTCATAGTCTTCAAGAACTGCGTTGTCTATTAAACACGACATGATATCAGTATCTAACGAGAATACATGCATTATCCACACTTTGACGGACACGGATCCTAAGCATACATGAAAGATCATGAATGACGCGTACCATCATGAACATCAATGGATTTGATTTGATCTTCTGGGTCAGTAGTCAGACCTCTTCTGATCTTCCTTGCTCCATCTACACCTTCAACACGTAAGGAAACCTCTATCATAGTAATCGGATCAGCGGATTGAGAGCTTCTGTTTGCTTTGACCGCATCAAAAATCTTCTTATCTTGCTCGTACCACAGTTTATAAGCACCTTCATTAAAAAAGAGGACCTGGAGTGGAAATTGAGACCAAGGTAATGTAGTGAGCATCTTCTTCAAGACTTTCAATTTCACTTCTAATCTAGAACCTTGACTTCGAGGAAAAATCGGACCCTTTGTCTTTATGGGTTTGGTTTGACTCGAAGCCGGGGCCTTCTGAGACTGAGATTGAGATTGATTGACAGTATTAAGAGGCGGATTGATATCTTTTTGCAGATGTCGAGACTTGTAGGGCGTATTCCAAACCCATTCAAACTATGAAAGAACACAAAACAGAAAAAGTTGAAACTTGATCAGTCAAACCTGGAGGGTGAGAATCAAGTCTTGATGACTTTACCTGTAAGGCCACAAGCTTACTAGGAAATCCATAACAAATCAATTCCATCTCCCAAGGTCTATAATATTTAGTTCGAAAGGCTCCTCCTTTAATTTGACCATTATGTTGACGAATTCGACGAGGTGGATCAGGTGTAGAACCGACATAAGTTCTTTGATTCATTCTACCATTTTGGTATGATCTGAGAAGATAACATGCATAGAAAGCAGGATATTTATGTGAACCTGGAGTTAGAGTCGAAGTTTTCGGTCGCGTTTTGGACGTGGTGGGCTTGCTTGGAGATTGAGCTCCTACCATGATATCAACAGTTCCGTGAGGATGAGTTTCATAAAGACCAGTCGCGAATATTCAAACTTCCATAACCACGCGCCCTACCCGGTGCAAATACATCCAAAACCCCGTGATCAGACCGCTCGGGTATACCCCGTGATGAGGCTTCGCTTTAATCATCCCGGCTCAATCAAAGCTGATCAACACAACTTATCAAATCTTTCGCAAATGGCTTGGAAGTTCAGTCTTGTGATGTTGGAAGCCGTATCTGGTAGCTATGTACACCACAGGATTGATTCACCGTGGGTCGTTCGGTGAATTATTTTAAATAGGTGGTCCACGGTGTTCACTTGGGATCAGCCAAGTCGTTGATTCACCGCAGTCCTTGATGCGGTGAAGTCAATGTAGGTGTCCCATGGGTTTCACATAGAGAACTTATGGCTGTTCACCATGATCGATTCATGAGTGTTCACCATGAGCAGTTTACGATGAAACACCGTGATCACCTACATGAAACCACCGTGATCAAGTCATGATGATCACTCGGTGATTGTTCATATGAATTCACCCTAAGCGATTCATGAGAATCGTTCATGGATTCTTCAGGTATATCATGATTTTTTCACGGAAACCTACCGTAAAAAATCAAGATGAGTACACAGGAATTGCTCATGGATACTCATCGGTGATGATCTGCATGGCGGCTCATCATGAAAAATTCTCGGAAATCCAATGTGGAATTTAAGGAATTCTCACGATGACTCCTCAAACCAGCTTTCCGAAGATCTCTTGGAATTTTTCTGAAATAACACCATCATTTTCACAATTTCAGTAATATGGATAATGCGATATTCTTTTGACTGATAAAAATACAATATATTCATAGCATACAAAATAAGATGATGAAATGAAGAAGACATGCTAGCTAAGATGTACAAGTGCTTCAAATATTCTATATATCATGTTTACTTTTGATTTTGTGATATGAGCTTGATTTATTCACCGAGGATTTGAATGACTTCAGCGCGGGTGGGAGGGGCAAAATTCTCATTGGTGGGATAGTCGGCATACTTTGTTTTTCCAGTAAAGAGGGTTGCATCACGACGGAGTAACTCTTTAAAGAAACTGCGAGTTGTATGGGCATCAATATGCTGATACCTTTGAATGTAGAAAGATTGGCTGTGCTTACGCAGTCTCATATTTGACATTCTTTCGCGCTTTATTCTCATCTCTGATCTCCTTCAAGATGCGATCAATGTGGAACCATTGTGACTGCTTGGCTGGGTGTGAAAGTTTGTATGAATTTAAAGTTTGCATTCGCTGGAAAGATGGTATTGAAGAGTCGGTTTCTAATCTTGTATCTTTGGATGATTAACAAACCCAATTACTTACAAGCAATATGATTCGGATCTTGATTTCAGGTTTGAGAACCTTCCCTATCTCTAGTTCGGTTGAAGCTTTTGATTTCTCAACACAGTAGTTATGTACCTGATTCAAAGACAGAGTCAGAGTGAATGAAAACGTCATGAAACAGAAATCCAAGTACCTTGAGGTGTATTGTGTTAATCTCAGGAACTGGGATTGTGGGTGCAACATTAACCCTTGGTAGCACACCAATCATGAGCTAAAAACAGCATACAAGAAAGACATTTTTAGTGGCGATTTAATTCACTTGAAGAGAAGAAGATGATCCTATTCACTTCACATACCTTGATTCGCAATTCAGCCTTTGCATTTTTCATTGCATGGTTTCGCATGTGTGTCTTCACAGTTGAGGTAACACCCGAGCCACTTGTAGTTCCAAATCCTTCTGGGAAGTGGGAACGCTTAAAAGAATCGGTTTGTGCCATGATCGCCTCCTACATAGAACATAATCATGATCAGACTTAGATGGATTAAGGAATTGAGGAGGTAAAGAAAAATGATAAGAGTAAAGCTTCACCCAGATGAGTCGGTCAAAAGAATCTTCAATGGGATCTGCATTCACTGAATCACTGTATGCTGTGATTTTTGCACTGAGAAGGGTCTCTCGAGTGATTGCGTTGAGCCAATCCTATAACAAAAAAGGATTAGATAATGACATATTAGAAAATAAATGATTACTTGCCACATATGTAGCGCTTGGCTCCCATGACAACTTTTGTCGTTTATTTACAGTGGATTCATCTAAGTTTGACGGTCTAGACCGCACAGCTTGAAGTATGGATGTTGAAAGACAAATATAATTTTCATACTGGTTCTCTGGAGTTGATTTCTAAAGAAATCGATCAAGGAGTCAAAAGATGAATCAGAGATGATAATCCCATAGCAAGGAGATGGAGGATGAACTTACGCTGATGATTCTTGATGCCAAGTTACGATACTCTTCAGTCATACCTAACAGATCAGCAGTTTCATTGAATGTAGATGAAGTCAAGAAAGAATGATCACTTTGAATAGGACTTGCACGCCCTTGAGGAGAGGAAGGTCCAAAAAGTGCAGATGCGTCAAAAAGACCGGCCTGAGCTAAAGCATTGGGATCTATACTACTGTCACTGGAATCCGCCATTTGGTTTGATAATCGAAAGGAGAAGATGGTGATGCTGTTGACCGTCGAAGTGATCGATGGTGAGGGGGTGAGATGATCCTAAATCGAGGTCTTTGTACCCACTTGTGACATTCAAAGTTCACAGGTGGGTGTGACATGTGTGATCATCTTTTGAACACCATCTTGTGAATTACACATTTATTCAAACTCTTTACGCCACACTGTGCATTCAGATGAATGTTATCATTTATTCTTGACTTCTAGAATCAATCTGTTCTTTGGTTTTTGATTCTGCGCAGAAAATCAATATTTGATTGCTTATACTGCTTGAAGACTTTACATCTAAAGTTCATTATGTGTCCTTCAGCATTGGAAATCTTATATGCTCATATGTGATATATTGTTTGTTTCAATCAAAAATTTCTGTAAATATGATCAACTCCCAACAGCCATTTCCTTTGTGAGATGTGGACTTTCAAATCCTCTTGATTTTCTTGAAGTTGTGAATTTTTGAATCTCTAATTTTTTGAATTTTTTTATTTTTGGATGTTCTCAAATCACATTGATGGCTGTGTTTTATTTCCCAACTTGGGATAGCACTTTAAGAGAAATTCTTTTAATTAAACCTTTTTCATTGAAACACAATTTACACCTAACCTGTAGAAAACAAACTACTCAAAGCCTCAAGTCTATCTTTATCAACTTGAGCCTTTTGCTGAGCTTTCTCTTCCTTCTTCCTAGCATTCTCTTCTTTTTTTTAGACTTCTCTTCTTTCTTTGCTGCTTTCTCTTCCTCCTTTTTAAGCTTTGTCTTCTCCTTTTCCTCTGCTTGATTTGCTTTTTTTTCTTTGTTAACAACCCATTCATTCATACCTGATTCAATTGCAAGATCCCACTCTTCAGGGGTAACATCAGAACTTGGGATGTTTGCAGCACGAAGGTGCACCATGCCCGTTTTACGGTGGCTCGTCGACGAGAGCACTCGAGTACTTTCGTTTGATTTTATTTTGTCTTTATCTTGTCTTTACATAGTCTTTTGATCGGTGGATCCCTTTGAAAGGCATCGAGTTCTTGTATTTTCATCGCGGTTGACCATTCCCTTTAAGAAACCGACGATTGTTTGCACACGTTAAAAGCACAAGAGAAAGGAAATAAAACAAAAGGACATAAACGTCCATCTAGTGGTTTTGTTAATCTGGAGGATCCAAAGAATAATGGTGCTCATGTCCTCATATCTTTCCCTGTTGGACCAACAGCGGAAGTTGCTCGTTTTTGGCGTCCAATCACATATTGCTTTATCCTTACCTTCCATCCTTGCTATCTGATTTTCTAAATGGGTTTGTTTACGTGCTGATTTGGAGAAAGTTGTGAGATCATCACAACAAATTAATGTTGTTTCTTTTGTGTGCTCGGTAGATCCCCAACAATCTCATTATTGGAAGAATGGTGAACCTCCCAAGTCCATCAAGGCACTGAATGCCTCAGTCGCTTCCACCCTCCCCGTAGCAAATGCAGGAATCAGCAAGTCGCTAGCTACATTCACGAGAATGCTACTGGGTTACAACGATCAAGGCAAGACTTACCCTCCACCGCCCTCGCCGGAGGAGCTTGTCCAGTTTCCACATCTTGATCAGAAATATATCCTCACCGATCAAGACGTGTTTCTCACCAATCCGATCAAAGAAAGTGCAACAAACGACACCTATCCAAGACATCTCTTCTTAGCCGACTTGAATAAACATAATATATTACAAGTGACATTTGACTGGACCGCCCCCGACCACACTAATTGGAATCGCACGATGGCCATCTTTATTACAAAACATTGGATGTTTGCCGAGAAGAAAGGCTTCTTCGACGAGAAGTCTATAAATCCAAACGACTGTACTGAAGACAACTGTATTGGTCTTATCCTTCGTTGGTTTCGAGGACGTAGAGAAGACATTCGAACAGGTCGCTGCTCTCCTCAGAAGCTTTTGAAGAAGGAAAAGGCAAGAAAGAAGAGAGCAGTACGTACCTATATCTGATAACCTGTGCTGCTGGTTTCACTAATATTTGTGATTTTCATTGATCAGTTATGGCGTTATCGCAAGCAGGCTTTGACTCGTTTACACGGAGAAAATACCTCTGCAGAGCTCATGCCCAACGCAGACTGCTGCTCTGATACCGAATGGCAGCCTCAACATATAAAGTACAATTCAGTCGGCTTGATCTGGCGAAGTCAGCAGTACACGAATGTTCTTCGGAAAATTGACGGACTCTCTGGTAAATACAAATCTTCGGTCTCAACTCCCCTCCTGGCAGGTCGCCGCTTTGATCAATGCAGGATCGAGTCACCTCAAATCAATCACAAGGCACCTGTCTGTTGTGGTCTACCAGAAAATTGTTATGAGCCATTATTTCTTTCTAATCTCACCAATGAGGCCAGAGCTGCATTAAGAATGAAGCCAGCCACAAATCTTTTGCATGTTTTACCTCCACTAATGTCAAAAGAGCTTGAGTAATTGTACATCATTAGTATCATCATATTTATATCACTATTTTATTGGTATCTTTGCTAGTATGACACTTTCTTGTATTTATGTATCCTTTCTGAGAATCTCAAGTTACAAATGTTGGTGAAGCGTGAATCCAAAACAAGTTCTTGGAAAAGATTGAAAGTGTTGTACGTGTGTAACAAACAAAAATTTAGAGGGAAATAAAACTTTAAGATAACATCACCAAGATCTTAAAACATTGATACATGGACACCGTGGCTCAGGACGTATCCATGTCATCAGAGCTTGGGTTGTCTGGTGAAGCCCTGTCTGAAAATGTTGAGGCCATGTCGATGATGCCCTAAAATTAAAAAGATTATGGTCAGTTAGTTCCAAAAGACAAATATAGATGAGACTCCTTACTAAGCTTCGTAGGCTGAGCACAAAGATTGTGGGCTGTGTAATTTCCAGAACTCCGGCAGAGTTCTCAACCAATGCAGCGTGCCCAAACAGATCACTATGCGCTAAACCGCGCAAAGGTTGAGTCTGACGGTACATCACTCTAGCTTTCAAGTATGGATATGAAGAGTATGGGCTTTTTAATTCATCCCCTGGGGTGAGGGCGGTGAACGGTCGAACTACAAAGATTGGGTTATGATAAGTTTTAATGCGAATGATGTGGATGATTTCGCCAAATGAGGTTCCAGCTCGATCTTGAAATTCAACGCGACTGTTTCCTACGTGCCATTGAAGTGTACTAAAGGTTTTTCCAGCATTTCGCCAGATAGATGTTTTCTCAAATTTTGGAAGTGCTGACAATCCTAGGTTGTTCAGAAGGGGCTGGATAGCGCCAATTATCTCTGTCGACAGGGTGGTTGGTTGCCATTTAGCGCCGCTGGTCCTTGTGAGGGCATCAAAACCAATCTTTTGGGCGTATTCAGGAGGGGTGTTGTCACACAGGTTGTTGAACAACGTCTTTAAAGTGTGCCTTTGAATCATCGTCTTTCCAACAATATCTGAGTCAAAAGAAATCAGGCAAAGAGATGAATTCAATGGTCAGCGATCAGGTGATTGACTGAGGGTGGAAAAAATACATACATTGATTGGCGTTTTTAGGAATTCGAACCAGGGAACCAATGGTACGTTCCCCAAACCATGCAGCAGTGTATGAGGGTGGCCCAAAACGTCGGCATTGATCCGGTAGATGTTGAGCGTAATGTATATTTGGTTTAGAACGGATGTCGGGCCATACTTTTCGGAGATGGGTTCGATAATCCATCAGAATCCGTGAGTATGCCATGAGGTCGTCCTCGTGAATTGATCGTGAAATCGCAATGTTGATAATTGAAGTTGCCAGGCGAATGGCCTTGCAAATATGGGCTGATGCGCTATTGGTTTCAGAGTTGTGGAGGTGTGGTATTAATGAAAGAACCATATAAATCGTGTACAGTGTCAACCACTCGGCTGCTTTGGGAGTGCCACAGCGAGGCATACCAATCTGATTGGGTACACGAGTAAGCCAAGAAGGGACATGTGTTGCGGTGATGCAGTTGTGTACAATGCGAAGCTCGTGAGGTGTAAGCGACGGTCCAGTTGACGGTCCTTGGAGTGTATCGTTTGACTCTCCTGATGATGAGTTATGGCTTTCTTGGTTTGAACTGGCTGTCGAGGTTTTTGATTTGGCGGAGCGAGCATAGTGTGGACGGTCGGAGGATCTCGTAGATATGGATTGGGAGGGGCAATCAGAATCGGAACGTTTAGAGCTGGTGGTAGATCCAAGATTTTCTTCGTCCACAAGAGGAGGTTCATAAATATGTGAATAATCGCCTTTCTGGAGACGGGCATCATCTTCACCTTGTAAAGACTTGCCTACTTCTCCGATCTGTAGGTAGGTTGTGGCGAGATCGTTCAGTAAGCCTAACACCAGGCAGTGCATTATGTCGACAGTGGGAAAGTCGATTGGGTGCCAGTAAGGTAATTCAGAGAAACAACAATAACGAACTCCGTCTTCTTTTAAGCGTTTACCACGTGCTGAAGCGGTTGGAGCATCTATCCACTTCTGAACATCTTCTTTGTATGATCGTGGGGTTCGGAGTTTGAAAGCTTTGTAGTCGACATGATTGATATCATCTTTAGTAATATAACAAATTGAACAGAAAAGGATTGCGCTGTGTGATGCAAAGCCAGAAACCTTCTTCATCGCAGGCACATCAGCAATAAGAGGCCACATTGCTACTCGGATCAAACGACCTTGAGGATATTGTGAAGTTTTGGTAAAAAAAACACCACTCCAAAGAGTGTGAAGCTCTTGTAATAGCGGGGTGAGGATAGGTTCCATCTGGTCAGATGTCGGCTCGCGAGGACCGGGGATTATGCCGTAGATGAACATGTTCTCAGTGCGGTATCGTATGTCCGGTGGGAGATTAAAACATACCAGCAGGAGAATGCCCGCAGAGATATGTCGAACTGAGCTCTTCCCGTATGGGTTGAACCAATCACAGAAAAAACCAAAGACAAGGTTGCCAGAGGTTCTTGTAAAAACCTTGCCATCGGACTTGAAGGAACGCCAAATTGTACCGTCCCAGATGTCAGTCATACGTCCGTCAGATCGTCGTCTGGCGTTGATCGAAGCGTCAAGAGGCTGTTCAAAAGTCGGAAATGAGAGCATCGTGGCGAGCCATTCAATGAAGCGCTGATGGTGGAATACTCGTATGGGTTTTTGCTTGTTGACGGATTTGGTGACATTCTTGTAAAGAGGGTACTTGCAAGTGATGCGGGGTTTTGCGGACGTATCAGAAGGAAAACGAAGGTTTGTACAATGCTCTTTCAAAGGTTGATCAAAGGGCTGGCCATGCATTGTAAAGCATACCCGGCAGCATAATAGTTCATGTACATGTACCTCCAAGTGAAAGCACCGCAAAGCTTTCTCGATTGTTGAAGGGATCTCGGTTAAGACATCTAATTCCATTGGATTTGAAGCAGTGAATGTTGTCTTCAGTTTGAAGCGTTCCATTTCGAGCATGGTTCGGCAGGATTTATTGCTTCGGTTGTGATTAATGTAATCGTGAATAACGTGATACATTGATTGGATGCATGACGTGTGTTGAAGCATCCTTCGAGGAATGTAGAAAGGTTCCGTGGGAAATATTAACAAGGGTCGTGCACTACCAGCAGTGGTGATGGTAGTGTTGAATGACGATATTGATGGCTGAATGATGGCCGTGCTTGAGGATGGAATGATATCACTTAAAGGCGGGGAGACTCGGGGGTTTTTTGGGGGACGTGAAGTGTCAGGATCCATATCGGCATGCACAAGTTCAGATTCGTAGTCATCTCGTGGTCGTTTGGCAGGTTGCACTCGGGGTTGCGGTGGATGGGGGGGGCTCTGAGAGGTGGATGTCAGTTGTCCAGATGGATGCGGCAGAGTAGCTTGTAAAATGTTGTTGGAGGTGGTGTGAGGCACAGGTACGCCTGCACGGTTCGCCGCTTCCAGATGATTAGGGTAGTTGGTTCGGTGGAAAAGGCGGCCTGGAGTGATCTGGCCATTCTTTTTAAAAAATTGTTTGTCGCATCCTAGCTGGACACATGTGCAGATTCGGTGATTTGGACCGTGCCACATGTTGGTGTTGCTGTAAAAAATCAACACATATCAGCCACTGAAGGAACTTTGAAACAGAGTAATTGGGATAAAAATGGAATAGTACGAACGTTCAAGTCTTTGAGACACTGAGATGAAATCCAAACATATAACACAATGCAGTAGAAAGACTGATAAACGAGGAAAAGAAAGCCAAGAAAGCCAACGGAAGTAGTACCGTTTTTGGTAGCAATCGAGATCAAAGACCAATAAACGAGGAAAAAAAGCGTCCAGATGCGAGATAAATCAACCCAGGAACGCTGTATCAACTAATCCCAAACTAAGAGGTCTTTCACGAAACAGTCTCGATTCAAAATACCAGCTGATTATAAAGAGCCAGGAGATCACAACAAAAAGGTGACATTTATCAGCTTCAAACGAAATGATCTTTATCAGTAAAAGAAACAGAAAGAAACTCACCAAAGATATTGTGCTGTAACACCGTTGAAGTTCCATCAGCGTGGGGCATATCTATTATCGACCGTTACACCAAACACATATGTACAGACATAATTTTGGGGTATGCATGATATCTCTCTCGAATTCTTACACAGTTTGGCATGACATACACCTTCTTAGACCCTACTTCCTCATCATAGCCTTGACCTTCGTGCCAGAGTTGGGCAAGACCAAATTCGATCACAGATAGACATTATTACCTCACATCAGTCCACGTCGAAAGACTTTCGTCGAACGACCCTCATGCATTTTATCCTCCTTATTTCCAAAAGAGTAATCTATGATATTCATAAGTCCCACATGCGCGGCGAGTCTCATTTGTTCTTATGAGTTACTCTTGAAGACAGTTCGCCCCAATACCATAGCCATTGCATTATGTCATCCTCTGACTCTCACGGTTTTAGTCGTAGTCATTCAATATACTCTCACGGTTTTAGTCGTAGTTATTCAATATCCGAGCTTCGTGGTAGAATAGGAAGATCCCCAGAATACCTTCAAAGCCTTCAAGGCCCAGTTGGCACCCTTAACTCGGAAGATTATCATTATCAGACCACACTTGTTAATTCTCTTTTTAGCAAAGTATACCAAGTCAAAGACCAACGCACCAACGTACTTTATGCGGCTAAACAGCTTTGGGTGGTTGATGCACAGAATTGTGTCAGTGCGATTCCCGACATCTGCAATGAGATTGATATCCTGGCCGCCATCAATCATCCCTCGATTGTCAACTTCGAAGGATTCTTCTCAAACGACCCATATACTACACTTATCTTTGAATACGCTCCCGGTGGTGATTTGAAAGACCTTCTTACTGCGTCAGACAACATATCACAATCAGAAACAGTTATATACACGACTCAGCTTGCTGAAGCTATCCACTATCTACATGACCAAAGCATTATACACCGGGACTTAAAACTTAAAAATATACTCGTGTTTCCAAACGAAGTAGTCAAAATCGCCGATTTTGGAACCGCTACTTTCCTACCTGAATGTGGATACGTTTCCGAAGTCTGTGGCACACCTTATATTCAACCTCCTGAGATGTTGTCCGGGAGTACCTACTCCAAGCCAATCGATTGGTGGGCTTTAGGCATAGTGATGTATGAACTCCTCAGCAACGAAAGACCGTTTGTAAAACGTATGTTCATCTTTCATTGTTGATCTTGTGCTCAACCAGTTCAATGTTAACTCAGTATCATATACAGGGAGTGATATAACCAATTCGGACCATCAAATCGCCTACCACAGCTCTTTTGGACCTGACATTTTTGCTGTTATATCTTTGTTGTTATTAAGGGACCCGCAAGAGCGTTTGACTTCACTGGACGCTCTTCAACAGATTGAAATCTTCAAGAAGTAAACATTCATATCAAAAAGTTTACATAATACATCAACTGATCCTTTGATATTTGATCAAATGAATATGTTATTTTTGGTGTTTTGTAAAAACAATCTTGAATAATCAACATCTTCAAGAGTACTATTTTTCCTCATTGACTTTGTCGTAGAAACTGCTCCTTTGATAGATCACCAAATGATTGGTTATCTTTTACAAATACAATTTATATTTTTTGGCTCATGTATCTCATTGTGTTCCCGAATCAATCTTTCGACTTTGATATTTGTTCAATGTATGAACAGGCAAGATCATCACAGATCTTTCTCCGGAGTTTTTCAATAGAGACCAACTATAAGATTAAAATTACAGAAGCTCGCCATAAGCAGCAATATATACAATGGCTAGATACCCCAGATCACTTTTTTTTAATAATATAACTAAAATTTTGAGAGAAAACACCATGTATAGTTTTTTGAGAACAAACAAGACCAAGAAGACACAACCAAAATCATGAGACACTCGAGAAGACTAATACCTCCATAACTCAAACATAACCAAAGAGAAAAACAGACCATACAGCACAAGACAAAGAACTCAAGTTGGACAAAACACCGTGTATAGTGTGTACATTTTTTGAGAACAAACAAGACCAACAAGACACAGCTAAAATCATGAGCCAATCGAGAGGAATAATAAATCCATAACTCACCCATAACTGAAGAGAGGAAAAGAGTATACAGGATGAAACAAAGTACTCAAGCCTCTTATACCCAAACTTATAAGCCAACAAGAAAACAAAGAAACTGGCAGGAGACGACCTTCAAGATAGGAACTAACTATCACAAATTGAAACAATAAGATTTCAAGCAGCAGGGGTGGAGGACTTGGTAAGCTCTTCGGTCAACCTTTTGATGGCTTGTCGAATGTCCACTACATCATCAGTTAACTTGAGGTTCTTAACAGCTACCGATGGGATGTTGCCTAACCAAGTGGGAGACACAAGAGAGCGTTGGAAACCCTTCGGCGGAAAGACATCAAAGTCAGGGGTTGTGGAGTAAGGACCTCGGTCGACTAAGTGTTGTGCTGCACGATGGGCTGCGGCGACAACTTCTTGTCCTACAATACATTGGTCAGTCAATGAGATGAAGGTGTCGAGTTCGGCACTACGCCACGTGAGTTGAATCTTGCATGTCGCCTCGCTGTTGACATCATCTTCGGAATGGATCTCGGGCTGGGATAACATTTTGACTTCTTTGGATCCTTCGCCAAAAATAGCCTTTGTGACACCGATACGGGCTTTATAGATCTGAGTGTGGCAAGCAAGTAAAATCATAATCAGAAAAAGGAATGACATTAATGGAGGATGATCACAATTACTTACGTTTGATTTGGCTCTTCGGCGATTGACCAACTTCTTGGCACGTGTTCTGTTTGCTTCAACTTGTTTTTTACCTTCTTCGGTTTGCATCAACGTTTCATCCTTCTTTTGTTGAGTATAGTTTGTTTTCTTATTGGTGAACCATCGGCGGAGCAGTTCTTCACGATTGGACTGAGTATTATCTTTAGCCACAACCCCAAACGCGCGTGCGCCTCTCGAATTGAAGCATTTGACCCATTCCGAAATGATTATCGATGCCATGGACGAGTTCCAAGGGGTGTCGTAGCCAGCACCCCAGTCAAAGGTGCAGCGCCCAAACCCGGCCAGAGCCAACGCCGCCTCGCATTGTGTTCCCCAGCTATGAGCATATCGGCTAGAAGTAGTGAATTGGATGCGAGATGTGAATTTGACTGGTTGTAAGGAGATTGTAGAACGAACACGTTCTGCCGCATCTTGTTCAACTGCTCGAATCTGTGACCGATTTGGTTTGAAGCCGGCAGGTTTACTATTGATATACTTTTTCACCGCTTTCTCCATTGCTTTCTTGACAACTTCTTCGCGATCTTCTTTACGATTAAGCCATTCTTTCATTTCAGTTTCAGTAGGTGAGACTGGAAGAGTTGGATCAGGTACCCCAGCGGCGGTCGATCGAGACTTTCGAGGCATACCCATAAGCATTCGAACATACTCGTGAATCGCTTTGGAGATTTGAGAGGCCGCATTTGGAACATCGGGTGCATCGGCAACATTAGCAAAAGTCTTATCGCGTCGACGTGATTCGGTTGCCTCCTTGCGGAAAGCGGCTTTCTTGCGTTTACGCTTCTCGATCTCACCGGCAGAGAGCTCGCCATCTGATTTGCCAAATTAAGACCCAAAATTTCCAGTCAGTGAGGAGTGAGTTAAACCACCGCACCATGATTCAGAGAACATGAGAACATACCTGATTCATCATCACCAAGATCTGGAGTTTCGTTGCCATAATCTGTACTATTGTCGTTATCGCCATCTGACAAAACAGAAGATGTATCAATGAGTATGACTCCACATAGATGATTGTGATCCGCTTCAACATACCTCCATTGTTGCCTCTATCATCCACACGTCTCTTTTTGGAGCTCTCAGCACTACCACCTGGATTCCGACTGCTCATGACTTGAAAGGAGCCGGGAGTTGATTTGATCGAAAGTGAGGGAGATACACATGTCAGTAATTGATGTTAAAGCTATCGAATTTTTGAATGAACACGTACTGTAGTTAAGCACTTGAGGGATGAAGACTGATGAGAGATTAGAGCTTGGTGCGTAGGGAGTAGATGTCAAGTGAAATAAGAGAGCAAGAAAGATCGAAGAACAGGAATTACCACAATGATTTAAAAGGTATTCAATAGTGTGACAAAATCGTTGAAGTTCAATGTGAAGGGAGCCTGATATCGAGAAGTGAAAAGAATATGATTCGAAACGAGGCGCCCAAAAGACAGATGCAACTGATATGGAGAGAATCAAAACAGAAAGAATCAATAAGGGAGGATCTTTGAGGAGAGACAAGGTAGACTGAATCACCAGAGCCTGAGCTTCTATAGCAGAGAGAAAGCAAAGACCATGAGTATCTGATAATCTAATTCTAGTAGATGTGTTGACTGTTTGAGACAACTAAAAAAGAGCTCGGTGGAACTACTGACCTCGTTGAAAGCTTGGGATTTCGGGTGGGGGGTTGAACAATTCGGACAAAGGGACGGCTGGCCGAGGCATTTGGATCGTACATACAGATGTTGGTGGTGATTGAGGGGTTGAGTAAAAAGCCGGATTGATTATAGAAACGAAGATATGTGTACTTCCAAGGTGACGTCTTGAGAAGGTGGTACAACCGAAATCTCCGAAAAGAAAAGGAACCCAAGCAAAATACACCGAAAATTCTCATGTAAATAAAAGCGGTTGTATGCACGTGCATGTATGTAACCGTGGGCCACGGTCACAAATCGGCTCAGTCTAGGACAATGGGACTTTGTGTTTACCAAATAGGCTTTGGACACCAAAGGCGTTGTGTGGACTCATGATGTCTTCGGAAAGTCTTCAGAGAGAACATCTCAAAGGACTCTGTGTGCTCTCGTCGACGAGCCACCGTGAGACGGGCATGGTGGTGAATATCTGATGAGTATAAGGAAGCCGAGTTTATGATGTAGGAGGTGTTCTCAGTATGTTGGATCTCTTCAGTGAGCTTGATGGTCAGCCGTCGTTCAACTGTCCTCTGCTTTGTGAGTTTAACTTGGCATCCGTGATCATGACAGTTATGCTGAACATTTATCAGGCACTCAATAGCCTGAAGGCAGCATCAATCAAAGCTAATACGTATGATTCTATGAAAGAGAACATACCTTCAATTTTATCCAAACTTTTTTCCGGCTTTTACAAATCTCACGCATCATATAGAATGGATGGATTTCGGGAACACTTTGACACAATGTCAGCTCAACCACACAATCATCATCTGTTGCGACTGGGCTCCAAATTGATTCAATAATGCCAATAGATTTTAAAGCCTCTTTTTCCTTTTCTAGCATCTTTTTTCAGTAAGAGAGAGATTTAGAAATATCAGCCAAAAGGATATCTTCAATGAGGTATCTTAAAAAACGGCTAGAATGAATTACCCAAACAAATGAACCGTGCTTCAAATTTTGACCATTCGGCATCCTTACATTGATAACCTTCTTCCACTCAGCCCTAGAGTTGAGCTGCACTAGATGGTCCGGCACATCAAGATCCACAGACGTGTCGGAAACTTCAAAAAGAGTTCAATACCATCAGTTAAAGAATGCAGATCTACTTCCACACATCTAACATAAGAAAACATACACTTGATATCATAGTGATTTTCTTTGGTAATTGGAAGTTTCAAACCCATAGTTTGTCGTACAGTGGAGTTAGCTTTAAATAAGCCAATTACTCCTGATCCGGCATGAGCATTACAGCATAGGTTTTCGTCATAAAATATTCCACCTGATAAGAGAGTACGAAGTAAACGGTATGTAGTAAAGGTGATTGCGATGTCATATCCTGGACTTTGTTTATTAGAATGGATTGAGCATCCACGAAGTACCCCATTGTATTGTTCAAACTTCTCTGTTGCAAACAAACAGGCTGGACCAAAGCGCTCCATGGAGTCGGTGAGATGGATCAGCATATGGAACTTTGGTTTATTCACCCATTGTGCATTATCTTGAATTGCATCCCGTAGAAACTGATTGATCAAGATCCGGATTTGATTTAAGTGAGCTTTTTCGTCGGTGTAACTGTTTTGGAATATGTAAGCTGAGAGATGACAGAGGGAAATCCACATCTTTCGTCTTTCTGGAGTGAGATAAGGAAAAAATACAAAAGGAGCCGCTTGTAAGGCTGTCCGAAAACCAGAACCCGCAAGACTACCAACATACTTGACCATTTGATCTGCCTGAATAGGTGGAACATTTAATCCATCAACATTAAACGAAGCCCATCTTCCTTTCATTTCTGAGAGAAGACCAGCTGGAGTTTTTGCTACTGCATCCTTTGTCATATACTTTACTATCCCCAATAGTACAACATGAAGTATCTCTACTGGCGTATCCTTGTGACCATCAAAACCTGGAATAAACATGATCAAAAACTATTTATCAAAAGCAAAGAATAGATGACGTACCTTTCAGCCGTAGGAAAGGATTGTACAAGCGCTCACCAAGTTCTTCATTCTGCTTCACCCACTGATCTCTTGCTTCTTTCATTTTACCACTATATCAGAGGTCATGAAGTGAATCAAGAAATACTTGAGTGATCTTATCCCGCACTCCATTTTCTTTTGATAGGTCATCAATTTTTTTCTTTTGTCCGTGTGTTGCAGCCATCAGCCATATTTGTTTTGTGATACTAATTGTTGATGACCATTGACGATCTTGAAGATCCTATGAAATCAAAAAAATACAAATTTAGTTTCAGATCTCCTCTCCAAATAAAACACCTATGAGAGGAACCATCTAAGCGTACAAAGACTCCATTGATTGTACTCAATCCCACAAAATTCAAAATATACTTTTTCGAAAGCTTCTCGTCTTGCGCGGACACACCCAGAGTACACATTCGACATGGATGAAGTGCCATTGATGGGTTCATAGTATTTGTGATCTCGGTGTGCATAGGCGAGTCGCCAAGGTAGCACATTACAACAACCATCACATGGACCGTTTTATCAATCGACTGATCATAGGTTGAGAATCCAATCTCGCCGAGTTTACTGATCATACAAATTTCAATATTTAAACATGTAAACATTGTATCAGTCAAAGATTTCTTGATTGATGTAAAAGAAATGGACCTTACCCGAGTTCATCCACAACCTGCTCACCCAGCTCAAGTACAGCTGCTGAGTTAGTGGTAGCGTGAAAATGTATATTGTATTCTTGGTTTGTCAAACTTGGTGGAAGACCAGACAGTGTGAAATAGAAAGAGTCGTGTTTGTTCCACTTTTTTGATTGATTGCCTGAAGTATCATCCGAGTAGAGTGTAATTGGAACATGTCTAATAAGTAATCCATTAGCCTTTGTCCGCCAAGGATTTGGAAGGGATATCTCCTTCCAAAATAGCCGATCTTTCTCTGTTTGAATAAAAAAAATCTAATCAACAAAAATGGAGAGTCTCATAAATGTAGTTGAGCTTACGATATATTTTCTCACCACAAATGTCTTTTAGCATACACCCATCTTTAGTCACCAGATTAGTATATTCAACTCTGAACTCCTTTATATTAATGTCCTCCAGATGTTCAGAGTCAAAATTTGGTTCAGCTTCAATCTCAAGCCGATAGGTTGTGTTTTGATTTTGAGATACGGTACCCAACCTCATGCACTTTGCAAATGTATCGGATGTTGTCTTGTAAAAGTATATAGGAACTAATATATCCTGTGAGGCTAGCTGTACTGGCTCATAGATAAAGAATTGACCGGAAGATGTTTGAACCATTTGAACCCGAAGATCTCTGGAGAATCCTTCGCGCCACTTTCTGGACTGTGAAAATCTGTTGATGACAGTTCCAGGCTCGTATTCAGGGATGAATTGTAAATGAGGACAGACTTCAGGATTTGCTAATTCCTATAAACACAAAATAAGAGAACATGTGAGTAAAATCCAGTCCAGACCTTGATAGCTTGATAAGAATAACTTCCCTGTGACACAGTTTCTTGAATAGAGAGACCAAAACACGGATTTCCCAGAGCAGAGGTATTTTCAACAACATTTATTTTCAAGCGATTCTTTAGTCCTTCACGGACACCTCGTAAAACACTCCATGCCGGTAGTTTGACAGAAGCAACTACCAGAATTGCTCGCAAAATATCATATTGTAAGCGAGATAGTAAGTTTCTCATCGATCCCAACAAAAGCAATGCCAGAAAGTGCTGAAGTTCAGGCCACAAACATATTCAATTAGGCATCAAGAGTGTGTTTAAACTATATATCATGGAACATTACGTACCTCTTTCTTTTTGAAAGGGTACCACTCTGCTTTCTCATTTTCGGCCAGAAATTTCCCCTCTTTGATCATCTGTAGCTCTTCCTCATTTTCTGGTTCAACTTGCTCCATTCTCTCTTCCTCTCCCTGATCCAACTCTTCAAATTGTCGAATTCCTTTTTCTATAAGATCCTCAATATCTACCTTGGTTGGTCCGTCTCCTCGATACACCCAATCAAAATTCTTCAGAGCAAAGTAATCACGATACTCACTAGACCAAGGCTCTGGAGGGGCGACTTCTGATTCTATGTCTGAAGGAGAAGTATTGTCGGAGTTATCTGAGCTATATAATTCATCATAACATACAACTTTGGGCTCCTCATTGTCCATTGTTTGTACACCAAGCATGACATCTTCTTGTCCGGTCACATCAGCTGTTGAAGTTGATTCTTGTCCTATCATTCTTTCTTCAGCAAGAATAATTTCAACATTGTCTTTGTGCACTTTTGATTTTCGATGCCTGTCATAAGTCTTCATTGTTCGACCAGAGCTACAGGCAGTACACCGATAGGTAGGTCCATCGGGACCTAAAGAAGTAACTTCAAAGTCTAAAATGCCGCCGAGTATGAGTTTTTGATAGGATCTCAAATTGTCTACAGTGCTTTTAGTAGGTATTTAGCAACTTACATTTTTCATGAATCGTTCCAACTGCGTTCTCTGAAAGGTTCATTTTTGATCAAATTACTTTTTGATAGGTGGCTTAAGAGCACACAGATGAAGTCGAATGCAAATTTGCTGAATGTGGAAAACCGACTTTGTTAAGCTTAACAAATTATCACTTGAAACTTTGAGAATAAGATGATTTGACTCAAATGTTGATTGTAGAAATTATCTCACACTCATTTGTTGCTTTTCATAAAGTTTGACAGTTTTTTGAGACAGCTCTTTGAGACTTTGTACACTCATAGAAAATTTCACACTCTGAGACTCAACGCAAAGACAACACTGAGGCGTGAGGGTATAAAAGAAAATCATAATCAAACAATACAAAGGCCGCTGGATTTACAAAAGGAGTTAAGCGTAAAGAGTAGATTTAAAAAGGTGAAAGGAAGAACAACATCCTCTGATACGAAGAATTTCCTAAGCGTACAGAAGTACTAAAGGAAAAACTCATGGCAGCAAAGATAGGTATAGAAATTCAAGACTACTGTGAAGAATTTCCTAAGCGTACGGAAGTACTAAAGGAAAAACTCATGGCAGCAAAGATAGTAATAGAAATTCAAGACTACTATGAAGAATTTCCTAAGCGTACAGAAGTACTAAAGGAAAAACCCATGGCAGCAAAGATGAATAACATGGCTTACTGAAAGGAAAGCTAGAGAGCGTAGTATGAAATAGACAGTGAGAAAGCTGAACTGGGATTTTGAGGTAAATGCCATGCTCTTTTGCAAAGGGAGGACGGACTTGATGAAGGGAGGATTATATAGCAAAATTGCAGGGGCTGAATCAAACAAAAATTATCTATACTTGCGGCGCTTCCCCTAATTTGTTTCAAAAGCACAGGGTTTTTTACCAGATTGGATGGATAGTTTCATTTGAGTGTTTGACTGACACATCGGGTAATCTCACCTTGGCTGTGTAACCAATTCGGTCAGCCTGGCGTTTAGAAATGCCCTGGGATCAAAGCAAAGGCACCCTTTGTTGAATATACTGCCACGGCGAAGCATTGTTCCAAATAAACCAAGGTTTTTTTCCACCAGATTGGCTGAATCAACCCCTCTTTCGAGCATTTCTCTTGATTCCTTGTTATTCTCAACTTGATGGCATAATTAATTCGATTACTCTACTTTTTTAGAAATGCCTTGTGATCGAGGGAAAGGCACTCTTTGTTAAAAATATGCCACAGTGAGTGGCTCACAATTGCATGATACACGACCGAATGCTCAAAGACTGAACCAATGTCGAAAATTCTCGGCTCATATCAAAAATGAGTGCTTCCATGGTTAAACCATGAAATACCCATGGCAAGTATCGGAATCGTTACGACAATTCTTTGGGATTCCAAACTCCGTTGGAATCCTGGCTGGTTCATGGCTATTACTCAGCTTGAAAATCTCGCACCAAAACAAGGATCGATCACGAGATTTTCTCGTGAGTGGGTCCCAAGATGTCTTTACCAAGCTTTCACGTGGTATTGCTGTGAAATCTCTTTAGACATCACGCTGAACGGACTTCGGTAGGTTCGCGTGTTTTGAACCGACGATCGAACACCGACTTCTCCAGATCCCAATCACACCCACTCTCCCCTCAGAATCGATCCTGTGGTGTAACCATTATCAGCTGAATGTTGGTTTGGTTCGAAAATACATCAAGTGTATGTAGTCTGTCATCAGAGTTTATGTAAACAGGTGAGGAATGAGTGGAAGTGTGGAAATTGAATGCTTCTCCCAATCCTACATGTACTCCCGAGTCCCCTCTCCAAGTGCATCTGGGCAAAAGATTGCTGGATGATCATTTGCAGTATAGAGTTCTTCTCAAACACAATCAATAAATTATTGAGAAAGCCATGTAATTTTTTTCTCTCCTATATATCCTCACAGAACCACTGCTTTATGTCTTGTTGATGCAGCCAAATCCCTGACGCTCAGTGTTACTGCGAGCCGTAAGTTGATGGTGACAAATTTTTGAGCAATCTTAACGCTACCAGCTCCTTCTGAGGTATGTTTTTTGGCCTTGTGTCCAACTGGTATGTTGCCTCCGACTCCAATCAGCAAATTGGGTGGTAGGCTCTTTTGCATTCTTCTTTCTAGAAGGCCAGCATTTTGGCACCGTACGAAGTGTAGAGTTCTTCTGCGCTTAGACAATACTCAATTATCCGATAGATGAAAATATGACAAGAGAGATATGGCAATCTCAATGTGAAAAAAGGCCACTAAAATCATTGATAAGAAACGGCCGAACCTCTGCAAGTATATAAAAGCTATATCGCGCTGCTATCGTCAACCAAATGAACCGCTCTCTTCGCTTCCGTGGCTCTTGAAGGAAGGCCCAAGACTCATCAGTTGAGCTTCCTACTAGCAGTGGGTCGACTAAACCTTATCATCTTCCAAAGTGACTGACTTTTGTTTTGGTGGATGACCACTAACCCGATGATCATCACAACCACCTCTACATGGCTTTTATGCGGCTGGACCATTACGAGTGGGCTGCTCTGACCTCATGACTTCAGGAACACTCACCCAGACCTTGACCTGATGATCAATTGGTATGCATGATACACAACTGCATTTTCCTTGAAGCTTGTTAAGGCACAGTGTTCGCAGTCGCGCCATATAAGACTGTAGCTCAAAGCCTATCACTTTTCTAATTTTCTCCCCACACCAAATTCATATCTCTCCCCTCTTCGTGAGCATTAGCTGACGGTGGATTTCGATACCAATTATAATTTCGCACACCCATAACTGCTCTACTATTTCTTTCCATTGTTCTCAAGACAGTGTGATTTGTTGCTACCGTTTCTTGTCTTGCTTCCTTCTATCTATTCGCAGCCCTTCATCGCTATCTACAACTCGATTTGACTGCTCCACTTCTCTTGATACCTTTATCGATCACCATGGGTTTTCGTGAATCTAAAAACAAGCTCGGTTCCCGCGTGCGGTCTGCGTTCGATAGACTCAAGCCCTCCAAATCAAGTATGGGATTGTCCAGCCTAATGAACGATGATGTAAGTATAAATATTCCGACATCTTTCATGAATGGTTCCATGCTGCTTTATGAGGCTCCATGCAATTATCGCCGAGATTTCTAACGCGTGACTCCTAAATCTACTGGCACCGCGTTGTTAGAGCGTGATGGTCCGATCATCCTCGACGATGCCGCTTCCGGTGTTAAGTCTTTCCTCCAGCATATCACATCGATTGGCTCCGAGTACGCTTTTTGAGCCTGAGGCTATGATGCGTGACGCTGTAACACACCACGAGGTCAGTTTTCTAAATTTCTTGCGGATGTACAGGAATTCTATCCCACTGACCCACGCTGATGCACGCTGTCTCTTTACCCTCAGCCTTGGAACTCGGCCAAGGCTAGCCAACAATCTCGAGCTTCTACCCAGTCACACGTGGGGGTAACCGAATTTGACAACTCGAACGTCCTCAAGAAGGTACTGGAACGTGAAGGACTGCTCGAGTCCCCCATCAGCATTCGTCTGGCGTCGCTCATGAAGTCTCCTTCTGAGTCACATCTGCCAATACTTTCGGCGCCCTCCCCAATGCTCTATCGACCACTACTACGCTCTCATAAATCGGGGCCATTTACGCCTGAGCTGGTCAAAAATCCCGCAGGAAGTACACCGGGGTGTACAACATCTATCTCCACGCCCGACTCGTATGGATACTTTCCAAAGATCGAGTCAGCAATCAATCAACCACCCTCTCGCGTCAGTTCTCCAATTGCGGTGCGTCCGAAAAGCACCCTCACAATGCCATCGACAAAAGGCAAGGAGGTTTGGCGCACTCCCGAGAATTCTACTACCCGAGCGGTGACTGGGAACGCATCGCCTGTCCACCACTTCTTACGACGTCAAGTTCCCATTCCAAATACCCAACCGCTCTCTTCCAGGATTCTACAATCAATATTGTCATCTCCTTCCGATGAGGCTCGGTCAAGCTTGGAATCTGACGCTGAGCTCAGCAGCTATCTGGAGGGACTGTGTCCTGGTGGTTCTCCAATGGATCAGTACGTCCTTGACGCGGAGTCGGAATCAGTATTGTTGGCAACACATGAGCTTTCAAGTTCGCGCATCACATGCGAGGCATTGTCAACAAGATCGCGTAACTCTTCGGTTTCGACGTTTATGACTAACGTTACTGGCTACATTTCAGACTCGTGATTGTAATGATCTCATGGCTATAGACAGAGGCTCCATACACATCACATGGAGGAGGTTCGCGGTTTTATTCTTGTAATCTTGATCATACACAGACAAAGTCTCGTCGTATTCTTGTATATCTTACGGACTCATTTTTGCTGTGAGCTAGGGTTGTGATTTTCTTGCGCTTGGATTGTTTTTTTCATTTCTTGGATCTTGTTGTCTTCATTACCATCTCTATCCATCTTCTTGTTTTTCTTGATATATTTGACGCCTTTCTTCAAGTGGCATTAGTTTTACTCTTTTGCAGGGTTCTCTCTAACCCTGTGGTCTTACTTTCAGAAGACATTGAATTTGTCACGTATAATGATTTTTTTGTAGTTTGAAATGAGTAAGCAGAATCTTGACGTGTGAAATCTATTCATGCTATATTTTAGTCTATTGCACGCGGGATCAGGCTGGATCGCATCAACCCAGCGTTCAATTGATACCATGGAGAGTGATAAATGAAACACAACCGATCTGCAAAATGATCATTTCCACAAGAAGGATCAGGCCTGATCAGGCTCAATTGATTACAAAGCTCAATGACTTCTCATCACTAGATGTATACAGTCAACTCTCTCTAATGGCATACAGTTTGGCGGGCAGTTTTCTTATGCATTTAGAGGAATATGCCTTTACAAATCTTGTTTTGGCTGGCAAATCTCATTTTGGCGGGAAAAAACTCCGTAAAAACCTATGCATTTAGAGGGATTATGCCCATAAAAGGTATGCCTTTATGGAGAGTCGACTGTACACAGATGGACGAGATGAAAACATCCACAAAGTCTTGCAAAGTTTTGTTTTCTTTACAATTCTTAATTCTCTTCTCAAAGCACTGCCGTTCCACATCTCTTCAGATGGAGCAAAAGGCTCAGATATTGATGAAGAACTCTGAGTTATTATAAATCTAGGTAGGTTTGTTAAACCCTCCTCACATGAAAAGTCAGAAGTCCCATACAAAGAACCGGTAAAGATGCCATGCAAGACTTGCACCCCACTATTGTGGATGGATGAATGTTGTGGGTGGACTTGAAAAAATCTCATGTTTCAGTTACAAAGAATGAGTATCAAATAATGAACAAGACAGCCAAAATTTGGGAGTCCAATAATAGCAAGGTAAAATAGATTGGGAAACCAATTCTTGGTGTACATATAATCAGCATGTCACTTTGTGAGTCATGATTACATACCAACAAAGGGCAAACACTATATAATTGGAAATACAAGAGGCAAAATCATCTCTGCAGTTCTTCAGATTTACTAAAATTCCTCGTGCATCTTGTGATCATTAGGCATGTCAAAATCTCAATTGACATTGTAGGTTGACTTCAAAGACTTCAGAAAAATAAGGTCTCTTGCCACACTTTAAGTGTGCATTGAGCTTGAAAATACCCGTAGCAATATTGCTTGTCATTTGAAAAAGAAGATATGATGGATCATACAAAAAAGAGAGATGGTTTACATGCTCAACAAAGAAAACGTCCTCAAATTAATTAGTCCTTATCATGAAGAATATAGTCAGAGACTTTATGAGTGATGAAGGCAAAGCAGATTAAAAATCCAAGGAAAGAAGAAATGAAGTCTTGATGTTTCAAGTATGCATGGACTCGTATAGTATATGATGATTGAAACTTGTGGAAAGCTCAAGATAAAAAGGTTCAAAACTGTGTGTTGTTGTGTCAAGGAGAAACCTGTATGCACGATTAGGAATTTGAGTGTGGTTTGGTTTGTGGATGAGATTAAAATACGGGCCGTTTCTTGTGGAGTATTACTAAGAGGTTGGGATTTAATCAGTACAACTTGAAGAGCCTTATGCATTTTTTATGGTTTCCGAGCTTACTGACCTACTCAAAGTTAAGGAGCACCGGGATACCAGAGTCAAGCGATTAGAAGTATTGGCTCCAATCTTCGTCTTCTGTGGGTTCCAACGCGGGGTAGTAGCGTGTGCAGGACTCTTCTGAGCTTTGGCTCATCATATCTTCTGAAAAGTGTTCTTCAGTACTCTCGTAAAGGGGTCCGTCTGTCTCGGTAAGCCATGCCTCACTTCGCTTTTGTTGGATGAGTCTACGGATTTGACGGGCACTCATTCCTCTTAGGATACCAGAAGGATCCATTTTTTCAAGCTCGATCATCGCTGCCCACTGGATCTGATGTGACCGTAGTTGGCTGATCAACTCCTCTCCTGAAATGTTTTCATCGTTCAACTGGTCTGTATACATCTTTGCAGACACATGCGACTTCGGAGCGTGTTTTGTGACAGTCTCGGAAGGTAGTTCAGTATCTGTATCGATAGTATGAATGACTTCAGTATCCAAGTCTGCCGAACTTGAGGGGCTTGAGGAACAAGGTGTTGAGGATCTGCTTGACGGACTCGCAAATCCCTCTGGAATGCCACTCTCATATTTTTGCGCCTTCATGGATGAATTAGCTCGGATGATTGGTAGACGTCTGTCCTGTTCCTGGCCAGAGTTTTCTTTGTCATTCGTCCGGAGCGCTTGGAGAATATTATTCATTTTAGCACGTCCGACATGACGCGTCCGTCTCACGAAAAGCTTGAGTGATTCGGCTACCATCTTTGCCTTTCAGGATTAAAATAACTGATCAGCCAAGAAAAATGTGTTAGTTACCTTCATCTTATTTCAAGATGAATATAATCTTACAGTAATAGATTTTCTCTCGAATTTCGAAGCGATCTTTTTCAGATGATTTTTTTGCTGTTGTCCTTCTGAGATTGTGTTGACCGAATTCAGGTTAGAACTATCGATTTGCAAAGTCGTGCCACGAGCAGGAGGATTCTGCGTTCTGGTGAGCAGAAATCAATGGAAAAGCCCGAATTAGTATTCCTAAGTGACAGGAAGCTTCGCAAAGGGATCGAGTCAAGACGTATGATACTAACAGGATAGGCGAAGGGCTAGCGCTGGGTCTGTAGAAATGAGAAAAGCAGGCTGCCGCAAAAGCGTCTTGATCAGCCATAGCTCGACTCGGAGACAACACCAATTCTTGAATGTTTCTTTGAAAGAGGTACATATCATGATCGGCAAGACGGTCGATTCAACACGCACATACGCAGCGCTAGTTATAATAAGAGAAAAGCCTGAATGCTCTCGTAGCCGAGAAAAACTACGCGGATCCCTGGAGTGATGGATAACGACTCGACCTTGACAAGCGATAAGATCAAGAAGATGACAGGCGAATGAATTTTGTGGATAGAGGGCGCCAAAAAGCTTGAGCCTTAGAGGACCGCAGGAGATCTCAAAGCTATCTTTTGTGGTATGAGACCGCCAGAGTGTCTCAGCCTGCTTGAAGTTATTCCTCGTTTAATGCATCTAATGTGAAGCAAGAATGAAGTTGGCAGATCAAGTTGAAGAGAGCTCGGTTAAGATTGAGAAATCCTGGTAGATCAAGAATGGTAAAACTGGTCTGAGAGGGGGAAGCGCAAAGTAGACCTGAGGCTGCATCGCGCCAGTACCACTATTTCTCATTCCTGGCGGTTTCTTCCCATTATGGATAAGGTGATCGCAGTGTCAATTGTCTGAGAATTAGATACGGCCACCTATGGAAAGGTCTTCGCTGTAATGATAAACTCGTTGCGGTGGAGTTTCGAACCCGAAAATGGAAACAGCAGATTGTTGAAGACCTCACATGGTCGAACAGAAGCAATCCTATGCCTCGTGAGTATGCGTGGGTATCATTATGCGAGACTGGAAAGTCTCGTCCCATCTAGGCCTCTTCAAGTCAGATCGGTGCATCGCACCTTTAAGCTCTTACAATCGGAGAGGCGGGAAAGATATAACCCAAGATTCCCATAAACAGCCGTCTGATTTCAAAATCGGTGAGGCTTGTTTACCGCGGAATGGTCGAGTGGAAATGAATGGCAAGACACGCGGGGATTGATGAAGCAGACAGGAACACAAACTCAAAGGTTGAGACTCACCTGCAGACTTCCTGAACTTTGATCTGGCGGACTGCCGACGTTTGTAGAAATATTCTTGAAGATAGAGGCGGATGAAGAAAAAAATTGATCGATAGAAAACTACACCAAGCGAAATCGTGAATCGAAGTGTGAATTCAGTTTGCAGATGCTGATTATGGCTTTTGAGCTTCAAGACTTTTGGCAGATGGAGGCACCGCTTGAGGTTAAGATTTGTCGGAATCTTTGACAGTGCAGAGCCTCCACCTTTGAATATTATCCCACATCACCCTTGCTGAAACAATCTTTTTCAGCTTCGGTGACGATGTTGTACAACAACACAGGGAATATATCATGTATCACCAAAGGTGATGCTGAACGGGTCTCCTTAGTGTGTTCTATGAATCTTTCCCCGTCTCTGTGGAGACGGCCCAGGACGAAATGCTATACTTGTCCCAATAGAGGCTGAGCGACCCCGCATGGGGGACAATGGTACGGGGCGACTCGATTGGACGCAAAGGGAGTTCGAACAGGGAAGGTCAAGTAAGCAAAGCCCTGCCTATGAGAGCGCCCAAGGTTCAATCCGAAATCAGCGTTGATTCAAGCTGTTGATTAGGGCGAGAGCAGTCAAGCGCAAAGTAGACTTTGGCTTTGTTGCAAGATCTTTTCCATCTTGCGGCAGTACACATTTGAAGGTGAGGCGTACGGAGCGGGGACTCAGTCTTATATTTGGTGCGCCCGGGACGTGGTGGGCTCTCTCAATGACGCAATAAATTATAAAATGAGCCAAGACTAGATGAAGATGGCACAACTTGCTAAGTGGCCATCACGCAGAGGCAAATAAAACAAGTCTCGGTAAACCTATCGTACAATTCCAAAGCCCAATATTAACCAAGAAAGCTTTAAACATCCAGGATAGGTGATATATGTTACAAAAGTACAGGCAATTTCAAACAACTCGAGGAATTGACCGAATTTGCCCTTACAACTTTAAGCAGATCGGCGGAGTGAACAAGCTCTCTGAACTCGACTGCATATTCATGGGTATTTGTCGGACTCTGACATCGCTCCTGAGCTTCCATCGTCTGGATCTTTATCTATATCGGTATCTGCGTCTAATTCTACAGTCTTGCGTGTGGGTCTTGCAGTTCTTCGAGGCTTTTGATTTGAAGACTTCTGAGCGCTGTATATGGAGCGACAATTTTTTTGCTTTGATAATCAGACAGGGGCAATCATCAAACGATATGAATTAGAAGGACTCACTTAGATTTCAATCTGTCGACCGCTCCACCCTTTCGTTTTCGAGGGGCCCTCGCTTTTGCAGTCGGCTTGACAAGATGGGTAGTGCTTGATGGCTTTTTGACATCGCCGGAGACATTAACACGATCTTTCCTTGATAATAAGGACGTTGTTAACTCTTTGGTAAACTCCTGACCAAGGTAAGTTTTCTTTGCAATCTGATCAAAATAACCTCAGGTCAGTCTGTTTTTTTTTTCGGAGACAGATACGGGAGTCGCGCCTGATACAAAATTGATAATTAAGACTTACCTGATTCGCTTCCTCGGGCGATGATATTGGCTGAAAGAGGTCTGTGGGTAGGATAGCTTTCCCGGGATAGGTTGGCAAGGTCCAATGATGGATTTTAGCTTTTGTCCGAATCACCAGCTGAGCCAATTCAGATATTGTATATAGAAACTAAAAGAAAGCGGAGGATTGATGTCAGCTTGCCTCCAATGGCTCATCTAGGCGTTTTTTAGAAAGATGTGATGGAAAGGCACCTCGTTATTGAATTTTGAGTCCACGTCTTGCACCGCCTTGAGCTGACCAACTAGATAATACATCAAGGACACGTTTTCACCGTTGGCCACGCAGTCCACATAAAATTCGATGTGTTTTGAGACCGATCGTAGTGCCTCAAGAGACAATTCGAAATCCGGATGATGTACCAATAAATGCAGTAATCGCACAATGATAACCTCAAACATCGCAACGCGGACATCTAGGGGATCAACGACGAGTGCGGAGTAACAAAGCTTTCAACAAGATGTCATGATAGCGTTCAAATGAATACAAAACAATCAACCAAGCACTGACTTTGTGATGCTTGTTTCATACGCGATAGTATCGAACTGCGCGCCAATTCAATGATATCAGACTCTGGATCGTGGGCCACCAGAAAGAGGATGACGTTGAATCGGGGATCGGTTAATCTACGGGTGTGTAGATATTTCGCCAACTTGGCGACAAAACCTTCGCGCACTTCACCGCTGGGATCCTGGCAGGTCCATAATGTAAGTCATGTGATGTCCGCGACCACACAACACTCGAAAAAGGTGCGAGATTCACAAACCGCTGCTACCCAGGCTAACAGATCGAACTGAGTGTCAATTTCACTGCTGAAGGCTTTGCATGTGGCCAGTTTCAAGATGCAATGCGCCGCTTTGAGCCTCAGTCGCATAGCGACTGCCTGGCTGATAGTCGAAGTGATGCACCCGCAAAAAAATGAAGTCGTCAGTGAAACCGAGAGACGTACGCGTTGATAACTCTTCTCGTTTAAGAAAATGACTAGAACCTGTGTGTAGTTGTCCGTAAATGACCACGATTATCCAATAGTTGCCAGAGAAGCTTGAAAACAGGTGCGGCCGACGTTTTGGCTGCCGTAGTCTCGGCGTAGGCAATGCATCGATTTGTCAATAACTTTACACCTAGAATCCTGGCCTTTGCTAAGTCTGCCAGCTCGCTGTCATCGAGCCATTCGTCATCCCCCTATCAGCACCAAGATGTCAATGTCAGACTTGTGGTACCACATTTGCCAAAAATGCGTATGATTCGATGGCATGGTTCATGCCTCACGTCTTGTTCGCCTTCACTAGACCTCAGCAACAGTTTCTGAAGAATGAAAGTTGCAACAGTCTCACTATGGGCTTCGAACACGTTTGGGGTGAGCTTCGCGATCTGAGAAAGAGCGCTTAGATTTGCGACCAAGCGCCCTGGCTCGGCATCCTTCAACGTATTGGCGAGTTGCTGTATTAGCGTTTGTCACCACATAATTGACAGTGATATATTAACAGAGTCAACATGAATGGTATACTCCAGGTCTTGGCTGTTGGAGAATGCTATAGCTTACGAGGTTAACTTCACGGCAAGAATCCGTCTTGTCGGGTGCTTTAGCTAGCACGATTGCAGCATACTTAGCTTGCTCAGGCGTCCCACTCAGAGCGTAACGTGTCAGCTCATCCACGAGCTCCCTTTGAGTCGCCAGGCCAAATAAATCGTAAAAATCACGAAAAAGATATGATTCAGCATGTTCCGCTGATATCTGAAAGGGAAAAGGTGAGAGCCATATGCGGAAAACCGAACACAACATACGGTTCGCTTGGTATGAGTTCTGGATTCGTTTTTGCCAGCTCACTCATACCTAGTAAGCATGCATCGATCAGTCGGGCGGTTTGGCCAGATTCTACATCCGAAACTTCGAAAAGAGCCTTAGTAAGTTTGTCGATATGGGGCTTGAGCATCACCGAGCAGCTGGTTGATATCATGTCCAGTAAGATTTTAGCCGTTTCCCCTCTAGATCGAGCAAATCCTGTGTTATCTTCATCTGCATCTCCGTCACTGGCCGCTGGTTGATGTAGTCGAGATAACAGAGTAGGCACTACGGCAGAACTCAAAGTCAAATATGCAGATTTTCTTAGAAATATCCCTATGGTCTCCACCAATGCAGCTGATAGGGATTCAAGTTTGCGATTAAACTCTTGCTGAGGGAAAGCAAGTCATAGAGAATACACGCTAGATTGAGTGTACCATTCCAAGCCCATGACCAAAGACAATGGACCGATCTCAAATCTTGAAAACACGCACATATGTCTTGACCAAGGCTTTAAGATCTACCAGAGGGTCAGAAAGTACTTTGATGACTTTGTACATTCGCTTATCATTGAGTTTCGCAAACTTTTGGAGTTCCTCCGTGGCTCTAGATGGATCCGGAAAGGCGGCTGTGGGAAAAATTTATCATGGTTCATCAAATTGGTCCACGATTAGGATGATTTAAACGCCTACTCGAGATGTGTCGAATAATCTGAGCCAACAGTGTCTTGACTTGCTTCTCATCATGGTCAATGATGCCACCCTAATGAAGAGGTCACAAAACAATTTATCTCAAATGTTTGAAATCGAGTATTTGATTGAGAAAAGACAACGATCATACGTTATAAGCCTCGCACGAATCTAGAAACCGGATGAAGATTGAAGGTTGCCTGAAAAGCAAGCGTAACTTCCACAATTAGAATCTAATGATTAGAAACCTGAGTCGAGACATCCAAGTACAACCTTTGGGTGATACGTGTAAATCTTTTCAGTTTTTTCAAATCGCTGGGATTGAGAAACCTTGAAACGGTGATGAGACGGTCGACCCAAGAGGTCTCGTCAAGTGCTGATTTGGGGAGTGGTAAAATCTTGTCCAGCATGCACCTTTCCGTGGCCACGCTGTCAAGAGAAATTCAGCTACATGTGAGCCTTGAGCCAGTCAATTATCAGACTTGCAGCACATACCATAATCGCTGCTCGCCTATAAACATGGCTGATAAAACAACCTGAGGGATCCAGCCAAAGTGAGCAATATGGCTCCGTTCATTGTCCTCACTGCATCACGCCAAAAACAAGAATGCCCGGGTCAGAATCGCCGACGATCAAAATTTATTTGCAAAGAGCGCCAACATTTCCGTATACGCTATATCGTAGAGCCGGCCTAAGGCTTTAAGAGCCTCTTGTTGAATAGATTGCTACGATTTGGTAGAAAGGCCAGAGTTAGTGGTAGTCAGAGGCGCTGGTTGACAGGCGACGTACTAACTTTTTTATCTTCAATTCTATTACCCAAGCATCGCAAAACATTGGTTTGGATATAATGTAGTGTCAAATTGAACTCGAGGTCAACAAAGAATTTGCAACTCTCGAGCCGCACTTTCTCGTCAGGATCAGTCAATTTGACAAATAGGACTTGATTGATATCGTCCTTCAAATGCGGGTGTTGGGAAAGTATTGACTTGCAAGATTGAATGACGGCGATGCGAATCTGAGGTGAAATATCTTTGGACTTGGAAATCCAGACCTTCCAGGTGTTGGGGTATCGTCGAGCCAAATCGTTACCGGCGGATGTCGCGCCGTTCGCGCTTGACCCGGCCAGAGTGTGAATATTGCTTGTGATGCCTGTACCACTCGAGGGCTGTGCCGCAAACATCTCACCAAGGGTCTCAGTAGCCAGGAGGCGCACATCGGCTTGTTCTGTCTCTAGTTCAACTTGCAGTTGAGGTATGACGTTGAGTAATAATCCCGGGCAGGCTTTGTGTATGTTTTTGATAAGTATATGGGTGTCTTTGATTTGCTTGGTCGATCCATCCTTGTCCTCTTCATCTGAAGACTGGGCATCTTCATCAGCCGAGTCTGAGGGATAGACTCGACCGGAAACTTTTTTTGCGCCTAGAATTATCAGGTCGGTAAAGTAGCGACACACCGCACTTTGAAGTTTATCCTCACAAGCATTGCATACATCCACTGCTAGTCTATAAGCAGCGGGGTTGGCCTTGAAGTTTTTCGGTTCGAATTGGGCAAGGATATACTTCAAAACTTGAGGAGATATATAGGAAGCTGCCTGGTTGATGATCTGCGCTAGCAAATCAGCAAACGTAAGAGGAATATTTTTGGACATCTCCGTGCTAATTTATGCAATATGCCACATTTTGGGCCACGGGATCCGAGTTAGCAAGTAGAAAGCAAAGGTGCATGCAACGGGCAAGGCTCATACCTAACAACATCGAAAAATAGCTTGAAAACCTCAGTCATCAGCTCCTCGCTACTTGGAATATCGCATATCAGAACAATACTCTGGACTGTCGCAAGTGACTCGAGGAGGTATAGATCTGAATTTCATATCACAACCAAGATTTTTCAGCTTCAGCGCAAATAATGCCTTTGTGGAAACATGACGTACAGTAAGATTGGTTAGGGGCCTGTCTGTTGGAAGAAGAAAGATTACGAAGTTGCCTGAAAAAGAATTGAAAAATGTCCTATCGTGCCCAGCAAAAACGTGATCTCAGTCATTGATGCAAGAATAGCGCGTCGGATGAATATACCTTTAACTCAGGTCGCGTATATGGTGCGTCTGGCGCATATAGCCTCAACAAATCCGCAAGGCCGCATGCTACCAAGGCCTTGACAGTCTTGTCTTTATGTACTAAAAGGCTAGGCTGAATGAGTTCTTTGCGGATACTCGAAAGTGAGTTGGTGTCGATCACGTCCTGATCCAATTCTGAAAGCTCAGTGTGAAGAGAAATGAGTCTTTTTATCAGCTCGGTAATCGTGAGTTTGGAGTCCTTCGTGAGATTTTGTTTGAATTGAAGACCTATGCGCAAAGAACTATAGTCAGTTTCTTAAGAAAAAAACGCTTGGCGAACCGGGTTAGCGATGCTCACGCTGCTTTTGTGGTACTTTGGGACCCATCTTTCTATCTAAGCAGCCTTAAGTCGAGTTATATTGATATAAGATCAGCACGCGAGTCGATCGAGGAGACCAAATATATCGTAAAATGGTAGTTGACCGTCGTTGCCGTTGATCGTTAAACTGAAGGGAGTTTCAGTCAAATCTTTCGTTGAGACGCGATTCACTTGTGAATGTTTATGGGTTTAAGACGACAAGCGCGTCGATGACACGATGTATTGCCCGGCCATGCCTCTCGGACCTTGACCGTCGTATGTACATCTCATTCCACACGTGTCTCTCAGGAATCTCCATGACTTCCACATCAAATGATGAAAGAAAGAGTCTGCTAGAAATGATATCTAAACCATCTAACCTCATGAACACAGTGACACCACAGAGGTGGCCACCAAAGAACTCAGGATATCTTGAGGAGTTGGTTTGATAGGTCACACACAATATGTCTGGAGCTCTTTTCTGTCTGTATGTAGAGCCTCACCAACTGTCGAGATACAAAGTCAAAATAGTAGAGATTGCCTAAAATATATTAAAAATCTGCAAGGATGTATGTTCATTTTTGATTACCGGAGCTTCATTTATGACAAGAGGCTCAAGATATCTTGATATAACAATTTTGGTTGAATATAGTTTCTATTGCATATATTGCATAGAGGCTGAGTTGCAATTATGGAACTTGATTTGGAGTGATTTTTATCATGGACTTGATGGAAATCATGCGTGTGACATTCCTCCACTATAGCATCACTGGTTATATCATCCTCTTTCAAACTCAAGTTTTTTGTGTCAGCTGTTGTTGGTGTGACTGTCTGAAATTATTACCAATGAATATGTTGCTGGATTAACAGTTAGCTCTCTATTATTTTCATATAGATATCGTGGGTCTGATCTCACCCTTTTTGTTGGTTTTATAGTCAGATAGCTGGCCGCGGCATCAATTGCCGGATCTCTACCCTTGGATAATTCAAGACTGGCTGTTTCAAAGAGGCATCTATGATGATCCAAAAAGTATTCTGGCAATTAAATAAAATCTTATAAGACTTGAACCAAAGAGATACAAAATCATCCTCTATATACTACAAGAAAGGCTTTAAATAAAACCTAGAACTAGAGCAATTACGGCCATTTCTTGAACTTCCGCAACTGCTTGACAAATATACTGCAAGAAAGACCCAAAATAATTAAACCAAAGATTTGATTTTCTGAAACTTCCTCAACTTGACCACAAATGTCCATAACTTAATTTTACAATTCGTTCCAAGATTTTTCAATATTTTTGCTCTGATAGTCCTGTGAATTTTGTGGAAGTACATCTCGTGATGTTGAAGCCCTAGGAGGCAACCCGGCTAAGTCACAAACAAACAAACAAAAAGCACATTCAATATCTATTGTTTTGAAAGACATGATTGAAATTTGTAGTGTGAACTCTACCACTTTCTAGAACATCTGTGCCAATTGTTGTGAAGTCTTTGGGACCTGATACATGAAAAGCAAATGGAGTTGACAACCTGGATTTGTACATAGCTGGTCTGTTAGTAGGGCTCCATCCAAAAAATCCTTTTTCTCATTTCCTTTAATCTTCGTGTCCCAACCTCCTCTTTCCCTGTGTTTCTACATATGGGTCTTTTAGGTTAAGCCATTGATTCATTTAGTTTGTATGGTGCTATTGGGTGTTGTTTATCTCAATGTTTTAAGGATGATATTTTCATTGTTTTGAAAAGGAAAAAAAACAGATTCTTCTTTCAATATTATTGTTTGATCTTCTTTCGCAGCTACCATTTGTTTTTCACTTATCGTCATTTTTCATATTTTGTATCTCACCACAGTAGTATTTGTTAGGTGTTTTTTTCATTTGTCCACTACAACCCCATAGGGGTTTTTTTCATTATGAAGAATATTGTTATCTGGGGCATTATGCCTGAGGATTTTGCCAAACATGTTTGCTTTTATTACAAGCAATTTATTTATTAAGTTTCTTTGTAAGTTTACTTATCCAAGTTTCCCCAAGTTTGTGCCAAATGACTCATGTTAGTATTTGCACCCTAGACTGTTGTCATAAGGCCCAACTCTAATGCACTATTTGTGAATTCCGCAGTACTGGCAGAGGCTCTTTCCAGGATTGAGACCATGAATTGGACAAAGAATAAGTTGGAAGATTGGGACCATGTAATTCTCTCTCCATTTCTGGTTGAAACACATGACCAGTTGCTTTAGGTCAGCTGCTCCATTCAAGAAAAAGAATTGGAAAATATTATACATTGCTCTTTAGGAATTGAAAGGAATGAATATGCCACAGATCACAACATACAACTTGCTTTCAAGGTGCTCCATGGATCTTCCATGTTTTCATCCAAAGCCAGTAAAACCATTCAAGTCACTAAATAACAAAAAGCTTATCTTCAAGGATAGATATGAAGAAGAAGAATTGATGGGAGAGATTGCCACATTCATGAGAAAAAAAGGCCAAACCTCTGGCAAATCTACTATATCCTTTTCAAAATTTGAAAATAGCAAAGATACATGATGCTAAACACATACTTTGAGATTCAAAACCTTCACAAGTGCTCCCTCTTCAAATCAAGATATGAATCCCCTCAGAAGACTCTATCATTAGGTTACTCTGGCACATTCCTTCTCACATTGAGGGTGCTCAGTCATACCTTGAAGAGAAGGCTGAATGGAATGGTATGTTCTCACAGTTACTCATTTGAAACAGACATTTTTGTCAGTTGGAATTTCAGGATATGCTGACAGCTTGCCCCATAGGTAAATCTCAAAGATGGCAGCCCAATATTGATACTTTTGAAGAATTTCCAATATGTATGGCGCCTATGAATGGAGACATAGAAACTTTAGACCTGTGACGTGGGGCACACCATAAATTTCATAAAATTTGTCTGGAAGTGAGTTACAGAAATCACATGTCCCCCATAATCTTCCATGATCTTACTCATGCTGTCTGTCCTTCAATGTAATATCAGTGGATGCCTGGGTCAATTGACTGTGAAAACCCACTGAAATGCCCACTCTGCTGCATAGAGTTCACCCCAAAGACGCCAGAATAGGCCAGAATCCAGTGAGAAACCAAATTGAAACTGTCCAACAAGATATGTGCTTGTTTTTCTTTGGAGATTAACTTCAAATTTGTTTACAAGTTCCAGAGATGGGTAGCTTGGGCTGAACCAAATTTCCAAAGCTTCACTTTTGTTTCAATTTTTTATGCCTTGAATTTATCAATCCAGTTCTAACCCTCATGAGACTTCTTAAAGCTCAGTGTAGCGTTGTGTACTCAACTCATTGAGTATCCCATTGAAAATCACCTGCCAAACACCCCTAACATGCTTGCGTGATATTTAACTCAAATTCTGTAATAAATTTTGTGCTAGATGTGAAGCACACTCAACCTTGCTACAAAAGAAGTGATTGTGTTTTTTTCCAGGTAGTGGAGATGATCAATGAGATTTACAATGTTTTAAATTCCAAGATTTGAATTGCAAATTCAGCCTTTCTTCTCATACAATGTTGATGCATGCTTATTACATGTTTGTGCTAATCCCTCTGCATTCCACTCCAACACCACCCTCCTCCACCTTTCAAGTTTTGAATGAGCAGTAAACTTTGAGCCAATCTCCCTGCAGAGACACCACCTTTCTCCAATTCTCAGGCACAGCATGAGCCATACCCTGGGGATACTATCTTCACACCCATATCTTTTGGGCTCATCCAAGGGCCTCTGTATACTTGGATGCAATTGATTGGAAGTTTCAATCAATTCTCCAACTCATCTCTCTGGTGTAAACCTCAGAAGATATTGGTTACCTTGTTGTTGGACAGGCTAAAGGAGGCCTCTATCAAATCAATGAAAGGCCCAAAACCCTATGATCCCATAGCAAACGGGATCCAATAGATGGGATCCATTTAGAAATTTTTGACTGTGATTTGAGTCAGCATAGTGTTACAAAGTGAAAAACTCTCAAGCTGACATCCAAGTCAAGAGACAGCTACAAACCAGAATTCGATCCTGCAGTTCAAATTACAATGCTATCATGTAATATTGTAATTCACTCACCCTTGCAAGTTCAATATGAGTAATAGACTTATAAGTTTGCCAATGGTAATGAAAATGCAAGCCAAAAACTCTAGGTGCTTGGTAGCAATTCCCCAGAAAGAAAACTGATCATACATGATCAGTCAAAATTAATCATACATGAAGTTCATACTACTGATACATTTCTTGATTCGATCACAACAAAAGAACAGAAAAGCAAGCCTGATGCAAAATAGATAAAAGGGGTTACTACTATACTTAAACTGTATTACATATATATAGCAAAGTCAACTGATTTTCAGATAAAAATTACGCTGGTCGATGATGATGAGCCCAAAAACAAGTATAGAGTTTCCTTTGACCTTATGAAGGACACTGCAAATTCAACTAATCAAACAGCCACTCCTCAAAACCGGTAATCCAAGTTCATTTAATTCTTCGATTGCAAGTTCTCTTGCATCATCTTTAGTTTTTAGTTTGATTTCTTTGGGAAACCAACGTTCCATGTAAACTTTTGTTTGAAGTTCCAAGGCACCTAACAACACGATTACACAAAAAATTGATCAGCTCATGTGTCTGGCGGGACATAACAAAAAGGCAAAAGAATTTATAGCAAGGAAGACATACGAGGTGTGGTATCCAAAACAACACATTGCCTACATACCGGGCATCGATCCTCAGAACTCTTCTGCAATTTTACTAAACATCTTACACAGAACCTATGACCGCAATTCATCTTCACAGGCTTATAAGCAATTTCTCTACAAATAGGACACTCATAGTTTTCTAAGATCGGTACCACTTCTACAAGTCTTTCACTTAAGACTCTAATCATATCCTGATCGTTGCCTCCTACTTGAGATGATAAATTGAAAAATTGAGTCACATTTGGTAAAGAAGTCCGTTTTGAATGTTTCTTTAGTAGTTTCCTAATCGCTTCGGAATTCATTTCAGAGTACTTCTTCAACTCGATCAATCTATGATTCAAATCAATAAAAATCTCAAGATCTTGATCAGCTTTTTCCCTTATTCCACTTTCAATAAACTTTTCCCATCTTTCTTCAATACCTTGACAATGATTAAAAATTTGGAGTTGATAATATAATGAAATTATAGGTCTCCATTGATAAAGTGTACGAATTCCAGTTCTGGTTGAAGAGTTGACGGTTTTTGAAAGTTTATGATAAAAAGTTTGTAAATGTTTCGATAAAGATTCATGTTCAGATTTATAAAAGCTTTCAATTAAGATTAAAGCTGATTGTAATTCTTTGAAAAACCTTCCATCGTGTTCAAGTGGAATCAAAAGTTGAGTTTCTTTTGAGGTTTGCTTATTACTTGAAATCGCCACTTCTTCTTGGATTGATTGTGTCTTGTTGATAGATTCAATTGGGGACGATTCCTCGATTGGTTCAATCGTAAGTCTAATGAGCGCTACCAACGAATGTTGATCATCGGAAGGGACTAAGTAGACACAATGAGGCTTTTGAGTAAAGAACTGTGTGAATCAAAAGCAAATTAGAATGTTGAGAATTGACTGACCGTCTAGCTCATAAGAAGCTTTCAAGACATTGACCCATTGAGCCTTACGAGTGCCAATTTGAAGACAGACAGGGTGAAATGTTGAAGATGTGGTTTTGTTTGTTGAGATGACCAGTGAGTGAATCTGAAATGGTAAAGTGGTCTATTACAAAAGCAAGGCATACATTAGGGGCTGTGTACATGTATGCGTGTTCAGTGCGAAGCCTTACCCGAGCTTGATCAGGGTCATTGATGGCGGCAAGATCCGAGGAATCGAGTAAAGTGGTAAGAACGGATCTAGTGAGACCCGATGCTTGAAGTTCTTCTGAAAGGAGTCTGATGAGCTTTTTCAGCTATATATGCACGAATCAATGGTCATCAAGGTCAACATCGATTCTAGAAGTGGTCGAGGTACAGAAAGATAAAGGAAAACTTCTAGATACCGCTTTGTAACCTATCGCAGATTGAGTCCATTGCTTAGGACCTGATCTGATAGTTTGATCGTATGTTTTACCAAACTTCATCTGGTTGATCGGAGGTATTAATCTGGGCGATGTGATAAGGTGAAGGGGATGTAGAGACGAACGAAGAAGATGAGAGTATGTGTTGGACTGCGAAGAGAAAGGTTAGAGAAAAAGTACAACTTCAAAGTTTTGTACCTTTGTAATTATCGCCATGCCATGATGATGTGAATTACCTTTTGCATGATAATTGATCGAGGGGTAAATGCTAATAGTGATCAAAAGTCGATATGTGGCGCATCGTTTAAAACTCGCATCTTCAAGTTCATCTTTTTCATTCATGTCTACCTCATTACTTCTTGGTGTGTCAGCTTAGATCATTTCAATACGAAGTTCATCCAAGCAAATAGATGAAGCACATAGTTTTTATTCTCGAGTCGTGACCAATCCATATGAACACTTTCCTCAACTCTTCGTTTCCAGCCAAAACGATGAGCACAGCGCTGCAATGTTCATCAAGAAACCAGTTTACCATGGCGGAACATCTGATCGAGGGGCATGGAGTATTGACGGCGCAGCCTATGATTGCCAGCGTGCATACTTATCATCAACAAAGTATGATGTACTTCTGCTACACCGCCTATGTAACTGACATTGGCTGCAAAGAGTCTTCTCGAATTCTCTGGGTATTCAGCCATTTTCCTCCCTAGTGCATAATTACTCTCACGTATGAAGGTGTTGGCCCCACAAGTCGGATCACCCATACTCGTGTGTTGAGAAGCTTTATACCAGCAAGCGTGATATGCATGGGTTTTGCATTCGGCATGGGTCACATACATGATCGAAGACATCTCAGACCCAGAAAATTTGAGTGACAAGGACCCATATGGTGAAGCATATGTGTGACTGGCTCTCCCTCATGGATATCATCAATTTTCCTATCAACCAGCTCTAAAGAGTCATTCATTTTTGACTCATTTATCTAAAACATGGTCTTACTCAATGTGGTTCTACCAATCTTGCTTTTCCACTGTGTTGAGAACCACCTTGTTCCAGTCTGATCTTCAGTTGTGGCACTGGCTGGATCTCAAATCATCTGTATAGGTAGGTCTTCTATGGATGCACAGCTTGACGGTGTTTGCCTTTCTCTTCTACATCAAACCCCTCTCAAAAGGCTCTTTGCAGTACGGTGTACGTATAGACTCATACCAACATATAAACATGTAATTTTTCCATGTCATGTTTAGTCAGAATTCATCCCCAAGCCAAAAAACCATACAACATGACTCATACCTAACTTAACTAAGTACCTCCTCAAACCGCGTGCGTCCCCCAGAGGTTGCGGAGGAGGGACTTACAACTTACACGATTTTTTGGCTTGATACCAATCTGAAATTCACTGAACACGCTGTCCTTTGCAGATGCATCTTGTACATAATAGCCCTCACTATATACTTGCCTTGATAAGAAGATATCTGCTTGAGGTGAAAGTGAAGAGTCGCAAGTTTTCGAGCCAAAATTGGAGGACTGCGGATGCTTCTCTCTGTCTCTGACAAGGATGACAGAGAGCTTATGGGTTAGCAGAGAGAAATCGAGACTCATGTGTGTAAAGTGACTGTAATCGCAGCAGTCTCAGTTACCAAAATCTCAATTTTTAATTTTTGGTTTTTTGTCAACTGAGGATATAACTGCTTCTACAATAGCTATAGAAATTCTGAGTAGAGCAAAAGGTCATAAAAACATGCTTCTATAAACTTCATATAGGCATGATGGAAGGTTTATTTTGTCTGAGGGGGCGAAAATGGACGCTGGAGATAGCCCCCGCCAAAGTCAATTTGGTATCAAGCCAAAAATCACTGATAAGTTGCAAGCCCCCCCTCCACAGTCTGCGGGGGAGGGGCTTGTGTTAAGCTAGGACTCATACTGATACACATTGACATGGATTTTTGTTTTCCAAATCCTATGTTGTAACATGAGTCATCTCGTACATCATACCATCTGGGAAGTGTCATACCAACACAACATGACACCAAATGCAAATCTCTCTAAAAATATTACATTCAAACTATCCAATTTTTGATGCATTTTTCTGCAATCAAGAGTTCAAAAAAAATTAATCACTCAATCCTAGCTCTACAGTCAACTATCTTTATTTGACAATCCACCTGCATTCTTCTTCCTTTGTCTTGCTCTTCCGCAAATAATGCCAAAACAAAACAACATAGCTATCATCAACACAGTACTGGAAAATGGTTTCAACAACAGACTCACCATACAAGAAATACAAGATAACCTTGTGAAAGAAGGAATAACAATGACTGAGAGAATAATCAATCAACATTGTAAACTTTTGGATCACAACAACACCAAGCCGCCCGTTTGCAAGGATCAGCTTGAAAGACATATACCATCAGCACACACCCCCATGAAGGCAAATCAAGCAAGGAGATACTCATATGCTTGAAGAATGAGGATAATATTATAATCAGCCAATACACCTTAGCTTGTAATTGAAAAGAAATGAACTTAACCCGTAAGGTTGATGATATCAACAAAGGAAAGTACACAGAAGAAGACATAGGTCAGCTCATTACCAAGATCCAGTCAGAAAATGAAGAAGAAGCTGGTATTTTTTCTATCAAAAACATTTTACTACAGGAACACAATGTCCATATCCATAGGTCTGATCTTCACTGTGTCATATCTTCAACATGATGCATACTTAACTTTTTACAAACAAACAGAGACCGTCTTGCACAATTGTTACGGCAAATTGATTAGGAAGGAGTCTCACATTGCCAAAGAGCAATCCTAGTTCACTGTAATTTCAAATGTCCAGTTCGAAATCATATATGGTCAGCAGACGGTCATGACAAGCTCCAGAAGTGGGGTATTAGGATATATGGCTTCATTGATGCTTGGTCTTGCCAAATCCCGAGTCTCTTCATACATGTCACTAATAGTGACCCCCATCATATCAAAATTTACCATCTTCGATGTGTGAAAAAGTATGGTGGTGCACCACAGTATCTTTATACTGATTGAGGTACTGAGACCGGAAAGATGGCAGCCAGTCACTCTGCATTTGTTTGTATTCACGGTGAGATGACCAAGGAACAAGCATTGAAATCCGCATTCTCAAAGTGAAGAATGAACATGCAAGATACAATTCCATCCTCTATCAAATTGGCCTGTGAGACTTCTGCGTGGACTGGTATCTGACCATCATGCAATAAAGAAGAAAGTTTCAGCTCTCATCATTATCATGTTTTAAATCAATGAATCTAAATTTCAATTCACCGTGCCAGTTTCCCGGCGGCTCGTCGACCAGCACACACAGCGGTCTTACAGAAGACCCCTCAAAACACTTACGAAAGTCTTTGCCAATCTCATGCCTTTGTCACCAGTGTTGGAGGCCCGTACCACTCCATTCCCGTTGATTTTGGGTGGACAAGATTCCTTTGTACCCAGCAAAATGTAGGCACAGACCTCAATCTTCAAACAGCCAAACAAAACTCGTAAAAATACCAGTATTGTCTCACTGGAGCCAAGAGTAGTACCCTTTGTACACGCTAGAACGTGGTCTTGTAATTTCATGACATGTCTTTTCCTCGCCTTTTGTGCTTTTTGAGATCACCGTCTTTGAATTTTCGATCCAATCTCCTTCCAATCCATCCTGTCTCTCTTTTTCCCCTAGTCTGGTGTGTCACTTTAAGAGCATCATTCAATTTTTCCTCTGTTTTCTGTTTCATCTCACTGATTTCAGTCGTTTTGGGTATTCTTCTCTCTTTAGAACAATTGCTCTGCTTATTCAAACAAAGACTATTAGTTACCTGTGGTTTTCTCGTTACAAATCATACTCTGGTGAGGTTTGTTTTATTAACGTTATTATGTCTCAAAAAGCTACAATCTTTGAGCCTTACTGACTGCTACACAATCCAGATCAAACACAATGAGTGCTCCTACAAACACACATGCTTCGGGTGCAAACACTCAATCTGGTCCCGCAAATAAAAGAAGGCGAGAAGATAATCAAGCTATGGGAGGTGTGTTAGAGTTTCTTCCTTTCAAGCTCCAAGTAGTTGTATTGATCGCGATCTCTCTTTTCAGATGACGATGAAAGTCCAGATGATGAATATGAATATGACAGCTCTGGTACGTTCTTTGTTTGATCTTTTCTTTTTCACTCTATCACTTGGAAAGTTTCCAGTGTACATAATTCTTCTGCTTTAATATGGTCTCATAGATGGCGAGCTTGAATTTGAAGAAACTCAAGGGCGCAAACGCCAGAAAGCAGCGATGCGTCAAGAAGCTACCGAAGCACGCCACCGCAATGCAATGATGGCAGAGATTGCTGATGCCCCAAATGTTCCAAATGCGGCGTCTCAAATCTCTCAAGCAATCTACGAATGCGTTCGAATGTTGATGGGTATCTCTCGGAAGTCACGCTCAGGACAACTTGAACAGAACACTGTAGACCCATCACTTCCTCTCGCTCCGACTGTAGAAGAGATGAACGAATGGGTCAATCGTCAAAACGACCGAGAAGAGTTCATTGATTCAAAGATCAAGAAGGCAATGCGAGCTTATATTGCAAGCAAACCACAAGGCTTCAAGCCGAATAGGAAGCAAGTCCGTACTGTCAAACGAGATGCTGCAGAACGCGCACGTAACAAACATAAACTCATGCCTGTCAAATTTCTCTCGCGAATGGACCTCTCTTCTTCCTACAAATACTCACACAGCTGGGGAACCAAATGCGAGGCGGCTTTGGCTCTGGCAGGTTTCACTCGTTGTACGTTTGACTGGAGGGCAGGATACGACACCCCTTGGAATTCAACCATGTCATCCATCATCATTGAACAATGGCTCAAATGTTTCAATGCCAGCGGAGCACGCTCATATTCTATCATATCATCGGACAACACATCCGGAAACCGAGAGGAGCTTCTTCGACGATGGTTTACCAACAAGAAAAAACAATACGGAGATCAATGCAAACAAAATATTTTAATGACTACAGCTGAAGGTCGTGAAAAACTCAAAATTGACAAGGCCCATGCCAAGAAGGTAGTAAAACGTAGAAAAGCAAAAGCTGCTGTAAGTCACCTGTTTGTAAGGACAAGATTTCTTCATAAACTAACACATACTCTTAATTTAATTCAGATCCACAAAGCTCGATTATCTGTTGCAACTGAAATGTTTGGTGAGAGTTCCAGTCAGGTGAAGATGTTAACACCACGTGAAGTTCATTCGGAAGATGAACTAGGCAGCTCTGGAGGCTCTAGCAAGGTTCGGTTAGCCTGGCGCAGTGCCGAGTTGGACAATTTCATCAGTTTGATTGATCAAACTATTGTGTCTCGTGAGGTCATTGCTGCGGCTAAACGTTCTGCACGTCATTTAACGGATCGTGGTCCTTATTCAACAACACCCGACACGGATATGTTCCCTCCAAAACGTTTCCAACGCTCTCTGATCTCACCTACCTGGATGAGTTCTATGTCTGGGGTTGCAATCAGACACTTGGACTTACAAACAGAAGAGACTATTGACATTACCAAATCAATTGAAAAGCTCATTGAAAACCTTGCTTCACATCAATCAACTTCTTCATAAAAAAATACACTCTTTCTGTTCTGCTGTGCTGGTTTTTCTTTTCTTTGTATATTGTTTGTTGAATTTTCTCCCACTCCTCTCACTTCCAATGTAACATGTTAAATATGTGGCTTGTTGAGCTCTAGTGCCCGAAGCTACATCATGTTCCAACTCATCTGGGCTCTCAATGAAATTTACTAACCATTTTCATTTTATTTCTTTTGTATATATTTCATGGCTTATTGGTGCTATCTCCTACGCTCCTTGCTGTTATTTCATGTGTATATACTTCATGCTTTATTGGTGCTATGTCTGATGGGATTCAATATATACATGGTGATTCTTGTCCACTATACTAAGGTTTACTTTGAAGCCCTCACAGAATTCTATATTATTCCACATGTCATGAGCACATCTTCCACACTCAGCTCTGATGTCAAACCCAAAGTTCACATGAGAAGTTTGTGTGAATCTGTGGTAAAGATCCAACGTGTCATACTGCAACTATCCGGTGTGCTCTGGCCATTCAAAGGACCGAGCCAGCAGATTTTATTTGTAAGACTTACTAAATTTGGCTGTTATAGTTCCAAACTAACCCTTTACCCAAAGGGCTTGATCAATTCGGTTCTTTTGAATTTGATCACTTTTACCACCTCAAACGCATACTCACCCCTGGCCAACCCTTCTGGATGAGGTAGATTGAGTGTAAGACTGGTGAACTAGTGGTGAGTTTGTCCACTAATGGCATGTTTGAAAACATCATATTTTCATCTGACTATCCATAATCCTATTATCTCATTAATAGGTACGATCTCAAATCAATGATGTGGTTTGGTCCAAATCATATATGCTGTTCTTGTACACAACTTGGATGTGTGAATGAACTATTCCAACGAGATGGCCAGACGCACAATGGTCGCCTGTTCCATCGAACAAACTACAAACATCATCTCACAAAACAAAAAAAAGTAATTCCTCAAGCTTTACCTGAAACCGAGAGATCTCTACCGCCAATAGCGACATCATCCCAGAATCCGCTTGACTCTCTATCTTCAACCACCTTGGGTGAAGGAGCCTCACACCCTCGGGTTCAACTATCTAGTACCCTTGATATGGACCAAATTTCCAGCAACAAACGAAGAAGAGGTGATGATGAATCAGACCACACTTCATCAAACAACCCACGGCCCAAACATCCTCGTATTGGACATCAATCTACGTTTGAATATGCCCCGATGGTTACATTTGCAACTGCACCTTTCCGAATTCCTCGAACTCTCTTCCAAAGGGTTTCAAGTACCCAATCCATGTTCCATGTGATTGACGACTATCTCAACCACAACAAGAGCGAAAAGAGTTGTCGAAAAATGTTGGCGATGGAACGCTTGAAAGTCAAAACAGCACTTGCGTCAAAATCAACAAACTCGAGGGAAGTGTGGAAAGAAATTCCACTTACTATTGAAAAAACTATCAAGTGCTTTCACCTCTTTGTCCCATTAGATGAATTGATATCATGTCGAGTTTGCTTTGCAATGTATGGCAAAACAAATTCTACGGGCTTAACACCAAGTCGTTGCACCGAAAAACGCTTTCCGTCAAAAACTTCTACCAAGCCAAAAATCATCTGCAATGCCTCCCTCTACAGGCCAAATTTATCCGATCCAACCAAGATGAAACCTCGCCGTATCTTTTACCACCAGAGTTTTACAAAATGGCTTGCTCGGATGCTTTCTTTTGACACTTTTGAACAAAGTCTTGAAGCTTCGATATCAGCCAAACCACTCTCAGATGGACGCATGACCGACATATGGCATGGGACCATGTGGAAAACTTTCAAATTAGATGGAAAGGTCTACACAAAAACCTCGGGAAATCTCGTATTTGGTTTTTTCTGTGATTGGTTCAATCCGTATGGAAAGAACTCAGTTCGTAATGTTTCAGTAGGTATCATGCTCATGGTCTGCTTCAATCTACCTCCAAACATTCGATATCAACATCAGAATTTGTTTATCTACGGCATCACCCCCGGACCTCGTGAACCCACTTCCGAGCGAATGAAACATTGCCTCTCCCCGCTTCTGAAAGAACTTCAAACACTTTCAAGTGGTATCTTTTTCACTGAGACAGCATTGAACCCTCAAGGTCGAACAATCCGGGTGGCATTATGGCCTCTCATAGCCGATGTACCAGCGATGAAGAAGATTTCAGGATTTTCTTCACACAATTCAACAAATTTTTGTTCGATTTGCTACATAACTCTTGAGGATATTGACATAGTCAACCCAAATACTTTTAAATGTAGAAATCCTCGCTCTCATAATATTCAAGTTCAGAATTGGAGCAATGCTCCTACTGCCAAGAAGCGTCAAGAACTCTTGAAAGAAGATGGAGTCCGATACACCATTTTTTCCGAATTACCTTACTGGCATCCGATCAACTTCCCAACCATCGATATCATGCACTGCCTTGTACTGGGTCTGCTCAGAGATCTGTCCACCACTTATCTGCAAATTGGCGCTGCCGGAAAGAGTTTGCAAAATGAACAAGATCAACGAGATCTTCGTGGTGAATACTCCGATGATCCCTCTCCATCTGATGATGACAAGCCAATGGAAGATGGTACAGTGTCATCGATTCCTTCCTCGGACTCAATATTGGATCAACCTTCTAGTCTTCCTTCTAGTCTTTTGGATCGTACACATTACCCTCGCCAAGCAAAATCAAAGAGCTCTACCCAGAGCTCCAATGACTCATCTCAACACTCTTCCGAATCTTCCAATTCTGTTGTATCCAATGAAACAATCACGGGGCATCCTGCTGGCCCAGCACTCACTCCCCACGAGCTCAGAATCCTTCACAAATGTATCACAGCCACACATGTTCCGTCATGGTTGACCCGTGTTCCCAAAAAAATTGGCATGGCTCAATGTGGCACTCCCAAAGCTGCAGAGTGGCTAACAATGTACACGATATATGTAGTACTTTCATTGATTCCATATCTTCACAATTCTGAACCAAATAGCGCGTCAAGGAGAATTCACACGGCCTTTACACTTGCCACCCAAATCCTCAACATAGCCATATCACGATCTCTGCACAAACAAGACCTTCAGTCACTCTCAAGACTTCTTGTCGAGTATCGCACCCACCTTCAAGCTGGATGGCCAACCATCAAATCCAAACCCAATATACATTATGCTCAACATCTGCCGGAGCAAATCCGACGTTATGGTCCCCCTTCTTACACTGCGTCATGGTTTGGAGAACGTACAATTGGGACCCTGGTTAAAACTCCGAAAAACAAACATCAAAGTATGTCTTGTGTTTTACTAAGTTTTCTGCTGACTTCTGACCATTTTTATTTTTTGAACATCATAGGCATTGTTGGGCAGACAATGATCCGGCGACACACCTCTAAGGCATTGTTTTCAAATCTTTGCAACAACATTCCCTCTAAATATGCTGAGACCATAGGTGTGCATACTCTATTTCATGCAAATCGGCCCAAATGGACAGCACATTCAATCTCTCCCGAATGCTCTCAAGCTCTAAGTCTACTCTTAACTCGATTGGGTATCCTGGGGTATTCAAAGACTGAGAGCACTTCGCTTTGGCAACACGCAGGGAAATCATTCACAATATCTAAACGGCACATAGGAAATAGTCGAATCGAGTTCAAAGACCAAGGTAATACTACATTTGGTGAAATAGTCCACATTTTACGTGTGGACTCTCATCCAGGTCCTCTATTTGTCATTCGGCCCTTCCGCCCACTCACGCATTTGGACGAGTCAAAGAGCCCGTATCACTCGTACCCATACTTAAAAGCCAGGGTTATGTACCGCCAACCACTTCCATTACGTGTCATTGCACTTGATGACCTTTTTGGCCACAGTGCTCTGGTTGAGAACGATGCTGGAGCAATGAACATCCCAGCCCCCACTGTAAATCTGATTAGCTTGCGAAGTTTGGTAAGCACTAACATTTCTGCACTTTTAATCTGATACTGACACTTTTCATCGTTAATATAGGGAATCTCGGAGATGGCATCTACATATACAGATCTAGATCCAAAACCGACTTAAGCTAGTATGCCTGGTCATCATCAATTGGCTAACACATGTATCACGCCTTACCCCACAAATACTTTGTCTCGCTTGTTCTTTGAATATGTTACACTTCAATGGACTCATTGTATATACATGGAATCGAGTCGCTTTGGGTAAGAAGGCTATTGTCGTTTACTTTCCAGACGCTTGTGATCATCAACTCCCTCTGCTGTCTCACTGTTAGTTCTTTTCACCCCACCTGTATCGTCTCCACTAAACTTGTGTAAGTCAGGTAAGATTGATTGTTGGATTTTCGATTTTGAAGGTTCTCCTTACATGCAACTTATAACATGGATTATGAATATTATTCGACTGTTATGGGCTTACAAACATTCAAAGCTCGCACAGGATACTTTCATGGGAGATCCTTTGCAGCCATCAAACTCATCTATTTGTATTGTAATATGAGGACTTGCTAATAGTTTCATGCAAAAAGAAAATATATACACAGAACAGCACAGAGAAAAAAACTCGTGAAAACTTTAGAACAATTTATTGGAGTGATATTATTATCTGTGAAGGCAATTCGTTGAGAAGATTTGAAGCTGGCTTGATTCTTAACGCCGCCCTTGCTTCAGGTGTGAGATTTGCAAGAAACACTTGTTCGTAGCAGTTTTCTGGAAGCCCACAGCAAACTGGTGCTTGCTGGTTGACTTCAGATGCTTCGACCCGACATTGGTCAAACCTTCGCCGCGCTAGAAGTGTACTAGAGACAGACTCCTTGTATTTGAAGGAGAGGCGGTCGAGCTGATGTAGAATGTGAGTGTACTGCCTGCTTCGCCATTTCAACCCAATCGACTTGTATTGAATGTCTTCTGGTTGCCAGTCCGTTTCAGAGCAGCAGTCTGGGTCAGGCATTAGTTTGCAATCATCAGAATCGTCGGTTCCAAGCAAACGACAAAGGGACTCGCGTCGATACTGAAAGAGCTGGTGGATGGGATACCGAATCATCTGTGAGGCTGATGTTCAAGCAGACGGAAAGAAAGTGGAAGACCTACCATTCTCTTCTTACGCGCCTTCTCCTTGTTTAAAACTTTCTTGTGAGAGCGACCACCTGTTCGAATCTCCTCGGTACGACCTCGCACCCAACGAAGTATCAGACCCATACAGTTGGCTTGGGTGCAGTGTGTTGGGTTGACAGGTTTGGGGTTGAATAAACCCTGCTTATATGAATATAACCAATGTTTTGAAATGAATGTGGCCATAGTCCGATTCCACTGGCTATGATCCGGTGCAGTCCAATCAAAGGTCGGTCGATAAATACCATAAGTCTTCAAATCGGCCGCAAATACAGCTATAGAACGATCTAAATTTACACTGCCGGTCTCAATCATGTCGGCCATGAATACACCCTGATCGTCAAATATTTTCTGTTGATCAACAATCTGTAGCTGGTCAAGCTCTTGAGAAGTCGGCTTCAAAGGATAAGACTTTGTAACAGGATTGTAGCAGAGTAAATTCCTTGTGAAAGTAGCGATGCACGTGCTGATGGCTGCGTTTGATTTAGGCAGACTGTCTGAAACTGAGGAGTTCAAAGCCTTGATTGACTTTGCCGGCGCACCTCTTTTCCAATAGTGTGAATTTCGTGGTGCTGAAACGGAAAAAGAAATGAATGAAAATACGATTAATTGTTGTACTTCATTCAACTTCAACGAAGTAACAAGACCCACCCATTTTGGAACTAGGCGTACGAGACAGAAGGATGAGCTCAATTGGGATCAAGAGATCTATCTCTTTGAATTTGTACAAACTGACAGTCATCTGCTTTAAACAAGAAGAGACCATTGAATGAATGGACTTTGTTATATTCTGAATGGACAAAGACCTCCTCAAGTGGCCTTTGCGTGTGGCAAGCAGGAAAAGCCGGTAAACGACGAGTTAGATTCAAAGGTCTGATCTTGACTGAAATCAGAAGACAGGGGTTGAACGCCCTTACTAATTTCTCATCATTCTGTATAAAAACAAAAGACAAAAGATAGGCTATCAAAAGTCTTCGAGTGTGCTGGTCGACAAGCCACTCGAAAACTGGCATGGTGATTAGTCCAATCAATTTGAAGAAATTGAGATTGATAGTTTTGAGTTAAACTGAATCTAATTTGAATGAAAGTTTTGGTTTAAGATGAATCTAATTTGATTGAATTGGACAAAGAGTTGGTGAGACAATCAATTTTGGTTTAATCACATGGAAGCAAATCGTTTTGGTCCTTTCAAAGGGAAATGATTTGTTTTTGTTGAATCAATCTAACAAAATGATTGGTTTTGGTTTGATTCAACAAAAACAATTTGTTTTGGTTGATTTGAAGGGAAACAGTTTGTTTTTGTTGAATCAAATGGAAAGAACAATTGATTTTAATTTAATCAAATGTAAACAATTTGTTTTGGTCAATTTGAAGGAAAATGAGTTGTTTTCATTGAATTGATTTGAAAAACCAATTGATTTTGGTTGAATCCTATTGATTCAAGTTGAGAATTGATCCAAAAACAAAGCAGATTGTTTTAGGTAGAATTGATTGAAGACAAAAGAGTTCTAAGTTGGATATTGTGAGTACTTCAAAGATAGGAGTTGAAATACTTACCCAAAGAACCAAAAGTGAAAGATGAAATGTTTGAGTTGGTAGGTGGGAAGGGTTGGTGATTTAGAAGGTACTTTAGATGGGAACTGGTTTTAAAAGTTCATTTTGAATTTCAAATTTTCAAAATGAAATACTCTGTGACTAAATGCTGTTTAGAACAATTTGATTTGAACACTGCATTTCTGTGATTTTTTGAGTCAAAGATCAAAAAGGAACAATGATGATAGGCAACATAGCTTTGTTTGGTTTGTACGCACAATGGAGATACTCAAAGAAGAGAATGTAAAATCATGAGTTATAGAAAATGGTCAATAAATGATCTAAATTTATATTTCATAGTGGTGATTCATCCTGATCTCTGTCTTCAAGAAGGTTATTCAAAGATGCCATACTTTCACTCAAATCAGGCTGACCACTGTTTTTGACATGTTCAGCAATGTAATCATTATTCACAGGGGCAAAAATTGATGCTCACAACTATGTGAGCGTTGAAATTTTCCTGTTTTGTTCCCATTTGTTTCCCATTTGTTTCCAATTTGTTTCCCATTTGTTTCCCATTTGTTTCCCTTTTCTTTCTGTTTGTCAGCTGATTACGTGATCATCAGGAACTGAGCAGACAAACTAAGCCTTCCTCAGCATTTATTCCTGAGCAAAGAAGTCTGAGGAAGGGCTGATCCATCTGCTCAGCTGATCCTGAGCGGCATTCCCTGGTTCAGTAAGCTCCAAGGGATGCCACCAATGTATAGCTTAGGGGCTGAGCTGAACTGAGTATTCCCTTAGCTAAGTCTCTGAAGTATCCCCCAGATGGATCACAGAGCGCCAAGCTTGCCTCAAGCTTGATGGCTCCGGAATGAAGCCTGAGGCCCGTCTGCTTGTTCAACTGAGCTGCTCAGTTATTCCTCAGGGGCATCCCTGAGATCAGGAGGATCCGAAGGATTTCACTGCTCATTGGATGAGGACCTGCTCAGCTAGTCCTCAGGGGCATCCCTGAGATCAGGAGGATCCGGAGGATTTCACTGCTCATTGGATGAGGGGCTGCTCAGTTATTCCTCAGGGGCATCCCTGAGATCAGGAGGATCCGGAGGATTTCACTGCTCATTGGATGAGGGGCTGCTCAGTTATTCCTCAGGGGCATCCCTGAGATCAGGAGGATCCGGAGGATTTCACTGCTCATTGGATGAGGACCTGCTCAGCTAGTCCTCAGGGGCATTCCTGGCCGGATCAGAAGGATCCAAAGGATGTCACTGAGTATTTGCTGAGGGGCTGCTCAGTTGATCTCAGCCCCTCAGTGTGAAAAACTTTATCCGGGGATATCACTGAGGATTAGCTGAGCAATGAGCAGATGGGATGACGCTTTTATCAGGATTCATTCCTTAGCAAGGAAGTCTGAGAAAAGTCCGGCCCATCAGTGATCCAGTCAGGGGATGCTACTGAGTATTTGCTGAGCAGCTCAAATGGGACGCCCCTGGGCAGGCTTCTTCACTGAAAAATGAAGCCTCAGGAAGGTATAGTTCATGTGCTCATCTTCATTTTGAAGAAATTGCTGAGTATTCAGTGCCTCATGAGCTGATCCTGAGTACTCATTGGGAATCAGTTATTGCTCATTCAAGATGGAAATGAGCCTTCTCAATAAATGTCAAGTAAAATATGAGAACCACAGGATGATCACCTGAACACAAACAAGATTGTGAATTGAATCAATCTGAATGAAAATGAATCTTTTTTGGAGAATTCCAAAAAGTCTACAACGCTCACATGTATGTGAGTATCTATTTTGGCCCCTGTGATTGTGCTTCTGTTCATGATCTTGGGAAGATGATTGATTTGGCAGGAGTGGAAGACCTAATTGACAACAGAGTGGATAACACCAATGTTGGTCCTCAAAGTTGACAAATCCCTGCTCTGCTGTATTTGTTTCAGCAACCCAAGCATTCCTAAAAGAATACAACATAACCATTCATGAGTTTATTCTAATGATCATTTGGTTAAAAAAGGAAATGTTATCTCACCTTGAATCAAGGATCAATGGGTCCGTCAAATATAGACCAGATCCTTGTAAATCAGCAACCAAACATTTATGTGATGTAATCTTGTGAACATAGTGGGTGAAGGCTGCAATGCATAGGTGAATTGGATCTCCAACTTTTTGTGTTCAGAAATATACATTTGAAGTGTATTTCTGAAATTTACCTGGATCAACTAGTGATTCTTCAAAAAACCAGATATTCTTCGGATCAAGATCATCATGATTTCCACTCTATGCCACAAATGAGTTGACGACCTAAAAACAATATATAATTCAGTTGTTTGATATATATAAGTCAATCAATCAACCATACCTGTAAATTTGCTATAATATCTATGAGTGGTTTATCTTTCAAAGAAGCACACACTGCCTGATATTTCTTCAACCACTTTGATACAGCCATATAAAGTTGCTGAGTATGGGTATATGAATGCAGAAGTTCCTTTCCAACAGCATCATTTCTTATGAGCTGCTTTGCAACCATCTTGCAAACATTTCTGTTCATTTCACCAAGTGCATTATAACATATTTGCCAAGAGCCTCTTCCAATCTCTTGATCAGTAAATACATGATATTTAAAATTGACAGGCGTCCAACCTGGGTACTTTGTTTTTGTCCATGAACAAGCTTGATTGGTGTAGAAGGTGTTGAGGGAGGTATCAAAGGTGTGGCAAATTCTGTGATACCAAGATTGTTGAATGTGGATAAGGCACCTGACAAGGTGGTAATTAGCATTTGTAAGACAGACAGAGATATAAAGTGTAGGAATTATCATCAATTGATTCCTCATTTGTCAATGTGGGCATATTGTTATCAATACAACCAAGAGAATTATTGTTTACTGTAAGAAGCAATTCCAAACCTTTCTGAGTGGTGAATTTTGTTTGGTGGTTGTAGTCAGTTTGTAAGATAGGTATGTTATGTCTAAGAGTTGGAATGAGGTGTGTTGATCTGTTGTTCAATGTGAATGTACTTGATTTGGTACTTGAAGGTAAGAGAGCCATGAGATTGGCCTGAGAATTTTGATTTTGACATGAGGTTGAGACAGATAGTTTCTTCTGGTGTTGGTCTTGTATTGTAAGAATGTTGCTAGTAGTTCTAGAGTTTCTGGGCTAGAATCATTCAAAATCTTGGTTGAAGAAGAGGCTGGTGCATTGTAATTTGGTTTCTTCACTTGCTTTTTTGCACAGGACTCTGAGCTGGAAACACTATCAAGTTATTCTTCAGAAGTTGAAGGTTTGTTTTTTTGGGTGTTTTTTTTTCTAGTTACTTTCTTTTTTTCAGCTGTTCTTTGGTTGGAGGATAATCTTTGTTGTGTTTATCACCCTCAAAGATAAGCTCAATTCCATTAAGCGCATTACTGAGATGTTCTTTGATCTTTTCAACTGTGATTTAACAGGAGGACAAGTAGTTGATGTGATATAGAAGTAATCAGATTGGAAGAAGAGTGGATATGTTGGAATTTTGTTCTTTATGTCTTGTATTTCATTAGAAAACTGTTCAAAGATTTGACGGCAAGCTTTGATCCAAAGAAGCTGATCAGATTCAACCCCAGTGATTGACATTTTGATTTTTGCTGCATGGTGAGGAAAGAATGTTTCACTCATACGGCCATGGTGATACATTGCCAACTTCACAGTAAAAGTGTATGATGGTTGAGTGGCTGATGTTTTTGGTTGATTTCAAGCAGAAGACAAAGACAGAGCTGGTTGATTCAGACATGAGAGGCCTTGACGTTGCTGTGATTTTGCTGCAGCAAAGCAGTTCTGAAGTGCCTGTGAATCCTTCTTCTTGTCTACTACTGATATGTGATTATTAAATGCATGATTTCTGAAAGCACTTGGCAGATGATTGCTATTGCTAGTGGCAGGTGGTACATCATTGCTAAGCTTCTTGAGGCAGTCTCCATACATTTTGAATTGGGTGTATTGTTGTTTGACTAAGTTGATGTGGCATTTTTTGCAGACACTAGACATCTTCAAGGAATATGTTTCCGAGGGGGTCGTGGTAATATGAACTATGATAATAGATGGCTTATGTTGTTTTGTGATATGTGACCAAAGTCTAGTAATACAATCCAATAGATACGGCAAAACAGTGGAGATATAAACAAAAGGCATATATTGAAACCTATGTACCGGTGGTAAATTGGGTAAAGCTATGAGATGTGATGTGGTGTGATGTTGTTTGTTGGTATGACCCTTGTTGGCCATCAGACCATCCGCCATGACTCATGTTACAACACGGGTGTTGGAAATCAAAAATCTATGTCGATGTGTGTCAGTATGAGTCATGTTGTACGGTTTTTGGCTCGGGATGAATTTTGATCAAACATGACATGGAAAAATTACACATGTAACCCATGTCATGTTTATATGTTGGTATGAGTGTATACATACACCGTATTGGAGGCATAGAGATCATGTTGTGGGCGCGGCGCAAGAAGCGCAAAAAACTCAGGCCCAGGCGCGGGCACGCCTGGTAGCACCCCAAAGCTTTGAAATATGTAGGGGCGCGCCCTATAGTTAATTTGCGGGTTTTTGTCAGTTTTGCAACACATTTCCATCAGAAATGCCTGGAGAGGACTTTGAGGAGTGTTGCTTCATCATGGTAAGTATTAAGATATTGGGCCAGCAGTCTACATAAATCACTCTGATCTGTTGTCACTTTACAGACCAAGTCTTGCCAAAAAGATGTATGCAAGCAAGTGACTGTAAGACTTTCATGTGTATAGGATCACAGTCAACTTCCTTTGATTGTGATTCTCTTGCAATCTACCTTACAGTCAATGACTAGAATTCTCTTATTGGCAACTATCTATCTTCTGGCACTGTAACCTGGCGTAGAAGATTTTTTCCTTTTTTCTACTTTTTGGTTGCAAAGGGCGCACCTGACGCGCCCCAGTGGCGCCTGCGCCAGTCCGATCGAGATTTTCTTCGCGCCTGGGCGCGCCCGTTACAAAAAGGACGCGCCCACAACATGACGTTAAAGAGCTGATCTGTGCCACAAAATACCCGCTCTTCATGATCCGCATCGCGCTTGCGAGATGGGGTGTGCGGTACATATACGGTACATGGACGTGTCGTCCGACTACGGTACATTTGTGTAAACAAGCTCGACCCGCATGAGTTGGATGTATGCCTGACAATCAGTGTGAGACGTTTTCATTCTTTCGCCCTTTGCTCTTTTGTACCAACATCATTAGCTATCCTTGATGCCTCGCGACGAAGATGACGCTATCCTATCACTCGAAGGGTTCGCACTCGAAGGTCTGCTTACTGATCTGCACCCCGAAGCGTTTTCCGGTTTACGTGGACAACTTGGTCTCAGTCATGCAAACATTGGATACGGTCGAGAGGATCTCTACAACGGGAAGTTTGCTGACGATGATCCAGATATCCCGTCCAATCAAGCGGATGAGAATTCTCGGATAGCTCGCAGTAGTCTCTTCGGATCAGGTAGTGGAAGAGACTGGGAAGATGAAGTAGACAAAGAGTTTCAAGAGGACAAAGATCGACTAGTCTATGGCGGACGAGCTCCGATCAATAAAGTTAGAGGAGAAATTGATGATTATGACGACGACGATGATGAGGAAGAGGAAGAAAGTCTAGCTGCCGATAGTCCTCAAATGTATCGAAAGGATCCATCCAATCGACAGGGACTTCCTAACATCCACTCATCCTCCACGGCTACCTCTTCATCTCCTGGACCTACAACGATTTCGCCAATGCTTCCCAAGCCCCTACGACCTGAGCAAGTTGACCTCGAGACCTTGTTCCCCAGCTTCATCCCCCACACCGTCCTTGAGTTCACTGAGCTCTTCTCCACTTTGCCTCGTAAGCGACAAAAGACCTCGAGTGGTTACGTGAACATACGATATCCACAACCTCCTCAGCAGCACATTTCCACCATCAAATACCTCGATGGCACGGTATCAATCCCAGTTTCAAAGACTTCTCATCAATCTAAATTCCCACAACTACTCGAAGAAGCATATAGGGATCTCATTCACAAACTTCCACCTGAGATACCTGTGGCATATGATACAATGGAGACTGATGGCAAGGGCGATACTTCTGATCACGAACTTGAAGCAATTACGCAGGCCAATACGTCGCGGGGTGCTACGCCTTGGAAGCTGCCAACGGACGAACGGGGTTGGGAAGCATTGACTATGGCAGACTGGGAGGACGGTATTGTATGGCAGCCTGAGGTTTCGCAGAGCAATTCCTCAGCCCGACCTCTTGATACACTCACTAGATTGACACGTCCGCGGAATCGCGCAATCGAGGAAGGTGACTGGCTAAGAAGTGTAATATGGGACGCGAAGAATGGAACGTGGAAGGACTTTACTGGTTTGGAGCTATTGCCCCAAGATGTTGAAAAGGATCCCCAACCTCCAGACCCACTTGCAACTGTGATCGATAGCTCACTTTCTCCACAGAAGCAATCATCTACAGCAAAAGGTAATCGGCCACAATCCCTGGATCCATTCAATCTTTCCAATGACCGCCTTTATGAAGTCTCAAAAGAACAACGCCGTCGCGTCCGCCAGACGTTCGGAAACCTTGAAGTCCAGCATTCATACCCAGCGTTGAAACTTCACTTTCCATTGGTAAGTCGGACATACTTTGCCCCGTGTGACATGCTTATATTCACCGTGCGCTAAATCATGCTACTCTCCATCAGTACAAGACTCGGCTCACTAAACACGAAGCCCGTTCCTTCCACCGACCTGCCCTACAATTTCCACTCAACATTCCCATCAAATTCTCTCGTGTCAAGATCGCCAAAAAGAAGAAAGATAAAACCGGTCGTAAGATACGCAATACCGCTGTTGCATCCGAGTTGCTCAAAACTACTGCGGACTTGACGTTGAAAGATACGGGTGCATTTATGTTGTTTGAATATTCCGTGAGCTTCGCAGGTTTGTGTACGTGTGTTGGCTCCGTTTCTCATTATCATCTTCATACCTTTAGGAAGAGGCGCCACCTGTAATCTCAAATGTAGGCATGGGAAGTATACTTGTGAATTATTACCGAAAGAAAAATGCTAATGATGAGTATGTGCCGAAAGTTTGTCAACGGTCTTTACTTATCGTTTGTGAGATCTGTTGACCCCTTAAAGCATGATCTGCTTTTATACGTTATCATACGTAGGATGATCTAGGTGAACCATTTGTGCTAGATGTTGCCGATGCATCTCCATTCATGAAGTTTGGCAGTATTCCACCCGGAGAAACGGTTCCAACACTTTATAACAACTTAGTACGCGCTCCATTGTTTAAACACAAAGCAAACGAGACAGATTTCCTAGTGATCAAGTCAGCCTTCATTCTTCCAAATAGTTATTGACAATGTCACTGACTGGAAACATATCTATAGGAGTGTGACAGAGACAGAAACAAATTACTATATAAGGGCAATCGAGAATGTCTTTGTGATCGGTCAAACGTTCCCAGCTGTCGAAGTTCCGGGTCCACATTCTCGAAAAATCACGAACCTGACTAAGCTCAGACTCCATAACATTGCCCAGCGACTCACTGAGAGATCGACTGATTCAAGACTCAAAATTCAAACTTTGATGAAATATTTCAACGACCAAAACGAATTGCAAATGCGACAGAGGCTGAAGGTGAGCCTCGCTTTGCATAGATGCTGTGATTATTTCCAGAATGTCTGGCCAGAAACGAGATACATTTAATCTGATAGCTATCTGTGCGCGTGTGGTATGGGGATGCCAGGAATTCATGGAGTATGTTCGCAGAGGTCAAAATCAAGGATACTGGACAATGCGAAGCAATTTCAAATTGCCGGAAGATTTGCTCAAACTCTCCACCCCAGAATGGGTTTGTTTAGCTGAAAGTATGCAAGTAGGGCAACGTCAATTGTTAGATGCTGGTTATGGTAAAGATGCAGATGCAGAAGGAGATGGAGAAGACCAGAGTAAACTAGATATTGAACAACAGCTTGCTCCTTGGAGTACAACTAAGAACTTCCTACAAGCAGCTCAAAGTAAGGCAATGTTGAGACTTTATGGTGAAGGTGATCCTTCAGGTCGAGGGGAAGCATTTAGTTTTATCAAGGTCTCGATGAAAGAAGTTTTTCTAAGGTATGGAGAAACTATGGAAGATCGACAAGGTGAGAGACATGCATCGCACCTGGATTAATACAGAAGATTGATCTTTGAATGTTTTTACAGCTGAGATCGCTGCGCGGCCAAAGTCGACTCACAAAAATAGTCATAACGAGCAGCAAGATGTTTACCAGCAAGAAATCGAAAGAATATGGCATTCTCAACGTATTGCACTTAGTAATCCAATTCCACCTCAACTGACCCAAGAAGATGAACTGAGGGCTCGTGGGCGCCATCCTCATTCAATATCACATCAACACCATCATCATCACGGTCCCGACACGCCCTGGTCGGCAGGAGTGGGGACGCCGGTCGATTGGTCAAATTCACGCCGTTCAAGATCTCCTTCCTCTTTTAGCCGTCAATCGTCCCCCGAAAGAGATGATGGGATGAGCATGGGTAGTCGACACAACGTAGTAGGAGCAAACAAGGCCTTGAAAATTCGTCGATTGGTCCGTGTTCTCATGTATCACCGAATCTTTACAAGTCTGGAATTCTAAAATCCTTTTTCCGTTGTTGATCACGTTGTCTGTTTTCAGATTGATGGGAAATGGCGGACTGAAGTAGTACGAGATCCGACAATTGTCAATGCCTATCTACGCCAACGTCGATTGATAGACGAGCAAGAATCTTCGACTGAAGCTCTCATGCCTAGTGATGATCCAGAGAAGAATCGCATGGCAAAGAAACGGTTCGTGTGATGCCATCATCTCAAACACAATTCCTCTCAAAGGACAACGACCCTAGTCTCCTTCCTTTATATCCTAAGCGAGCTGTACTCATACTAATCCATTTTCCGTCTCTAATGATGAAACGCTTTCATAGGATCGAAGAAGTGTTAGCCAAGCTCAAGCGAAACCAAGAGCGTAGATTAGCCCGTAAGAATGCAAAAGAAGCACAAGCTTTGTTAACATCATCTACAATTACAAAGCGACCTAGTATCATTCCAGCTGTCACGCCTACCATTCAGTATCCTGAAGGCTCCAGGGGTCCAGTAGTAAGTCTCTTTTGGTGTTGGGTAGGAAGGAAAAGCACATAGCTAACCTTTCATCGTAACCGCAGAGAAAATGTGGAAATTGTGGCCAGGTTGGTCATATGAAAACTAACCGAAAGTGTTCAAGATGGCATGAGTTTTACGGTGTGATTGGTGGAAGTGGAACTCAAACAGGTGACGAGTGAGTGTATTTGACGAGTCAACGAGAGTGGATTGCGTTTTGTCTTGGGTATCTCTATGTGACTTGAAAATTTCAAGGACTGTAGAAATCACTGTAATAAATACGGTCACTGACCCAACTGCATATAAGATATGGATAAATATCTTCACCACATACAAATCAGAAGTAATGTGAAAACAACTAACAAAAGAGACAAACAATCGTAAGACACTTGAAAGTAAAGGAAACTAAACAAAGACGGTTAATGTATACCATTGTTTTGATAAAAAAGAACGAGATGGAGTATTAATTTTACATTTGATCAGGAGTAAAAAAACGATTCATTCTCTTTGAGAATGAATAGATTCTTAAGATTGTGAACCAGAGGATAAAAGTGAGTTTTCTAGTTCGAAAAAGTATTATAACAAACTACAAGCTGTTGGTGGTTCGAATTACAAATCGAAATCACGTCGATCCCGATCATTAGGTTGTTGACCAGTATGATTTCTATTGAAAAGAATAGTGTAATAAATATCAGTGACCAAACAAAGAATTGTTTTGGAATGATAATATCCAAGAAATCCCACCCACATAGATTAATATCCTCATCCCTTTTTCTTTTAGAAGGGATTTGAGAACCATATCCTTTAGATAATTGAATAAGTACCGGATCAATATGATTAACAGGTTCGATAGGCGTAGGTTTAGGTTTTGTAGCTTTACACCAATTAGCTACCATATTCAAAGAAGCTTCAGATCCCATTTCTTTAAGTGCTTCTTTCTTTCGATAGTGGCGAGTTTGTTTCGGTATCGGTGCTGGTAATAATCTTCCATTTGGATTTAAAGGGTTTCGTATTGGTTTTAAATATTTGATTGGTTTTTCTTCGGTTTCTTGAAGCTTTTTAACTTCCTTTGGGCTTTCTGGAATCGAGGCTGGTAGATTTTGACTAGGTCCCTTGATGGTTGGATTGGAGTACTGGATACGCTTCTCAAGAGAAACCTTGCGCTTATCATCGTCCTTCAGTGCTTCTGGAATTGGTTTAAGTAAACTTTGATCCGTTGGATTCTTCGAATTGTTGATCGGTTCGCAGTTATTGATATGCTTCTCATCATCAATGTCATCCTTGCGTTGGCTAACCACTTTTGGTATATATTCGAAATGAGCAGATCCACGTGGCCAAATACATTTCAAAATCTCTTCTTCATCACACGCATCCAAATCAGAAGAATCGGCAATATCACTTTCTAAAAAATTCATAAGTGCTCTAGTATCGTCAATAGCTTCAAGTTCTTCATAATAACTTCGAGGTACACCATCTTCATCTACAGAAAGTGAATCTAAATCGATCGAGTCTTCAAAGTGTTGATGTCTTAACGTTTCAGCTTCCTTTTCTAAAGTTTCAGATTCCTTAATTTCCAGTGCTGTCTGTTGACGACTTGATCTTCGCGGGCCTGGAGTCGAGCGAGCCTTAAGATTCTTGATTGGTTTCTGTTCCTTTACGACTTTCTCGTCATCCTCTTCGCTCTTGCTAACCACCTTTGGTGTATATTCGAGATGAGCGGATCCCTCAGGCCAGATACGTCTCAACGGCTCTAAATCTTCTCCATCGCATGCATCCAAGTCAGAAGAATTCTGTTCCATTTTGTAGATTTATCAAAACATCGAAAGTTTGAAAGCTGAAAATCAAAAAATCAAAAGTAGAGCTGAGCTTATGTACACACTTAAATGCACTTAGCAATGAAGCTTAAAGGGTGATGACCTGTGATGACCATAATCCACCTTTGGCAACTTCGATCACCGCAGAAAAGGTTTCTTCGGTAAATTTTTGTCCTTGCTGATCTCCTTGTTCAGCATGTCTTTTTGTATCTTGAATGCTTCTCATTTCCCTAGCAGGTTTTCAATGCTGGAAAGTGTTTGGGTGGTTTAGCTAACCAGAGGTGTATTTGAAATTTTCAAAAAAAGTCATCAAGCATCTGCCTTTAGATGCGTGATGGCCTGAAGGAAAACATGTCAATTGATGAGTTTTGTAAGAACCAAATTTATGTAGAGGTCGTTGAGAGTGATGTCTTGGAGACTGATGGTTTGTGCTGCAATCAATACCTGATCCAGACGTGCCATCCTGAAGCCAGAATTTCTCAAACACAATGAACTTTGTGTGCTTTTGTCCAGTCTGATGTCCATCTCTGAGCCGCTCATGTTGACCGCGTGTATGGTCTATATGCTGTCTCCGCTTTGTAAAGAGTGAGAATCACATCATCATCAGGCTATAGAACCCGATGGCAAGAGGGGCAATCTATAATCACAAAACTTTTGCCTGTGGTGGCTTTCCTTGCGCTGATGCTAGTGCTCATCTGTGTTTTGAAGTGGGTAGCATTTGGTATCATTGCACTACAATAAAGGTCTCAGTAGGTGTAGTATAATTTGCCAAATTTGACCCATCCGTTTAAAGTTTCAGCTACACTATCGTTTGTTATGGATTGAGCAATCAGTGAAGGAATAAGATATAGTACAATGAAACATGTAAGTAGAATTAATAGCCTCAGTCAAATATATTATTGTTAAAAAATCATTGGGTTAAGGTTAAGAAAATTTATTGATTATAAACTCTGCTACAAAGGTGAATGGATTGTTTTTGATTGATTAGGAATAGGGAAAAGTTGATCAGTAGGAAATGAAGAATGTTTGGATATTGTGAGTCAAGTGATCATACTTTTTTGAATTTTTATCTTTTTGTACACAGCCAACTGGGAATTGAAAGGTGTGAGAGAACTGATGAAATAATGTGATACATTTGGAGAGACAGCTAACAGATATTTTGTTTCATTGAGAACTATTCTAATAAGATTTTATAATGATAAAACACATGAAAAGAGTGATACAGTGAGATTCCTTTTTAAGCATTGCCTTTACAAGCATATTTTTTATTAAGCATACAAAATGGTGCAACCATTTTTGGTAGGCGGTAAATTCAGATTTATAAGCATTTTAAGCATATGCTCCAGGTTTTGACTGATATGCTTGTAAAATTTCATGTGAAGCATGAAAAAAGAAGCATATCATAATTTATACACGTGGTTATGCTTCTATGTGATGTGAGAAAGGAAGGCGAAGTGGAGTGGAGTGGAGTACAGTTTAGCCTGAATTGACTCAAAAAGCCAAGACCAATTGAAAAAATGCCTGTCCATTTTTGCTGCCAAGTTTCTTTAGTGCATATTATTCAATAGGTGCATCATTTTGGAGCATTAGTGGTACACAAACATTACAACCCATTCGAAAAACCCATTTAGGAAAAAATATAAAAATCCATTCAAAAGAATATTTTTTTGAACAGAAAATTCCAGAGGGACCCAATTTATTTTTCTGTTCAAAAAAATAATTTTTTAAATGGGTTTTTCTATTTTTTCTCAAATGGGTTTTTCAAATGGGTTGTAATGTTTGTGTACCACTATTATTGGCTCTCAAACCTGACCCAGTTTCAAAAAACCACCATGTCCGTCCCCCATGAGCACGTCGATGTGCTCACACGGAGAGTTGTGTAATAAATTTGAACAGATCTTTATCCAATTCGTCTCTAGAAAATGCAAATCCTTTGTTAATAATAATAGACAATAAAAAAGTACTGTTTGTCAATGGAACTATGAACAAAGGAGCCCATGTAACACTCTTGCTGTCTGAACCTCTTGACAAAGGCAATTGTATGCTTAGCTCTCAGACCTGTTTGTAGGTTATATCCACCCTCTACGGAAATTGATTGGTGTGAGCACGTCAACATGCTACCTCAAAACAGACATGGTGAACCTGGTTGCACCAGTGGAATTTTTGGCTGGGAGCTGTCAACAAATGTCAAGTTGATACACAAAGTTACTGCCAAAAAACAACTGGGTCAACTGGGTTTTTTGAAAACTGGGGCAGGTTTGAGAGCCACTATTACATAACTGACAACAGCTGAGCACCCAGGTTTGGCATGAGAAACTGAGAACATGTTTTCTCCCTCACCACTCGAGTTCCTTCAAGTTCAGGAGTTTCAAAACATCAAATTTCTATATCTACAGATATTTTTTCTCATCTACAATATGTCAATCTCATCTGTTGATCAGCTTCTTGTGCGCATCTTGTCTCTTAGCCAGACCTCCCCTCTGGGCTTAGCTGAGAGGAATGGTTACATCTTTACGACTTTCAGCTGTGTCCTGATAATCTTGCCAATCAATCTCATTTCACAGCTTATTGCCTGATGTATGATCTTATTGAATAAGTTGTTTTACACCTAATCTTCAGTTGGTTTGCTCCAATTATTTCTCAAATGCTTTCTTTCCCTGCACTTTTGCAAACAATACATGATTCTATATGTTTTTTACAACTCATTTGGGCCATTTACTGCACCAAAAAATAAAAATTTGGCCCTAGGCATGACATTTAAGCATAGCATAATTTTGAGCACATTTTATGCTGCTATTGGGTCTGTTCCGATAAGAAGCATTTTTTATATTAGCATGGGATTTGGTGCAACCATCATCATGCTTATAAAGGAATCTCACTGTAACAGAGGCTTTTATAGAGTCTGGACCTTGATAGCTCCCACCGGGGCCTATCTACTACTCAATTGTTGGTGCACAAACCAATAGTCGCAGTGCATAAACAACGAAGTCACCAACAAAGAATGAGCACAGATTGAAAAACAAAGATGAAAGCAAAGATCGTGAAGCACGAAGATGCAGCTTGAGTACGGTAAACGAAATTGGAGTGATGGAGCGGTCATTGCCGCTTGATGTGACCGGGCAGCACGGGGGACACAAACCTCCATTTTAAAGCTGAGCACGCAGAGAGTTGCCTAGGTCTTCGCCCCGGCCCCGCAGTTGCGGGGACTCCCCGGCTCCCGCCCCTGCGAGGTCGGGAGCTGGGATCAATGCTGGGAAGGAACAATCGGCGGGGAGCTTGCGGGGGCGGGCTTCGGGGAAGCTGGAGGGGCTAAAAAGCGCTAAAAGCCAGGCCTGCACAGCTAGATCTGCGCTGCGCCCCCGGACGTGCGGGGGATCCCCGACTCCCGCACTTGCGAGGTCGGGAGCCGGGACCAGTTTTTGCAAACGTTTTCCACCGGGGAATTTCGGGGGCGGGCTTTGGGAGAGACGAGAAGGGCCGGGGAGGGGCCGGGGCAAAGGCCTAGCTCAGTTGCCCTTGAAACCATCAAAACGAGACAAAACGGAACCTGGGGAAGCGTGGGCTATCTGTGGACCTCAGGCACTCTAACTTGACTAGGTCCCTATGCTTCTTGCCGCGAGCTTGTGAGCATAGGGACTTACGGGTTATCTCGGTTTTCTTGGTGACAAGCACAATTACACCAGGGGGTAAAAGTCACCGCACGCAAACCAAAACCGAGACCTTTCAGAAACGTCTCAATTCCAATTCAGTTGAGACGTTTCTGACACGTTTTCAGAAGGGACGTACACAAAGGCGTCCCCGTCACCAAACTATCACGTCCCAGAAAACCAGAGCAGAGTGGTCTCTTTCACCGTTCCAGGGACGCGCTGTGGAACGTGGTCGGAACAATTTGACGTGGGGGGCAAATGCTCAAAAAAGGAGAGCCCAGAAAGACTTGAACACGGGCTCGCGGCCAAAAACAAATCGTAAACCATCGATCTCCAAACCGCTACACCATAATGTACATAACATTTGTTCACTCTCAAAGTATATACTCCAGATAACGATCGCGAGTGTTTTATATTTCTCAGATCTTTTGATGATATAATCAAATTGACCTTTACATATTTTGTAGATTTGTTTTCGTTTTTTGTTTTTTGTAGTTTTACCTCAGTTTAGTCGAGGTTGAGATCCTGATTTTATGTTTCTTAGATAGGAATGAGATGCTGTCCAAGAAAGCCATAAAGGATTGTTGCAACACCAACAGCCACATTGACCAACATATTATATTTATAATTAAACCTTTCACCAGCGCTTAAGAAAGCGAGATGAGCCAGAAACATAGCCCTAAGGATGGATTTAAGTTGACTGGCGTAGTAAAGCCTAAGTTCGAGTAGAAGATGATGTTTTGCCTTGGTAGGATAAAGTCAAAAGAATCTCCCACAAGCCAAATAGAGACCATAGAGAGCATAAGCAGCGGCATTGAAGTAATCTAAACGTTTGGTCCAAGGTTTATCTCGACAATGAAAGATTGTATTTCAAATCCAAGCGTTCATCCCAACAAAGGTATTACCCCGGTATAAGTTTTGTAAAGGCCATGAATGAGGGATAGTAATGTTCAATTTATAGTAAGAGAATAGATAAGTAAGTAAATTAAAGATACTAAAGAGAGCAGATAGACGTTCCCAAATCACATGCCAACATCTGAAAGGCCATTTTCCATGAAACTGCACAATTCTACCAGGAGGTAAACCTTGGAGTTCAACACCAGGAGTTCCTATATTTGATTCCATTGTAAGTAGTGTTTCATCTTGAAATATTTAGTTCCAACATCCTTTTTAAATTTCTTTATTGATCGGAAAAGGCTTGGTACGCTTGATGAGTGACGAGAGCGAGTGAATAACACAAGCTATGGACACTGAGGTCCTTCAAGTCAACCGTTTGTTGATAAAAGGTCATTAGTGACCTTATAATCCACACGGTGTCTGTTCAAATAAGTGACAGTTTGTTACCATTGGCAAACAGTGTCAAGTTCCTGACACCGGGTGACACGGTTTTCAATACAAAAAGGTGTTTCGGTGACGGAACACGTTTCTCGTCGGTCACTGACACGTAACTTTTGAAAACGTAACAAAAACCGTTCCAGGCCGAGGACGTTTACCCCCTGGTGTACCTTTTGGTGGGAGAAAACCGCACCAAAAGAAAACTTTTGCATTTAATTACAACTTTTTTTTTAGACTCAAACATTACCATTCAGCTTCTTCCGCATCTTTCCATCTCCTCACTTTTTTTTATTCTCATCAAAAGCAAAAGTTGTGATTGACCTCAAACTTCGTACTTTTGAAATTTCAAAAATCTGTATTGCTGCGTGTTACACAAATGATAAGTTGTATGTAATACGAAATTTTAAATTTGACAGCTCATCAACAATTGTGGTCGAGCGATATCTGCAGATCTGCAGGTAAAGGGTTTCTGGTTTTGAGTGAGAGTTTCGTGATATCACCACAAGTCTCCATTAAAACACCACCAAAATGGATCTTGAATCAAATTCATCGTCTTTTGAAGAAGAACCACCGGACAACAATCCACATCCTGACAAACCTGCTGAGCACCAAACAATCAAGGTATGTGATTTTATAAATGAGCTTGGAATGACACCGAAGTCTTTCCTTCAAAACCTTATTGATTCCGATAAGCCTGCGGTAATCAAGTGTCGTCAATTCTTTGGATCAGCAACTGGATGGCCATCGACACTGAAAGTCATTGAGACTTTCAAGACTTTATTATTCAAGCATCGAAAAAGGAACAATATGGACAATTGGAACGCTTTCATATTGAAAGAAGTATGTGTAGACCATGCTATTTTTCTTTGCAAAGATTACTTTAAATTATTGAAGTGTTTCCTCATGATGAACTTTCAATTGATTGATGTAGGCAAAAGAGATTGTCAATTGTGAAGACTTGCCTAGGGGCGAAGCTCCAAACGGAAGCTTTTACAATGCCGGAAAAGTCGACCATTCATTTTTCAAGCCGGATTCAGAAGTTGCTCACGATGATAGCCTCAGAACCCATATACCATTCTTACACGCCATTCTCTACTCGGAAACCGAAACATCAATCATTGCTCGTGATCTAGTTCGCAAAAAAAATCAGCAAAGGCAAAGAGTAAAGCAGAACTTGAAGGCAAGGAGACGAACGATGAATCTCTGAATGATGGTGAATCAAACAGACTTGACTCAATGAGACGTAAACTGGACGCTTCGTCAGTGAAGGATATGGAGGGTGTTTCACATTCGCAAACAATCTCTCCAGGTGATGTGGAACAGAAGCAATTAGTTCAAGTAAGTATTTAAATTTCTTTGTTTTACAACCCACATTTGTATTCATTGAACTTGAACTGACTATTTTTTTGGCATATATCCTTTCAGGTTCCTGTTACAATCCTTTCCATGATAGCCTTTGTATCTAATCGGCGTTGCAATGGAAAGCAGCTACAGAATTCTCTCTCATTCATTGCATGCGGTGTCTCTGAGCGTATGAACGATTATCTACACTTCCTCTGATTGACTTCAAGTCGTGAAACTGGACTCACAGCAATGGACACCTTAGGTCACGCCTGCAAGAAATTGATCAAGAGTCGCATGGCTGAGAAGTACAACTTATATCCTTTTATGACACTCGATAACATCGACATCCAAGCTCGTATCCACAATACACGGATAGAATCAACCACCAAAATGTTTCATGGGTCTTATGGATATCTACATTTTTTACCCGGCCATCTTACAAAAGATATTGATCCAAATGAGGCCACTGTCGAAAATCTTCTCAAATGTGTTGAAAAGAGTCAATCAGAGCCCTTCGAACCTTCATCAATGTTACCTGATCAGAAAGATGATGCGCACTGGACATTAGTTCTGAAATCTCAGCTTGCTGAAGCGCTAGTCGAATACGAGGTCACACCAAATTCCGCTGCTCACATTGCCTGTAAAGAATCACTTGCCCTTGTTCCACCTCCAGTCGACACAATTCAAATGTACACTCTCGATATCATGATGCTAAAAATGATGAGTGCTTCAGATAATTCTACCAGCGGTGTCTCCGATATGCTGGGACAATGTCAAAAACAGACAAATGAAGATCCAGTTGAATTTGCAAAATTTCTTCGGGTAATTGAAGGTGATATGGGCACATGCCTGAACTTCAAATCTTTAGTCCGACAGCGCTTTCCCGCAAGGCACGCTGACGAAGCTCTGTCAAATGTTCTGAACATGCCTGGTTTGGCTCATTCACTATGGAATGTTGCAAGCAAAGTTTTGAGCCATCACTGGGGGAATTCAAAAGATTCTTGCGACACTGGGGTTCATCGGACTGCTGGTGCGCTTGGAATGAAGCCCAATAAACTTCCTTCACAACAAGATTTTAATTCTTTGATGCAGTTAATCTTCAAAAGCCACACTGCAACACTCGTCTTCCTTTTGAGGTATGGACTTTTGATCTTGATTAGGATTAGCTGTCTTGAACCAACTCAACTGTTTGATTCCACACAGGCAAACCATACAAGCTCGCGAAGTTCTGGTTGATTTAAAAGACCCTGGAGTGGCGCAGTCTATAATTGATGAATGCTATGAGCAATACTTCACCATTAACTCCTTATGTGATTCATCTAAAACCGGGGATTGGACCTTGTATAATCTGCGTCTACGCCTTAGAGACTTCGCTTCAATTGTCAAGGGTGATAAGGCAATGAGAGTTGGTGACATAGGACGTGTTTTACTGATGTGGAAGCGATGGGCTGTTATGGCTCATGGTGTGAAGGGATTATCCCATTATGCAATACATCTTCCAAGATTTATATTGATTCTAGAAAAATATCTACCTCCTAAGATTGCAAAAGCGATCAAACACAGTCTTCTTATTCCAACTGGCGGTCGAGAAGGACACTGGGTTGCAAAAGACTTTTATCTTGAGATTCAGAACTATTGGCTGAAGTATTTTTATAACAACTCTGTAAGTAATATTGAATTGACTTCTTTTTTTCAAAGAACAAGCTAATTTGCTTAAACTTTGAAATTAGGGGCAAGGGACTGAGATCGAAAGGCTAATGGAGAGATTCTCAATCTTAATACCTTTGGTAATGTCTGATCAACCATTGAACAAATCCAAATCAGAAATTTGAAACTAATATTGATGTTTTTTTTCTGAACAGCTACGAGAACTGATACACCAAATGAAAGTAAGATCCGGTCTCAAAGATATCTATCAGAACAATAGACATGTCATCACGCCTCAAACATTACAGAACTTTTTACGCATGGCTCAAGTCCACTTATGCGATCCAGAACTCTCTCAAAAAACACGTGATCTCGATAATAATGATGAAGTGGATGATATAGAGGTTCTAGGAATTGAAAAGCTCTTTTCAATTGTTCAGGAGGAGGCAAGAAAAAAGAAGGATTCTCGATTCTCATGGGGTTTGATGAATGTCATCAACACAGTTTCAGAGTCAGTCTGACAAGCAGTTCAATTGGTGGTTAATTCTAAATGTATTTTTGTTCGATAGCTGCTCAATTTAAAAGCCAACTTCTTTGAAATGATAAAACATGTTCATATCCTCAGCGCTTTTCAACCTTGTACACTCGGAGGTTTTATCTTCTTCTCTTCGCGTATTCTCTTCCTCTCAGCAATACCAGCGTCTTTGACAGCTTTCTCGGCGTCTTTGATAGCTTTTGCAGCAGCTTTTAATCGTGCTTTTTCAAGAGCTTCTTCTTGCCAAAGAGCTATTTCCTTTTGTCGTCTATCACGCTTTTCTTCTTTTGACTTTTCAGCTTCAGCAGCTTTCTCTTCGCGTATTCTCTTTCTTTCAGCAATCCCAGCATCCTTTAAAGCTTTCTCAGCCATTTTCAAACGTGATTGCTCACAATGCTCTTCTTCCACTAGTTCGAGATCCAAGATTTCTTGATCATTCTTGATTTGAATGTCCTCCAGCTCCTCTTGATGTTTCTTGAATGAATCACTTGTAAACCAACTCTGAATGCATTCATTAATACTACCAAAGTGTCCAGGTAATTGCTCACCACCTAAAATTCCTCTGTGAAAGATGCCATTCTGGACAGCAGCATAGTTTTTGACGATTTGCCAAGCATCCTCCTGTTTGAAGAGAGTCGTGGGTTTCATATGACATCCAGAAGGATAAGCTTGAGTAAAAAGTGCTTCGAAGCTTTCAGTAAGTGCGGCAGCTAGGTCATTCATAGCCGGGTTCAGTCGTATTGGATCATCCATCTTACAAACAAGTGGGATCCCAGCAGCAGCCTTTTGTTTTGTAGCTGCCTTTGTTGGTTGAAAAGCTGTTATGTCTTTGGGTAAAGTTGGACTAGAATCAAGTAGTTCCTCTAGATCCGCAGATTTTGTATATGGTAGCAGTCGGATGATTCAAGCAGCAGCTTGAGGCTTGCAAGTTGAACATCGACATGCTGGCATTCCAATAGATTTTTTGTGGTCAATCTCTGATAGATAACCTGGATCAGACTTTGACATACATAGGGATGTATCCCTTGCTATAGATTGCAGAGTTCAGATTGATCTATCTTAGCATGTATAACAGAAATTCAGTTTTCAAAGAAGACTTACAGGTTATCCAAAGCGTAAACTACTCTAAGACAACATGGTGTCAACCAAAACGCATTCATTCTTTCTTCGTTGTTCATATGGCCTGAAACTTCAATCTTGTCGATAGAGTTTGCACAACCTGGCATAGTCGGCTGAACAAAGATTATAACTAGTCCGGGATTGTCTTTTCCGCGCCCAGCTCTTCCACCCATTTGATTGGATTCGGATGGGTCCATCGCGCCCATGATTACCACAGCTTTCACATGCTTCCAGTTCTGACCTAAGCCCAAGGCTGAAGTGCAAGAAAATATGGGAAATTTTCCCTCACCAAACTCCTCAGCTCGCACAAGCTTGTCTTTGTCACCAATAGCAGAATGATATCTTCGGATGCAGCTACTGTTTCCATCACGTGCTTCATCAGGAGTACCACGAGCCTCACAAACAACTTTTGATACAGTACTGGTCGTGTTTCGAGTTCCAGAATATATTAACATTGGTGTCATTTCATCGTTTGAGACTCGTGATTCTGGAGGAATTATGAGTTTCAAATCATTGGCTGAATCGAGCGTAGAAGACAGGTAGATTCGAATGTACCACAGTTCTGGGCGTACAAGCTCGGCACGAATCATTGTCATATGTGCCGGAGTGATCCTCAAGCTGTCTTGGATTGCTGAAATTGCTTGAGGTCGGCAAGTTGCTGACATGAGTAAAATCGGCACGTTGTCTGACGCCATCAGCTGTAGTCCAATATTTCCATACGAAGGCCTAAATTGTCCAACATCTTGAGGAGTGACATGGATGGAAAAGTTTCTTGATTTTCCACTTTCCTGTAGGCCCCAAAGATAAATACAATGGGCTTCGTCGACGACTTTCAAAACTAGATGACGTTGAAACTTTTTGCTATGGTAAAGTTTTTGAAATTCTTCACTGTTCAAGAATATCTCCGGGCTCTAAAAAGGCAGATATTTAGGCCATGTCTCAATCTTATACAAGTAAAAAAACATACAAGATAGATGAAAGAGTAATAGTTCTGCTGCGAATCTCTCAAAACTGCTTCGTTGAACGTGTTCTTGGTCAGGTTTACCGCAGTGATGCCAACTGCTTGCTTCTCCAAAACCTGAATCAAGATCACAATTGTGTGAGTGGAAAGTGTTGTTGACTTCCAGGTAAAAGATTCACCTGATTGTCACCGAGTGAATCCAGCGGGTTCAATACCAGTATGACTGGCTTCTTTGCTTTACTAAACATATGGAAGAAGAGTTCTGGAACTCGACTTTTCCCAAACCCCGTTCCAGCAAGTAAAAAGGTGATGTCACCGTTCACCAGGCTGGCCGCCGTGGTTATCTGTTCATCCTTTATATCGTAGGAAGGGTATTTTTTTTTGAACTTTGAAGCAACTGCTTCGTTTTGGTCATGAAGACTTGAAGCAAGCAGTTTATTGCTCAAAGTCGGATTCTCAAGCTCAAGATTATGCGAAGGTGGAAGTTGCTGGGGCGGGTTCGCCTGCGTATCACTTCGAGTTCGTCTTTTAGACATCAATGCTTAGAATACGATGAAACAGATCAATTCAAAGCGTGTTGATCGAGGTCAATTGGTCATGAAGGTCAACAGCTTCTTGACGAACTCATCTTTGTCGATTTGAGAAAGTTCAAATTTGGATTCGATGTTTACATGACACATGTAATATCACCCGCAGTCTTTTTTTGAAATTTCAAAAGTACAAATTTCGAGGTCAATAGCAACTTCTGCTTTTGATGAGAATAAAAAATAGTGAGGAGACAGAAAGATGTGGAAGAAGCGGAATGGTAATGTTTGAGTCTAAAAAAAAAAGTTGTAACTAAATGCAAAAGTTTTCTTTTGGTGCGGTTTTCTCCCACCAAAAGGTAATCGTGCTTGTCACCAAGAAAACCGAGATAACCCGTAAGTCCCTCTGCTCGCTAAAGCTCGCGAGGCACAGAGGGACTCTGTTAAGTTAGTCGGGCACTCATTTGTTCTCAAAACGTATTCAAGCTAAATTGCATCGATAATTTGCTCGTTTGTTTGTTGGTCCAGATGGCTTCGTTTGGGGTCTGAATGCAAGTCCACGCGAAGGATGATGAGGAATTATCTTCAAGAACGAGGATTCATGGGTTGGGTTGAGACGTACCCGTTCAGAGCCATACACATGACTTCTCTGAAAGCCATAATGTTAGGTCTCAAGTGATGATATACACGCTTCTCGCCTTGAAATCAAAGCAAATTGTCAACTTTGGGAAACGCACCGAACGTAACCCCAATCGCCACAACACTCGTTTCCGACAACGACCTCCCGATCAAGCCCTCAAGATGGTATGCAAGAAACCTTTCGTTTCACTCATAAATCATTGTCATCACATATTCTACCTAGCTGGTTGAACTTTGTTCTTCCATGCATAGCAGGGATAAGACTGCCCAGAATTCTGGTTCTTAGTCTTTATCCCGGGGAGGCTTGAAACTTGATCTTCGGATATGATGGTTTCTATCAAAAGCCTGTTAGAAAGCTAAACATAGGAGAATATAAGCAACGCTTAAGAATCAAGCTTTTGAAGCTGATTCTTCCGTTCTTTCTCCTTTACTTTCAATGACCCCGAATCCCTGTTCTTACGTCTTGTTTTGTGTTGTAATCCCCTCCCTATCACCTCGCAGCCGCCAAAGAAGTCTGGAGTCAAGAAAGCCCCCGGTGCCGCCACCAGTGCTAAGCCTGGGCGCAACAGCAAAAGCGCCAAGAACCCACTTTTGGAGCGTCGCCCCAAGAACTTCGGTATTGGTATGTGCTGATACTTCGAATCATTTTTTCGCCGAGTTCCCTTCACTGCCCATAGCTGACCAGTCTATTCCAACGATTTTCTTCCATTTCTATACGCTGTGCAGGCCAGGACATCCAGCCCACTCGGGACCTAACACGTTTCGTGAAATGGCCCGAATACGTCCGTCTTCAGAGGCAGAAAGTCATCCTCAACCAACGTCTCAAAGTTCCTCCTTCAATCGCTCAATTCTCTCACACACTTGACAAGAACACCGCTACCCAACTGTTCCGATTGATGAACAAATACCGACCCGAGACACGACAGGAAAAGAAAGTTCGTCTCACTGCCCAAGCTGAAGCTATCGCCAAGGGTGATGCCAAGAAGGGAGAACCCATTGGCAAGAAACGTGCGTCTTTTCGCCCTTCTGTTAAGCAAATCGGCCATCACTTACCTACCCTCTCAATCTGGCAGCCCTCTATGTCAAATATGGTCTCAACCACATTGTCGCCCTCATCGAAGCCAAGAAGACTTCCCTCGTTGTCATCGCCGATGACGTCGACCCTATCGAATTGGTTGTCTTCCTCCCCGCTCTCTGCCGTAAGATGGGTGTCCCCTACTGTATCGTCAAGAACAAGGCCCGACTTGGTACCGTCGTCCACAAGAAGACTGCCGCCGTCGTTGCTTTCTCCGAAGTCCGAAGCGAGGACAAGAGCGAGTTGGCTAAATTAGTCAGCGCTGTCAAGATCAACTTTGTCGAGAAATACGATGAAGCCAAGAAACACTGGGGTGGTGGTGTCCGGTTAGTTCACTTCATCATTATAGTTGGCTTCTCTATCTGATCTTTGGCTGACTTATGTCTTCCTCCTTTCCAGTGGTGCCAAATCATTTGCCATGTTGCAGAAACGTGCCAAGGCTGCTGGTCAATCAGTTGCCAGTGTCTCCAAGACTATCTAGATTATATTCTCGTCCTCTGTATGCCCTCGATTGTCATTTACACCCTATTGAAAATGAACTATTGCCCTATGTTCAGTGTTGTGATACAGCACATTGAAGTCCCTTTGTAATCTGATGTAACTATACCCACCCTCGCAGACTAAAGCTCAATATTGTCTGCAAGTCAGTGTTACATCAACCTTTGTACGAGTTTTGCCACGCGAGCATAATTGCTGACCCTGTAGCCTGTTCTGCCTTTTCTGAGTTGAGATCCATCTGATTTATTTGGTCTTGAAATTCACGAAAACATCGTTTCGGGGTCCAAGATCAAAAAAGTTCAAGACCGAAGATACATTCACACTTGAGCGGTATGTGGCCGGTTCTTCACGCGCAGAGCATCAGCCAAAAAGCAACTTTAAGAAGACCCACATCAGCAGAATAACCACAAGCCGTGAATGTGAATATGCATTTCCAATTAAAATTAAGGGTATTCAAGATCCGAGAAGTGGCCTCAAGAAGTGACACGCAGGAGCGTCTAGGACATGCTCCAGAAGTTTCTTGAGCTTTTGGAGGACCAGAAGTCTCCTGAGTGACACTTCTGCAGTTTTCTTTGTAACTTTGAGAGTCCCATCATCTGCTGCTCCTCATCACATCATGTCCATACCACCTAATCATGCCACGGGTGTCAGTCTGGCAGCAAGTGTTAAGAGGACTCAGAGGAGGTGCATACCATGAACGCATGCATGAGAGAATCTACGTAGGTTTAGGTTATGGAGTTCACAAGTCCACTTGTGGCTGTCACTTCTGAAATCTTGAACACCCTTAGGATATGTCAAGATTCCATTTAAGAGTTATGAGGTTGATCATGATCACTCCAAGTGAATCCATGGATTTAGGACTCTCAGAACTCATTCTACATATACTGTGGGCTTAAATTGTTTTCTGTTCCTTCTTGTTGACAAAGCAATTCTTGGCCTGTATGTAGGATACATAACCTTGCGTAAATCAAACTCAGCACAGAAAAATACCTTGGATAAAAGCCTTGTACAAGCTCTGTCCTAGTATTTGCCTCTGATGATGCCTCAGATTTCTCTGCCCAAGGCTTGGCAGTGGTGGGATATCCTGTTTTGATACCCAAAAGATAATTTGGGAATGATGTCTCCTTTTTTATGCATGAGTGGTTAGTGAAATCAAGTTGTTGCCTGTTTCAACTGTATAAAGCTGTTTTCTCATTCATGACACATACTTTTCAGCAACAAGTGACCTTTGGAAACCTATCAGCTATTGTGGTTGTTTTGAAGATGTATATTGATCAATCAACCAGCTCACATCTCCTGATATGATAAGTGTGAGGTTCTTGCTTTCACTAGACACTAAAATTGTAGATCTGGTTAGTGTCTTGAATGTTCCTAAGAAGGTCAATTTCAACTGATGAGTATTTCCACTGTAATGGCAAAAGACATGTACTATGACAACAATTTAGGGGAGTATCATTGATAGTGTGAATTGTGATAGATCAGTAAGCACCAATGCTGTGGATGATAATATAGTCACACTAAATAGATTTAGAATGAGGATTTGGGTTAAGCTAAAAGTCCTGCACATTTTTTGAGCTGCTCCTTGAGGTGAAATGCCTTGTAGACTCTTTGCAGGTTCCTGTAAGCTCAAGGTAACTTTGTCTCTCTTGAAGAGCTCTATGTACTTGATCTACCTGGTAGATTAAGGGGGTATCCGGAATTAGGCTTAGGATTTGCTATACTTCCTCAGTGTATCTGAGGGAAAATATATCAGTCAGTAGGTTTTCTGTTTTAGACTGGGTACTTCCAGAATGTTGAAACATGGCCCAGTTTTGCACCCCAGCACAGGTAAAGATCTTTGACCCATAACATTCAGTCTGATACCATTAGCTACTGTAACAGCTGACACATTTGGGACAGAGATATCCATTGAACCATCAATTTAATCAGGTAAGAAATCAGCCAAACAGGACTGAGTGAATCCTGGATCCAGAACCCAAATTTGTTTACCAACCTCAGTGTTTAATACAAGGTTATCATCAACAAATAGAAAACCTGATCCTTCAGGACAAAAAACTTGAGTATTGGGAGCAGGATCCCTTACTGATTTAATTCGAGATGGCATGGTTGAAGTATGTGAAACCAACCACCCAGGTTGAGAAGACAAAGCATTAGATGGAGAAGGATGATATATAGACTCCTGATCAACTACATTAGCTGGTACCACAGATGAGAAAGTTGATGTTTGATTTTGCATGACTTGAAAGAACCATTCTCTGGCTAATTTATCACAAGTTTGCCAGTCATGGTCACAAATGCCACAGTGACTACAATCAGTACTTGGAGATTGATTGTTGAGCACAGGTTCACAACAATTTACCTGTTGAGTATTCTTTCTGAAGTTAGGAGAGTGGGATACAGGAGCTTGAGGTTGCAACAGGAGGGTGGGAACCAACAGCAGAGAGCTGAGGTGGATTTGGACAATTAGAAACAGCCAGAACTTGACCAGATGCAGCACTTTCATGATCTTGTTGTTGTATACCTTTGTGTCAAAGAGTCCAAATGAAAGAGACAGAGGTCATTGTAGATTGACCCAACAGATCACTGATTGACAAGTTCCAATCAATTGGTACGGAGGAACTGATAGCTGCGCAAACAATATTGCCATTCCAACTGCCAAAGGCGACTTATCTACAAGTTGCTTGACTCATTCACCAAGCCTTTCAACATTGTCTAAATGAACCTCGATGTTGTCATCAAGCATTTGACAAGAGATAAGTTGACAAATAACAAAAAGATTTGATCTCATGGAGGTATTGTTGTGAGAGTCCAAAAGAGCACTCCACATCTTAGCAGTGTCACCCATATGAGGGCGCAGAACAGTATAGTTGGCTGAATGAGCATATTGAAGAAGAACAGAACAGATAGAATTGTTCTGCTGAAGCCATTGGAAATTAGGCTGTTCAGGTTCACAAAGGTTTGTATTAAGAATGTGAACCAAACCAGCTCCAATAATGGATCCTGACATGGCTGATTATCAATTTCCATAATTGGAATCATTGCCAGGAAGAGACAGAAGTCTTAGGCCAACAACAGGTGACGTTGGTAAGGCCAAGGGACCCCAACAAGGACCTACACAAAAAGGATACTTGATATTAGTGGACGGGGTAGACACTCCTGTTTTGCCCTTTCCAGTAACCACAGGATTGGAGGAGGATGCCATTATAGGGATCAATTGAGTGAATAGCAAGATTCAATTGCTCATAACTCATAACCTGTTGGGCTGGATACAAACCAGTAAACATTAGATAAAAAGAGAAAGAAACTGCTGATAAATTAAATAAGATTGTGAGTGATACAGTCAGATGAAGAAAAAGAAAGACTGAAACTGTATCAGGGTTCAGGTTATAAGTAAAGCAAAAACAAGAGAACAGAAAAATGAAATCATATGACGTCACAAAATGAAAACATGAGAGAATGATGTCATAAGATGAATTTGTGGAATGTGAAATAAAATAAGATGAAATGTAAATTACATGATAATATAAATGGACATTCACCTTTTAAAGCAGACATACCGTCTTTCTTGAAAAGCTTGTCCCAAAAGCTTTCAAGGACTAAAGGTTTGTTTGTAAATCTAAAAGATGATCAGGCCAATCGAGCTGATCTTGAGTAAGCCAGGTCAGGTTTGACCTGGCTAAAGAACCCGATCCGTCTCCTACCCCGTCCCAATATCCAGATCTGATCAAAGACCTCAGGTTTCCTAGTTGGTACATATTGGTTTTTAGCCATCGATTCTCCCATTCCCTCATCATCACCATCATTTTCTCATTTCTGCTATGTTCTTTGTCTAAATTCAACGTTTCCTCTTCAAACTTCATCTTGCTTGACCCGGTACTATCAACATCTTCAGAAGAAATGCCTTTTGTAAAGTATGATCCCGCTATCAAGGTTGCAGCGGTTCATCTGTTGTTAGATGGAATGACAGACGACCAAGTACACAATGTGTTGCACGAGCCTTTCCACTCGAAATCACTTCGCCGATGGATGGACTTGTATCATCAGACCCACGCCGTCATCCGCAATCCTCACGACTACAAACAACGAGGTCGACCGTGTGTATATGGACCAGCCAACCGCGAATTCATTGAGGAACTGGTCCGTACCAACTCGACCCTATTCTTGGACGAGATACGCGCTCAGGTCTATGACAAGGGGGGCATCTGGGCTTCTATTTCAACTTTACAAGTCGAGCTTCATCACCGGTTACACCTCACTCTTAAGAAAGCCAATGTGAGACATTCAAAAAGGTCAGCTTTTGCACGACAGAAGTTACATGACGAGCTTAGTCAGTTTCCAGCAGAATACCTTGTTTTTACCGGTAAGAAACTTCTATGCTTGTACACGTCCCCACGCCTAGGATTTGTAATCATCGGGTTTGCAACAGGCCCCGGCCCCGCCACTGCATAACTTGAATGATTACGTAAACCACTTGGAGGGGACTGTACAATCCAACATGACATTGAACATCTATACTGACTTGGTATTTCAATCCAATTCTAGATGAGAGTGCAATATGCGAGAGGGACCTATTGAGGTTCAACGCTCGATCACCTCAAGGGACACCGGCTTATGAAACGGTCCGTAATATGTCTGCCAAGCGATACTCGCTTTTGCCAGCTATTGGGGTGAAGGGAGTTTTAGCGGTTAAGGTGAAGGAAGGCAGTATTAAGAGAATGGATTTTGAAAAATTCCTGAAGTACAGACTGGTAAGTCTTTTTTTGTTGTCACAGCAAGTCAAATGTTGACAATTCTTTGTATTGCATGACTCTAAGTTACCTCGGATGCAGCCTTATCCGGCTCCCAACAGTGTCTTGATTCTGGACAATGCCCAGATTCATCACGGTGGGCGGATTGCAAAGTTATGTCGCCAAGCAGGTGAGTTGCAGACATTATTGGTGTTTGGTTGGACAGTTTCTGACAAGGAGTTCTTGTTTCAGGTGTGATGCTGAGGTATCTACCTCCGTACTGTCCTGACCTGAATCCGATTGAAACAGCTTTCAGCGTGCTCAAGAGCTTGTTTTGTCGAACACAGTCCTTGCAATATGCAGCCGATATTAAGGGTGAAACAATTGATAGAACATGTGAGATAATGGATCATGCCTTGTGTAAGAGTTTGTATTTGTACTCTGGTTACGAAGAGATTGGACTATGACAAAGCTTCTGAACCATCTTGTATTAATTTACACTAAATATCACTTAACATACATTATTGAAGCTCACCACCTTATTTACTGGATATTAAGAGATTTTTTACAATGTCTATGATGAAATTATAGCAGTATTGTGACATAGTTTTATTTCAAATTAAACCGATGTCCAAATTAAATATAAAGTAACCAATTCTTAGATCAGTAAGTAACATATGAAAAAATTTGCCAATGGAAACACATACAAGTTTTAAATGAGTAAGTAAGATAATGAAAAATTGAACATGAATTTTTCATTTCTCAAATGAGTAAGAAACATATAGAGATCTTTGGGGATTAAAAATCAAACATAAATTTTACATTTCTTGAATGAGTAATAATGAAAAAGTGAACATAACTTGTACAATTTTTTAATGAGTAAGTGTCATAATGAGGTCTTTGATAATGAACAATATAATGAGTAAGTGTCATAATTTTCAGTAATGAATAATATCCAACTTTCCAATGAGTAAGTATAATAACAAGGTCTTTGATAATAAAAAATATCCATTTCTTGAATCAGTAACTATCATAATGAGGTCTTCAATAATGAAGATTTGAAAAATTCTTGAATGAGTATGTATAAATGTATGAAAATGAGCATTGGATAATAAAGATTTGATCAATTCTTCAATGAGTACGTATAATAATGAAGTATTTGACAATGAAACAGTTAAAATAAGATAGTCAATACGGCTTATACCATGTTAAATTGTGCATAGAATGGCTATCGTGACCATTGCGAGCCTCGAACAATTGCTCCTCAAGCCATTGTTTTCTCTCCTCCTCAGGTTGTTCATAGTATTGTTCTGCATTGGATGAACTCCGGAGGACTTTATGAGCTAGTTTGTAATCTTCTGGGGTGAAAAGCCAGTCCGGCCCGTAGTTTTGTACGTCGGCAAGAGCACCCTTGAGAAAGAAGAAGTTGGTATGAGCCTCTGCCTGCTTCTTTGAACGCCAGATGGCAAGGCTGGCCTGGGTCCAACGGTGTAAGTCCAATCGTTTGCGAGCGTCCTCTCGCTTCCATCGATTTCGATCACTTGCGGTTGAACTCTTGTGATTGCAATTGACATGGACCTTTAGATAGTTTTCAAAGTCCGGAAGTTGGTCTGAATTCCAGTACGGCATCAAAGGACATTTGTCAATGCCTGCAATAGTGATTGAAGATATGAATCAAGAGTGGATCATAACAATATCCATATAGAGCTTTGGGTATCTTTTAGGATGAATCCAAGGGATTCTACCTCCCACCATGGGCTCGCGGTGATACTTTTGAGGCCCTGCAGCAAATGATATCTTGGAATTATCATAGTAAGCCTTGATTGCAACTTTAGCCTTTCTTTGGGGTTGCTTGCGTAGTGGCGACATTGTTTTTAAAATTTATGAATTGATGTTAAGGAATGAAACAACAAGAAATCTTTATATTAAAGATTTCTCAAAGGTTTTGATCATATTGATCAAGTCCAAATCCACAAGCTTGTTGTCCATCATGATGTCATGAAGTTCAACTCAAGAAATTTGATCGGGCTGGTCTCGCTTCTTTTGGATCACTAAAAAAAACTCTGCAAGTTAAAGAACTGCATTTCAAACAGACAAAAGGAACACAACAAATCAATCATTTCGCATTATTCAGTTAATGATAATGTAAAGTACAATAGGATGGGCAGACCAGTCAACTAAGAACCTACATAATCAAAGATAAGATTGATACAAACTGAGATACACACACAAGACACAAGATTACAATGATAAAGGATAATTTGAAACCCAATTTGAAATATCCAGACATTTGCGATCACTTGAAATTACCATGTGGATATATACAGGGAAACACAATTAATAATAATAGTTTGAATTCTTAAAAATTATCTTATTGAATGTTAGACTCATTCAAGTGTTTGGCAAAAGCCTTTACATTCATGTACAATCTAGTGACTACACCTGGAACCAGATTCAATTTGAGTAAATCCTTGCGAGGCAGGAACTCTCTGTTGAAAAGAGTGTACTGATCCAAACCTGCCTCAGTCAGACAAGCCTCAATTGATCGGTCCTCATCCTTTATACCACAAAAAATCAGATAATCTGCTATTGGAGCAGACAAAGACGTGCTAGTACTCCCTTCGGCTGCATCAATGGGTGGTTGTACAATAGAACCCATGATATGCTTGAGCATGTCGGTGATGGCGGAGTCCCCACTAGAACCAGGCTTCTTACGCTTGAGTTGTTCAGCGGATTGGCTCAACCATTGAATTCCAGCTTTTGGTGGTATACAGGTTGTGACTACCTGCGTTCCTTTAGAATCACAGACCAGCTGACAATGGAAAACAGGTCAGAATCAATCAAAATCCTATTGTTTAGAAGTCTCACCTTCTCCTTTGCCCAGATTCTAGACATCCCGGCAGTGATGTAAAAAAATCGGTCAGTCTCCTTTGGGTCCACATAAACTGGGATGGACTGATGGTAGCTGGGTTTGATCGGGTTGTGTTTGTAAATCAAATCGGCCACAATTTTCACCGCATCAGTGTCAGTATCACCTCCAGTGCTTTCGCAAGACTAGGTGTACAAAAACAAATACTGTTGATCAGTATTGGTCAAACTAAAAGTCAAATGTACACAGCTTACTTCCAATGAACTATCACTTGGACTTGGAGGTTCTGGATCATCGTCTAGGGCTAGTTCTTCTGCTGTCAGACCTTGGTCACCACCACAGTGGGTTTTCTTTGAAAGTTTTTGTTTTTGTTTGCGATCATGACGACGGGTGATCTTGGCTGCTTCAATCAAAACGGCTTCGTTCTTCCAAAGCCCAAAAATTAGCCAATTGATTGTGCAATGAACGGTTACACGCACCTTTCTTTTTTTTCGTTGAGCCAAAGTGGGGTTCTCCATTACTAGCTTCAGACCGCAAACTTTGTCTTTTGAAGCGTTACAGATATGTAACCAATCGTTCCATTCGGCATCGTTGGTAATGAACTTGACTCGGTTGCCGCTCTTTGGGTACAATCTGCTAGTGGCGATATAAGCTTGCCATTTCAAATCACCTAAGCTACCCTCTCCTTTATCAGCAGCGCTTAGCACAGTGGCTGCCTGCACTTCCGATTTCTGGATTTCAAATAAAACTTGAAGCCTTGCATTTCTGAATGATGAAGTGTTGATTTCCAAAAGAAAAACCCTAATTTTGTTGTCTGGCTTGGCAGACTCCCATGACGGCTCAAGCCCGGCTTTTTTCCCGGATTTGATCTTTGGAACCCAAATAGTGTAATCAACCAAGGCATTGATGCCAGTGTCAAAAACTGGATTCGTCACAACCTATAAAGCCAGGAGAAACAAAGACAAAAGTTATCAGCCTACATGATGTATGACACTGACTGTGAGCATATCAACTCACATCAGAAGTTGGACTCATAGCCATGGTTTATAGCAGAGCCATCTGAGCAGACAAAATGCTTTAAGAAGATCATTAATGGGTCAGTATTTTTGGCAGAGGATCGATTAAAAGGAGATCATTTAGAGGTAACAGAGCAATTAAAGGAGGTACGGTAGGACCCCGGTATGCTCCTATAAGGGGTAGTCACATCAAAATATATATTTTGAGCTCCCGCGGGTTTACGCTTCATGGTATTATGCACTAGTCTTTGAGGTTTTTGCCGGTTTTTGCCTATTTCAGAGTGGCTTCAATATACAATACAGCTCATTTGAAAGATTAAACTGTCTTAGAGTTATGGGTCCAGCCAGTGACTTATCTCCGCGGGAGCTCAAAAGATATATTTTGATGTGACTACCCCTTATAGGAGCATACCGGGGTCCTGGTACGGTGGGATGGACTTGAATCCTATCAATCCCCATCCCAAAACCATTAGGTTAACCGTGAGCTGGGGAGGTAGCAGCCTTAATCTTATCAGTGCGCCCCTGAATTCCCCAACTTGAGTGATATAGTGCTGGATTGAAAAGAGTGAAGGAATATACGATAATATTGAAAGAAACCTTCTCTCCTTACCTGTTGTTCCAATATGATTTTAGGGAAGTCGCAGCCAATTTCGAAAAGAAAGGAAATGTGAGGTAAGAGGAGTGATTGATCAATCGATGATATCAAAATCCAATACCAAAAACCGGATAGCCAGGATGGAACAAGGATGGGACCGTCAGTTCCTTTGACCACCGGTAATATGAGACGGGTAGGAGACGGATCGGGTTCTTTAGCCAGGTCAAACCTGACCTGGCTTACTCAAGATCAGCTCGATCAGCCTGATCATCTTTTAGATTTACAAACAAACCTTTAGTCCTTGAAAGCTTTTGGGACAAGCTTTTCAAGAAAGACGGTAAATGAATTTAAGATAAAGCCAACAAAAAAGAATGTTCTGGGCCAGAGTATGACTCATTGAGTAGAGTTTTTGAAGAGTTGACTGTACTTTAGTTTATTATCAATGGGAAAGATGATGCACAGCTCATGTGAATTGGGTCCAATATTGGTATACAGCTGTCTTGGGAGGCTTAAAGTTTGATTATTTACTCCTCATGTGATTTTCAAAAATTATGGTCCTCAAACCTGTGCAAACATTTGTGCAAGTTCCGTGCATGGATCTTGCACTTCACTGTTTTTGTACCAGTTGGAACGCAATAGCTGGGGCTGTCAAAAAAATTTAAGTGCAACATTGGTACAAGAAATCTTACACAGATTTTGCACATTGGTTTTGCATGGTTTTTGCACAGGTTTGAAGACCATAAATTTAGACAGATGTTCCCAAGATATCTATCTTCATAAATATGCTGTTCTTTTCATTCAAGAAACACAAAGAGGTGCTCCAATCTATGTCTTTTTGGTGTATTTTACACAAACAGACGAGACTCATGTGGGTTGGAACCGCGAAATGCTACCCCTGCTCTCAGCCTGTCTTAATAGCTCAGTTGGGAGAGCGTCAGACTGAAGTCACAGCTAAATCTGAAGGTCCAGTGTTCAAGCCACTGTTGGGACATACTTTTTTGTCTCTTACAGAGTCATAGATCAGCCTGCAGGCATCTTGTTGCATACATGCAATGTGGAATTAGTATTACAGTAGATTTCAAAAGTCTTGAAATCCACTTGTTTTCAAAATTGAGAGATGGTCCGTGCGCCCAGCAGTATAGTTGAGATTAATTGTGACATCTGTCAAACTTACATGCCAGATCTGATATTTATACATATATATTCCTAAGGTGTGGTCGTACTCACAGCAAAGAATACAAGACAATACAAAAGCGCTGTGACAAAGCAGCATGAGGGTCTGTTCTCATTACAATAAAGCTTGCCACCAGGGCAACTAACCAAGTTCAAGTCTGCTTTTGTCTCTAACTATTAATTGAATTTTTTTACAGTCCTTTTTTGCTTGTTGCGGTAGAACAAAATGAAGAGAATAAAACGGAGGTGTTGATTGTTTTGTCCATGGTTAGGTGCTATTGGTCATTAATGACTTGACGAAAAAAATCACGGGTGACAAAAGAGAAGAGCGAGTCAAACACTGACTACACTTAATCCAGCGTGGCAAGCCTTTACCGCAGCTTGTTACCACTTGGGCACCAATAGTTTATGGAGAAGAAGGAATCATAGAATTGATCATTGATTTTTTGAAGTTAAGCATCTGCATATTGTTGGATGTGGCGTGTAAGTTTGACAGATGTCACAATTAATCTCAACTATACTGCCAGGCGCACGGACCATCTCTCAATTTTGAAAACAAGTGGATTTCAAGACTTTTGAAATCTATTGTATGTGATTGTGAAAGAAGCTGAAAAAAGACTTCTGTTTTTTGGGTGTAATTTATTTTGTTTTCTACGCTCCAGTAGTTGATTATTTACAGTGAGGTGTTGTCTGTGTATGTACACCTGTTTGCAGGATGACTTTATAAAAACATGCTTGAGTTTTCAAAAACAACCTTTGGTTTTGTCAAAAGGTCACCAAGTTTTTCCAAACATTGTCAAGTTTTTTGCATTCTTTTCATTCTCTCAAGGGTATACAACCAATGGATATCAACAATCAAAGTAGATACCTCATCTCATTGCACACATTTGCTTCTAATTCAGCAATTCACTCAACTCAAATGGACTTTGAGTGCAATGACAATCACCTACCATTTTTTTCAATTTTGGTATACCTGGATATAACAATTTTCTCTCATCAGTATGGATTAACTCTTGATGAAATCCAAAATAAACTGCTAAAAGAATATGTTGAACTTCAACAAGGCAATTAGAAAAAGGGCAGACAACCAAACAAGGACTGTCGGACACAGAAAAAAAGAGACATGCACAGTAGGATGCAGTGGCCCTGGTTTTACAAAGACTTAAAATTGGATTTTAGAGTAATTGTGACTATGCAATCAAGAATTGTAAGGAGGAAAAAACCCTAAAAGACTTGATTGCAACTCTGTGTCATGTTGTCTGCATTTCTTGACTTGAACTGCCCTATGGCTCACTGTTGTTAGTGACAAAAGGTTTTTGCAAGCTTTAAAAAGCGACTTAAGAGACTCTTAAGAGACTACAATTTTGTTTGGAACTATGAGTTTATCAAACAGCAAATAGTCGACAACAGGGTGGGAAATGAGGACCATTATTAAAATAAGCTGCACATAACGGCACAAGTTTGAAGCAAGAGGAATCAACTTGGATCAACAAGTTTGGATGACTCAATCAACTTGAGAAAATGAAAACAATGAAAAAATCTTGAGATGTTTTATGAAAACTCAGGTGTTTTCTTTTTTCCAAAGTCAACAATCCATCAAACGGCTGGAAGTTCATAAGGATGAGCAACTCAGTTTTACAGATAATACAGATGATTTTCACATTCAAGTTAATTGGGTTACATATAGGTTATCACATGAGGAATTCAAAGATGGTTTTATCTGGTGCACTGCCACTACACACATTCATCATTGTTATCCAAGTTCAGAGTCCCATTTTAGTGAACCTCATTTCTCTACTCATCCATCCATATGCAATGGAGCCTTTAGCTGGACAGGTGTGATAATGCAGTATCAGTGGTTTGTTCAAGTCATCTAGCTCATAATGCAATTTAAACTTGGCACTTGAACAATTAAACATACCCAAAGAGGGCTCTTGACAGTGAATAATGAGCCTGGAATTGTAAGTATTACTTTATATATTCAAGATGGATATCAAAAACTTAGATTAGAACTCACCCAGAAAATAGGTGTAAACAGTTCAAAGTCCATAAACAAGCAGAATAAAAACACACAAAGCTGTTTAATGTGAGATTGGTAGAGTTACTTAAGTTGACTAAAAAATGATACAACAGAATATTTATCAGACTTCACAAAATGTATCACCTGAAGAACTTAATCAAGTGACAAGAGCTTTGATCCCTGCAACATTAGCAACCACTATGAAACAGAGATTAGTGGATGCCTTTAGAAAGCTTGAAGCACTGATGTCCTTCAAATAAAGTTATACCTAGTTTAACAAAAGAAATTGGGCATATAAACGTTGAGATACTTACAGTGGATACAGTTGTGTTGTTGTCAGGCATCACTGGTGGGAACTAGGGTCCACAGTTATTGATGTTCAAGAAAGAGTTGGTTTTGGAACAAAATGGCAAGGTAGAGAACCAATTGGATTGATCAGGATTATCATCAGTTTTCATAAGTAGAGGTTTACTTACACAAAGGACTGTCAGATGCTGGAGATCAGGTTGGTACTAATAGAAAAAATATGAGTCAGTCAAAGAGGCATGTTATGTCCAGTAAATTGTCAATCCAGTTACACACCAGGAGCCATACCAGGACAGGCACATTTTCCATCAGGAGACATAAATCCAGGGACCATTGATGAACCAGCCTGATGAAATCAAGAAGGATTAGGTTGGAAGATTCAAAATGACAAAACTGTAGGACAAACATGAAAGCCTACCATTGGGGGAGCAGTAGTTTTTCCAGCGCTGTCTTTCTTGGTGGGTGTCTCACCACCTGATGAAGCCCGGTCAGAGTTGGTAGAATTTAATCCTGCAGGGGTATCAATAGTGTGTGTTGTGGTAATTTTTGCAGTGGAATCCTATCATGATAGCAGAAGATATCCTTATTAGCTGATGGTGGCTGTGCAAGAGACACAGTGTTTACCTTGTGAACCATACAAAGTGGAAAATATAACTTGAGATACAGAATCAAATATATAGTTTGATAGTAGTTGTGAAGTTGATCAAGTTTTGGTAGTTTGAGTTGATTGGAAGAGGTAAAGGATGAGTGGATTTAGATATGCAAGCTATGTTGAAACCAGGTTATATAGTAGCTTAAGAAGAAGTAATAAAAATTACTGAGCCCTCAGGCAAATGCTTGATCATCTTTGATTGAGGAACTTTTAGTAAGTATGTTATCTTGTTAAGTTTTCAAATTTTGTCAAAGATTGCTGACCTCTCTACGCGGTGATCTTTAGCTATAGAAGGAGAGAACATTTGTTTCAAAGCTGGCCATATCTACCATGACAAATGTCACGTTTGATTTCAATTTTTTGAAACAGTCTTTCTTTCTTCAAGGCGGCTAAACACGGGCAATCAATCATATTGGGAAGATCTTCAAAGGTGGACCTGAGCTCGATATATCAAAATTCCTCACAAGCAGGCTTCCTTTCACGTCGTCCAAATGGGGCCGTTGACCGCCGTGTGTTTGGGTACGCGTCGTTACGCTTGGGAGTAAACAAACTGCGGACCTTTCATAGTCTGTTACATTGTCCCCATCAGATAAATTCAATGATACATATGGACGCTGTAGTTTTTTATTGGACGCGTATACTGTTGCCTACAACTACTGAAATTCAAAGTCATGGGAGGCAGGGTCGTGAGCATCGTTGCGCATATTCTAGATAATCGTCAGCTTCAACAATTAGTGGTTGCTTTAAAATATCAGATGGCTCACACCTACACGTAATGACAAATTACGGTGATATTATTGGCGTTTCGTCATAAGGTGGCCCCAATCTCCCTGAACGCGTGAATCACTTGCAGCGGCATCACCAACATGGGTGAAAACTTATGAAATGCAGAATATTTATAACTCGGGATCGAGCTTGGTTCTGTGCACGTTTTTAGATGATTAGTACATAGCTGATTTAGGTAAGTCATCTTCCAAGACAGACTTGAGATCTCAACATGTGGAACAGAATTGTAGATCTGTTTCAGGAGTGGATGGGCCTTGATGGGCACTTGCTTGGTGGAAATCAGGATTTGATTCCATTGGAACTTGCTCTAGGCTGTTCTAGGCCCCAGCGGTTTTCTTGAGTGGTATAGTAGAAGAATAAAGTTCAGCCTCTATATTCCATTGAGATTCAAGATCTGATCACCCTACCCGGGACACGTGCAGATTGCACTGCAGAGGATATCGTGATGTTACATCCAACCATCAAATCCTATGGCTATACATACTTATCTACTCTTCTGACAAACGATGGTACATTCTATGCGCCTTTTCTGTTAGCAGGATTCTGTTGAAATATGCTCAACAAAGAGGTCACCTCTGGGAAGAATGTAAAAGTAAGATTGATGCCTAAGATGAAACTAAATGTATTATTTGTATACACAAAGTCAAGCAGCGGAAAGTAGATCTCTTAAAAGGTGCAGCGTGCAAAAATATGATTTGGTTATCACTCTGTATGCATAGGTAACAAAATGCCATGAACAAAACAAAGTCAAAAGACGAGACAAGAGATATTCATGTCTTGAAACATTTCAATGCCAGATGTTGTATTTTTCAGCTACAAAACCTCACTCAAGAGATATGAGCAGATTAATTGATATACTTCCACAAATGACGAAAACCAACCACATGTCAATGTGAAAACTAACAGGTACCCATGATTGCCTCGTAGAATGTGTCGAGGCTATGAATTCCTTACCTGATACTTGAACACACTATCATGTCCACAATGAGGCTTCAGCTTTGCACTTTATAAAAACCTAGCAATGGGTCTTCTAATCATCATCTTTTGTACTTGACCATGGCTATACTCTGGTACCAGCTAAAAGGCTCGATGTGAAAATTGACGCGCTCAGGGAACTTGATAATTGGAAAATCTTTTGTCATTTTTGTTCTTGTGGTTCCAATGAAACATGCAATCGCAAGTTTGATTAACCAGTTTTCAGTAGGAATGTTGATAAAGGTAATAGAGTTGTCAATTCTTGTCAAGATTTATATCCACCCAATGGTTTTATAAAATCAAATTCTTTCTTTACCGTTTGTGATCTTTATGACGTCATTTCTTCGTATTCTTATCATTCTGAAGTTCTCTCTTGTGCAAATTCTTCTTGTCTTTCTTCATGACCGTTAAAAGAAAAGATCAGTCCATCTTGAAGGTTCCTATTATTAACACATACCTCAACTGACAACCTTTCTGTGTTGTTTCTCCTTTCATCACTCTCAATATCTGATTAACACCTTCTCGTAGACCTCTTCTTTACATTACTTACCCTACCTAGGTAAACAGCCTCGTGAGTGTTGTTCTTGTTTATTTATCTGAGAGGTGCTTTTGCATCGGGTCTATTATGGTAGGTTCGACATGGGTTCAGATATCTCAAAACCTTTTCAAAATCAATTTAGTAGGCATCAACGGGCATGCTTGAAAGAAGTAAACGGGCTCCCAAAAGCAGTGCTAGCAAGACAGAAGATCATCGAACATTATGACTAAGCAATCTTTTAACACAATGGTTTTGTACACATTCTTTTGAATCCTTTCAAAAACTCCCAAACCAACGTGCCTTAATTTTTCGTTACTCCATTTAGGATATCTTTCCCGTGGTATGTTACGGAAGTGATGATGATTAGCTGGATGTTGAAATGAAGTGAATGGACGACCGATTTGATTGATGCAATATGTTAGATGATCATCAAATTTCTTTCGATCTTGACTGATCAGAATCGAACAACCAAGTGAAAAGAGAGATGGAGTTCGTGTCAAAGTTGGACTCAAAAAAAAACTTTGAAAGGAATGACGAAGTGTTGTTTTGTACAAAAACAGTTTTAATTTTACAACATCACCACTTAGAAATTTGTTCAACTTCATCATCAACTTTGTTTTTCATTTTCACTTTTATTCCCAACACTTCCACCATCCATTCTGATATCAATACCTTGTCAACCCGATTCAACTTCAATCAAAAGGACAACACATAGGATCAAGATCTTATCAACCAGAGGAAGAGGGTAGTCCTTTAATAGTCATCTTTTGCTACGACTTGATATCCTCAATCAGCAATTCTCTTATATCATCATCATCACAACTTTCATTAATCACATCCCATCGAAAAGAAAAAAATATGGTCAACTCAAGCAAAAGGTCTCATTCACCTCCTCTTCCACCTAATGCAACCTATCATCACCCTTCCATCACTCTCACCGTTCTTCCATCAGCAAATCGATTTGTAGCAGGGTCGAAACTTACTGGTATGCTAGAAGTATCATGTAAAGATCAGAATAAAGTAGCATTGGGTCAATTGGCTATTGAGTTTCTCGGCATTGAAGGTCATTCTTTTTCCTTCTGCATCAGTCTCTACAATATCACTGCTATTTGACGCGTCAAGCTAACGAATTTTCTGCTTCCCCACCCATAGAACTCAAACTACGTGATCACAGCGCTCAAACGTCGATCCATGGCCCGCATAAATGCTTGTTTCAAGGCCCATCTTTACCCCCAAGTAATGCAGTAGCTACATCTGAAGCTCCCATCGCTGGTCATTGTTAGTTCGATCCTGAGCTTAAACCTTCTTTATGATCTATCCTGACCATCATTCTTTGACGTGTTTCATCTTGATTTCATGTTTTAGATTATAAAGCTCTTCGTGGTCGAACAAAGTTTCCATTCTCGTTCCCACTGCCTTCTAAACTTCCCTCATCAGCTACATTTGAGCAATTAGGCGCGGTTCGTTACACACTTAAGGCTACTTGTCAGGTCTTGACTATCAAATCTCAACAAAACGTCGTCGTGACTGCCACACGCTCAATCAACATCATCGCCCGACGGCCTGATTGGTCTTCACCTGCTCTCCTTCACGAACCGGTTGAGGCAAGAGCTGAGATTCAGGGTGCAAGTGGTGGTGGTGGTGTATGGGCTGAACTCAAGATGGACAAACGGCTTCATTGGAATTCGCTTCCCTCTCCTAATCCCGGTCTCATCCAAGCTATCTTGAGTGTCAAAAATAACTCCCGTAGATTGGTAGGTGCTCAATGAATAATGACTGGATTCTTATGTTGAACTTGACGCGTTCTCTTACATATCTTGTCAGTTGTCGGGTGGGGTGACAGTCAAGTTGTGTCGACGATTGATCGTTTCTCAAGATTCCAAAGCAGAGAACCCTGTCCAGGTGGTTTGTACGAGGACACTACGCGGACCTGAATATGAGATCCCCGCAGTCTCTGGACAAACGAAAATGATTGATTTATCGTGTCCACTCCCGGCTATCATCGAATCTGACAAGGACTCAAGCTCTCACGAAGCTGAGTGCTTTACGGCCCTTGGTATGACTCTCTTCACGATTCAGGTTTTCTTGAGGGTGGAAATCGAACTTGGAGCCTTGTCGTAAGCATTCTGATGAGATGATGACTTGAGAGAATCACTGACCAATGTTGTTCGCGTTGACAGGGAAGACTTGGTGATCGAATTACCCATCGAGATCGTGCATCCTGCATCTTTACCCCCTGAAGCATTATGTGAAGCTACTCCGACTGCCATCGATCATATTCGAAGCCCTGATCCACTGGCCATACCTCATCATAACCAATCACATCCTTCTAGACCTGCCAGCCATTCTTCTCTTCGATCTAGCTCCCCCCATCCTATGTCATTACAACCGGGTGGCGGTTCACGCTGTGGCTCGCCACAACCAGATTGGCCTGATGCTCGATCGGGGGGCCCCTCACCCGTCCCGACTGCTCGCTTTTCACCCTTACCAACTCCTCGTCACTCGCCGCTTCCGTCTGCAAGATTCTCTTCACCTTTTCCGTACTCATCAAGCCCTGCATACGAGCCTGCACATTCGGCCAGGCCTAGTCTTCCATATTATCCACCCACACCCAATTGGTCTGCACCCGTGACACCCTATTTATCTGATCTACCACCTGAAACGAGTTATTGTCAGCCACACGTCCACTCACCATGGCCAGAACCTTATCAACCACCCCACTCAAATTCCTATTCCTTATACCCTGATCCGGGATCCAGTCAGCCCCAACCTATCCCATCCTCTTCGGTCAACGCAAATTTGTTTTCCCCTCCAGCAACGCCCTGGTGTCGAAGGACGGACACGGTGCCAAATCTCGAGCATCAGACTCCTGTCTCATCTTATTTCACCTCTCCAGGTCCTAATCTGTCATCTCAACCTTTTGATCCATCACGTACCCGACGACATCAGTCGTTACCCCCTACTCCGGCACTATCTCTTCAGTCGGGGAGCTCTGGTATCCCACGCTCTGGATACAACGAGGGCGATACATCAAATGCCGTAGCGGGTACAGAGGATGGAGGTGCGCGTGACACGCCATCGGGGCCCAGCCGGAGAATCTCCATGCCCATGATGAGTCCACAGCTGCAAATGTCGGTTTCAGTCAGGAAACGTGCCCTACCCACCCCACCTTTGGGTGCTCCCATCACCACGTCACAAGGTAAGTAATACAAGTAACTCGCAGACTCTTACACGATTGGGCTTGTCACCATACTGACTTGTTTGCCTCACTTGGCGTCGGGGATTGCAAAGATGAACAGTACTCATCATGGTCGAATGCATTGCAATCGAGTACCAATGTCGAACCATCACAGCAAAGTGAGCAGACAAATTCCAATTATCTTACAGGTCGTTTCTAGAAGGTTGATCAAATTCTGCACATACTTTTCAAAGCCGGTGACACTTGTTGGAATTTGCAGCAGTCCATGTTTTCGGATCATCGACAAAGCACGCCGATGGGGTCAAGAGGTCAGCGTGGCCAACAATTTCCTAATCTCATCTTCTGTTGACGTTCTACTTTCTTGTATCGACAGCCCAACCAGACATTAATTGGGGCCGATCCTCTTACGCTCACGAGATCGCCTTGGATCAAGTCTCTGAGGGTGTGTGCTACTATTTTGAACGCCTCTCGACGTCTTCAGGCACTCATGAGATGTCATATTTTGTCTAGGTTTGATGGATGCCATGCATTCAGAGGCTCTCGAATTTGAAGGCGGTGTTCCAGAGCGAGCCATAGTTTCTCAACCAGCACGACTCGAGACCATTGGCGAGGCGGGAGAGAGCCGTATAGGCACTATGGATGCCAATCATGTTACTAAGGAACTTTTAGAATCGCTATGCGATCCACCGGGAATGATCAGCCACACCAGGGGTATGAAGCCGAGGAGATCTGAAGGTAGTGATAGTGTTCAAACTCTCGAAGATCTCGTTGCCGCTCAGGATGATCTTCGTCAACGAACTCCCGATCAAGCTTCAGAGGCGTCGCACACCTCGAGTGAAGCTGATGGGATGCAATCAAATTCTAACCAGAATGAGACTAGTTTACCACCCTCATGCAGTTCTCGGAGCTCTCATTCTGACGACAATCCACCGCCAGTGTCCGTCAAACCTAAACTGCCGAAGAGTTCATCAGCTGGGATACTCCATTTGGTCGGCTTTCTCAATCGAGCGAATTCTACAAACACTATGATCAACGAGTCACTAGATCAAAAGTCGCCCAGAAATGTTTCTCAAAACTTATCAGTTGCTCCTGACTCACAACTCGAACGTCCTACGACTCCGAGTTATACAGGTACCGCTGGTGCTCTGCGAGTCAAGAGCTCTGGCATCGCTTACAATCAAGCCTTCGTTGATGCGGTCGTCGCCCCTCTCAAGTTGGCAAAGTCGGTTTCTGCGTCTTCAGGTGAAAAAGATCAGATCAAAACGCCAAACATGTCGAACTGGGTACCACCACCGTCATCGACTCCCTTGCTTCACTCGCTCAATGGCGACGATCCACTCAAATTGTTAGAAGACGATAAGCCCGATGACCATCAACTACCGCGTCAACCTGCTGTACCCCCTGCTGCTCTGTTTCCAACTTTTGATCATCGTCATCGACACCAATCTTTACCAAATTGTTCTGCAGCGCCTGTACTCCCTATCGTGACTACGCAGACACCGTTAGTGGTCAAGAAACGAAGCTTGAAGAAAAACACGAGTCAGCGGAAGAGAATGAGTCAGCCACCCCCTGCCTCGGTCACCAGCGCCCCCTCCCCAGTGAATCAAGAGAAACCTGAATCCTCGAAAGCAGAAAAGGTTGCGCGATGGTTAAACAAAGGCGAGAGCGAAGAAGCTCGACACGTGAAAGTTTTAGAGGACATTCAACCACGAAAACATTCTAAATGGAGTGCACTTGGTATCGAGATGGCAGATGAAGAATTGGGTATCGAGATGGCAGATGAAGAATTGGTTTCGAATCATTTGGAGCCTACAAAGGAACCGATGCCCTCGGAGCAAGAAAAGGAACCTGTGACTCTCTCCAAGCCAAATGATCAAACGGTGCCTCGAGTTTTATCTAGTCAACCTTTGCCTGTCAATGATATCTTGACACCTAAACAGTCCCCGCAACTCCCGATCTTCTCCCAATCCAATATCGAAATCAGTGCACCAAGGGCAATCCGACCCATTTCGATACACTCGCCTCTTTCATTTGCATCCCCTTCTCCACCGGGAAATATGAGAATTTCTTCTGTTAATGCGTTGGTTGAAAGTTTTTCATCAAAGACTGGTCCTACTCCACCATTACCTCGGAGACCATTACCTACCCCTCAAAGAGCTCCATCTATTGATGCACGAACGGTAGGAATACGACCATTGTTTGCTTCCACTAGTCCATCAACTGTTATCTCAGCAAGAAATGAAGTTCCAAGAAGTTCGAAACTCGATTTGATACCTTTTCCTACTACTGATATAACGCGAGAAGAATCGATTGTGGAAGGAGAAAGTTTGAAATCTGGAAGAAGGCATAGTAGTTACATCGTTGAATCACCGACGAATCCATCAATCATCACACTATCTAGAAAATCAAGGACTAAAAGACAAATCTCACCTAGTGTGATTGATATCATGAGGCACAGGGAAGGGGCAAAGGAAAATGCGGAAGGAGAAGAGCTGATTAACCCAGAATTGATTTTAGCAATGGAAGAAACGAATGCAGCTGTACAGAAAGCTACTTCCAAGAGATTGTCTACACCAATCTTTACTCCATCACCTTCATTGAGTTTTTTAAGAACGTCACCGTCCAAGAGGAGTTTATGCGTGTTACCTAACGTAGTAGAAAGTTTTGATAAGGAAGAAGAAGAAAAAGAAGATGAAGATGAAGGAACTGAAGAAGAAAGTGAGGTGAAATTGATTTCTACTAGATCTTTATCTATCAATGAACGATATGATAATCGAAAAAAAGAACATGAATTTATTATTCAAACTAATCAGAATAGATTGATGAATATGAATGTAAGAAATTCGATTAGTAGAAGTAGTGAATCTTCTGAAGGATCTTCACTTCAATCAAATCATCAAAAAGTAGGTAGATTAACTGATTTGATTAAGAGATGGGAAATTAAATGAAGTTGAAAGAGACGAAGGAGATTGAAAGAGTTTCTTTTTTCTTATATTGTTATTTTTTGGTGATAATTATTTTTCATTGACAATGTTATATTTTCCAAGAGGTTTTGAAGACGTATTCGAAGAGGACATTGGATTTTTCTCCTGTTGCTTCTTTTAATAGAACTAATGGACTGATCAAGATGACAAAGGGAATAAGAAATCCGATTTTGCTATTACGCAATGGTGAAAGTTTTTTGTTGGTGATATTCAAAACCTCTTGTTTTTATTTTGGTGTGTTTTTTTCTTGTGAATTGAATTTCTTTGGTATCTTGAAAGATTCTTTTGAATCCTATTTGTTTTTTTGATTACATTTAAATTTGTCGAACATACTTACATATATTATTATTATTATCATTGATTGTTTCATTATATTAATTATCTTATGTATTCAATTTCTTTGGTACAAAAAAATTCAACTTAATTTTTCATTCTTAGCAAAACAAAATTAACAGAGAGGAGAGTGAGGGGAGCTATGAAAGCATGGATTTTGAAAATAATGCCTGCCGAGCTGAGACGCTGGGAAGTAAAACCGTAGGATCTTGATGAGAATGGGATCAAGTTAAGGTTTTTGGAGGGCCAAAGGTTATGATGTTGGAAATAGTCAATCAGTGAATTATGTACCCAATCAGTGTTGTATATCAAAGAAGATAAATAACTTCTTGGAGTTGGTACTCTGTAACAACAAGGGGCAATATCTGGAAGGGTCCGAACGCACCTCTGAAAGGAGCAACAATAAACTAGCAAGGATCTCCGAAGGGATCAAATGAGTCAGTCTTGATTCTGAGGACTTCTTGTTGACTACTTTCTCTTTCTTGTCCTTCAACAAAAATTACAAAATTATGTAAAAAAATCGGACCACAAGACTCTCAGAGCAGGTCAGACTGGTCTATGGGGACTTTGAGAAAGCAAAATTGGATTTTCACCTTACGGTACGTGAGCCACGAAGTGTGTGGTTCGTATGGAGGGCTTTGGGGCCGACGGAAAGAATTGAAGGAGCGGGTGATGCTGTTGTATCTGTGGCCGCCCAGCCTTATCACGCCACTCAACTTTTTGAATCTGAAGGAAAATGTAAAGTTGTAAAATAGGCTTTTTGTCTCAACAAAGGAGATATCATTGGACTAACTGTATTGCAGTATTGATTGAGACTAGGTGGTTCTTCTCACGTTCTTCTATCTCTCTTTCTACCCGCCCCTTCTTTGATTCGGTGGTCGGTGAACGGTGAAGAAAAGAAGAATTAAATTTGGAACCTGACTACGGAAGTTCGGAAATGAACGGATCGGGACAGAACACTGTCACTTACGAAGCAAGCGTGGGAATTTGCTGAGGAAAGGAAAGAATGGCGAAAATTAAACTTGACAAACGCTCGCCTCGAGCGATCCTCTTGAGATTACAAAAAAGAGGTGGAAGCTCAAGCTCAACTTGTGCCTTCTATCATTATCTTTTGCTTTGAACTAACTCATCTTAATCTCGCGATTGTCTTGATCATTCTTTTAAACTTATCACCTTTTGGATTTCTTCACACAACTGTTCTTCCAGCTTGGATAGTTATATACTCCATCTACTTTCATAACCAACACTCTTCTTTGTGTTTTCCACAGGTTCGAGTCTCATCTTTTTTCCTTTCATTCGCAACCAGTCTGACTTTGACCCTGACTGTCTGACAGTTCAACCTCAATGTGTCACTCTTTTTTCAAAAATGTCTCTGCAAGGCATTTGTTGATTGTTTATCTCGCAAGTTCTGCCCTTGTACTCGTAGGGTAATCATGTTTTCTTGATTTTTTTTTTCGCTGTCACAATTCTAACCTTCATCGTTTAAGTTCTAACCAATCGTCTGTTCTGTTGATCTCAGGGCGCGGACACGAGTCGTTTCCAGACGAGAGCTTTCCTTCGTCTCGTTTGAGTCACGTTTGTCTGTTGACTTGGAATCGCGTCAATCCTCTCAGACTTCAGAAAAACATACTAGCATAGTGGTCTTCGGCGCTAGTTGGGCTGGTGAGCCACCAGTTTCTCGTATGTTTGATTATTGAGCTGATGGTGTTCTATATGATCGTTTGCTGTTATCACCCTACAGATAATGCCCACCCTCGGCCTGACAAATACAAGGGGACATTCAGAGGTTAGCAAAATCCTGTGACGCGTTCCCCTCACATCTTACAAGGAACTCATACATCTCTCTTATTTTAAAAGATCCCCCTTATTATAAGGGAAGGTACTCTAATGGGATAATTTGGGCGGAGTACTTGGCACAAAGTCTTCTCACTGGTCGAAACATTCCACTCCTAGATTACGCTTAGTATGTTTGCATGACTGGTTATCGAAACGTCTAATCCAAATAAGCTGACTGATTCGATTATTCTTTCCAATTTAAGCGGTGGGGCAGTAGCTAGCAACACCTTGACCTATACTGACAAACCCGATACCAACACACAATCAGATACATATATCTCCGATGTTCGTAATGGAAAAATTAATCGAGGAGCCGGTCCTGTCTTACATTTCTGGTGGATTGGACTTAATCAAATTACTCAAATATGGACTGATGCTATCAAGGCTGACCCTACTGCACGCCAGCCTGACGTTGTGGCTAAGGCTCATAGTCAAGTGCAGGATAATGTCGCCGAACTCAAACGTCAAGTCGTCAAAGTGATGCAAGACCCCGCTGTGCAAAGGTAAGTGTTAAATTTTATCCATAAAATTAGCTGGCTGTCTGATCGTGTCCTGTTCCTGTTTCTATCAGAGCTCCATGCGACTTTTTCATAGTCCCTATTCCCAACATGGCGGAAGTTCTTACCTTCCAATTTCAGGCTGTTGACTTATCCAAGAACGTAACGCAGCTCGCCAAAACATATGTGGACTTTATTGGTGATCTGAGTTATGCATACAACCAGGTCAGAAAACCATTAATCAAGTCATCAATTCATGTGATACTGATGGCGTGATGTGTTTTAATTCTTGTCTTCAGGGTATTGCTCGATTTGTATCTGAGATGCAAACGACATATGGATCTCCAACAACTCACGGTTGGGTCAGAACAATGGACTTTGAAAGCTTTTGGAAAAGTGCCATTGACGATCCAAGAAAAGTGAATCAACTGTTCTAAATTAATACCTTGCTAAATCTGTCCCAATAACTGATACACTAACTTCATCCGCCTTTCCTTGTACCAGTATCAACTGGAAGTTTCGGACAAGGCATGTCTACAGAGTGTTAATGGAACCCAAGTTGTATGTGCTAATCCAGAAAAATATGTATTTTGGGTAAGTGACTACCATTTCACATGTCCATTGTGTTTTTCTCAGTGTTTTTGACCCACCTCTCGCCTTCAGGACTCACTTCATCCAACCACAGCAATGCACAAACTCATCGCGGCTAATCTGGTCCCCGCCATCAATGTCGCCAGACTCTTATTTTGATGATCGAAGAAACCAGAAGATATGATCACGCGGCTTGAACGAAACATCAGACGATGAGGATCCTGAACCACATCTCAACGTCAGTTTCAAGAGGAGTAAACAAGAACAAGCAAACAGGAATCATTGCCAATATCGTAGACGGCGATTATGTTAGACTGCATGTAATAGATGGCATATTCATCGGACTTTTTGATCTTTTCATTTTAATTTATCTTGAGCGGTTCAGCCAAGGCACGCAGGTTGGTACCGTTGTCTACGGGGTGGAGTATGAGCAGGTGGAGAAAGCGTACAGGATACATAAGGGCTTAACCTTATGTATCAGGTCTGAAGAAAGCTTGTGTTTCCAATACAGGAAAACATTCAAGCTTTCCAGTACGCGACTTCCACCTCATAAAGCTCATACTATCAATTTGATCACATTCTCAAATTTCGAAACAGTTTTTTTATATAAAAAGGATTGATTTAATTAATTAAAAATATATCGAACTAGATCAAAATGGTTTCAAACACAAACAACGAGCTTTTTCCAGACAATGCGGATCCGAAGAGAAAACTACGAGCATTCAGCAGAGTACAATCAGTTCCTCCTGCTCCACAACAACCACCTTCACAACCTCAACAAAAGCAAGGAAGGCAGCAACCAAAAAGGAAACAACAAGCAGTAGATCAACCTCCAAACCAATCTCAAAAGGAACAGAAAATAAAAAGAATCGTTGTGAAAGGTTATGGAAGTCTGCAAGAGGAAGGAGGTTGTGAGTTAGAAGCAGAGGTTCACAATCAAGAGGTGGATAACCAACGCGTGCAGAAGGAAACGAATGATAAGCGTGGCCAACAACCAACGAACAGCTTACCAAACAGCTTAAGCTTACCAAATCCGACCATGACGAGTCAAGCAAACCTTTCGACGATCGAAGAGGACCCAAACCTTTTGACAATCAAAGAGGACCCGCCGCAATTCGCAGAGAGCGAAAGCTCCTTAGAATATCTAGAGCAAGACCAATTCAGACAAGATCAACGCGACGAAGAAGAGGAAGAAGAGTCCTGGGTCAGGTTGAAGGAGGCAAAGAAGGAACCCGAGGAAGACCAAAGAGAAAGAGGAAGATTGCTTACCGGATTAGTGTCAAGCCCCTCCTTGAACAAAGAACCCAGGGCCACGACTTTTTTCTTCGTGAACGACATTCGCAACGTCCCTGTAATCGTGTAATACCTGACAGTAATACGTAGTCAGAGGCCCTATAAAGGCTAGTCACATGTTGACGACCAAACGTTTCTTACCTCACCCCATAACGGTGGGAAGGCCCAAGCGGTACAGTCCCCATAACGGACTAGGGCACGCATCCCGTAACATGAAGCCTAATAATGTCGTCCAATAAAGACGCAGAGCCCCATAAAGGCGCAGAGACACACGATTCCTAATAGTCCTGGAATAAATCCGAATACCTCACTTTCAGCATCCCAGAAAGAAATGAAACAAATTGTAATCGGGTCACTTACACCGCGTGTTGCCTTTTCTCTTTCAGGGAAGCAAAGGGCAGTTAGAAACCCCACTCCAGGACCTTCTCAACACCAAGCCGCAGCCCTGCTAGAAATACGAGCAGTACTCGACAACAAGAACGTGGAGAAGCATGCGGAGTTAATGACGGCTTACCTCCTACGTTACAATCCTGAGAAACCTCGCGTCATGGCAGTTGAAACCGACCGAGCACCAGACGTACGAGTGACCGGTACCGAAGCTACGGCTCCTGTAACTCAAAACCCGACAGTTCCTACAGGAAAACAAACCAAGTCTAAGCCATCCAGTGCTGCGGCAAGAAAGATACCAGAAGGAAGGCCAATGTCGGAAGACGAAAATGACAGTCGACCAACTCCTAGAGGTAGCGGTTTTGTCGAGAACGGTATCGAGTTTGCGGAAGGACAAGTCCCTAGCCATCACATGGCCGAACTTACTGTCTTCTGGGATAACCGGATAAGGAAAGTAAAAGGTTATGTACCGGTGTCAATGTTCAATCAAGCCTGGTTAGAAGCAAACCGGAGATTAGAAGGAAAGAAGTCAAAGAAAAAGAAAAAGTGTGATGATTCGGACTCTGATGACAAGACTTACGAAGGACTCTCTTACCCTGACAAACTTCGTTTATCCTATGGCGATTGGGTTACTTGCTTTAATCTGATGCTTGAATATTTCCGCGACTGGTTCCACTTTGAGAAAATGGCAGAGAAGTTTGAAGGACATAAGAAGAATGTCGAGGCCATCAAGAGTGAGAACGATGACAATTGGATGATTGCTCTTCGTTACGACATCCTAGTGAGGCGCCAGATCTGGACAATTCGAGTCGAAGGAGGGAAAGTCGGTGATCCCTCGGTACGACAAAAGAAACTTGAAGAGCAAGCCCGCCGTACCACAGACAAGTTTCGGGAATGGGACTGTCACGACAATCCTTATGCAAAAGGCGGACGACGTGCTGATCAGGTACCAAAGCTATCAAAGACAGCGGAAAAGGAACGAGGCGAACTTAGTGAAAAACCAGAAGCGAAGGAAGAATCTGATAAACAGTCAAGGGATGATACCACGTACCCCCATTCCAAGAATGATAAAAGAGGTGGCTTTAGGGGACGACGTGGAGGCGGTAGGAGCTCTTACAGCTGTTCCCTTAAAGCTTGATAAATTTTCAGATGTTTGCTTGGGCCCTGCCCTATTTTCAAACACAACATGTGATTTTTTTTTGATAATCACCTGGTAAATTACAAATAAAAAAAATTAAATTAAATTCAAAACCCTTTGGGTACCGGGCAGAAACCTTGGCTGTCACTCACCTGGCAACCTTTCACTGGTTTTGGTCAACCCGTGAACTTCATCCCCTAATCCCATCTATCCGATATTCATTCTTGTTGACCACTTCCACATCATCAATCCAAATCCCCACACGGCTCTTGATAACAAAACTACCTTTGAAATGTCGGACGATGGATTCATCGACCAACAAGACCTCCTCAATCAGTTTCTCCAACCAATATCCTCAGATCCAATCTTCGATCCTCGTGGATCGGCTCCTGCACTTCATCGTTCAGCTTCACCATTGAATCAAAAGACTTCGAAGTCTCCAGACCTCTCTGATCACGAAAAACTCACTAGTACAGTAATAAACTTGACTCCTGGATACATTTCAGAATTTCATTCCGAATCGGACTCAGAGGAAGATGATTCAAGCTCCAGTTCCAATTCCAGCTCCGAGATCGAGATAGTTGGTACTCCTCATATTGTCAAGGCTTCTTTGTTGGCAAATGACCCAGTTCACATCAAGGACGAGAAGCCTCGTATTCCACCAGACCCAGTTGCTCATTGCCACCGTGTCGATCAGCTTATTGAGCGTTCTGAAAGCCTGTGACAGAGCATCTTGCAATCGAGAAATGGTAAGCTTTCACACTGTTGAATTATACATCAATTCAATATGCTGATGTGAATTCACTCATAGCACATGAAGCTGCTTTACTTGAGAAGAACACTGACAAAATGATTGATGAGAATGAAACCAGTAAGTAGTTTTTATGCTTCCTGGATTTCATCTATCTGCATTTCTAACAATTTGGTTTTACAGAGGAGCGAAAGAAAATTGCTGCAACTTCATGGGCTACAGGAAAAGACAAGGATCCAAAAACCATGGGTGAGCAGGATTCCTTGCATCTTCAATCGATCTCAGAAAGACCCATACTGACCAAAGCCTTGTCCAAAATCAACAACTTCAGCAATATCTGATCAACATCAAACCATTTTACATCGTAATCAATCGTCTCAAGACCTTCCTCGTACTTCTAAGCACTCCAAGCACACCTCCAAAAACATGACTGGACCAAAAGTTGATCGCAAAGTACCGACCGAACCAATTGCTCCGACTGAAACCCATCAACCTGCTGTCAAAGAAGAAAAATCAAAAAAGAATAAGCACCATAAGCACCATTCTCGTGAAAAGAAGAACCAAGCGCTGTTGTTAGAAGTGAAGGATGAGAAGCCGCTGTTAGAGAAAACCGAAGATGTGTTGAAGTGGGATGAGAAGCTAGACTTTGCTGATGTAGTCAAGAAGTCTAAGTCTTCTAAAGGAGGTTAGTTTTTTCATTCCAGCTTTGTGTATAAAAACTGTCAGACTGAATTTTATTGGATTCCTTGGTTTTGAACCAGGGGCTAAGAAGAAAAAGCACTCAGCGGCAAAATCAACTTCATCAAACAACGTTTGAAAATCAGATAGATTAATCCTAAAGAAACCCTTAAAGGCAAAAGAAGTCAAACGGAGTCATCATGCAAAGAAGCAATTGAAAAAACCTGTTGAGGAATCTTCCAAACATACTGAATCAGAGTCCGATGAAGGTACTCCTGGAACCGACAGTAGTGAGAAAACAACTATACGTATCTACACTTCCTACGATCTTTTTTTTCAGGAAGAGAAGGCGATGTCAGTATCTCAATCAAAGAAAAAAGCAACAACTCCTGTCCTAATTTGGAAGAGAGGACAACAAGCGAACTCAGAAGCCGACAAAACTTTCTCATTCATTGTGAATCATAACGATGCTACACCTGAAGATTTCAAAGAGCTAGCCCTTCCCAAACTCGACAACATGCTTCACAATATGACCGATTACATCAAGCGATTCCCGGAAGATCATTTCACTTGGTATGGTATGGACCGAACTAGTGTTCGAATGGTCAAGAAGTGGAACATTGACGAACCTAGTGGTTTCAAAAAGTTCATCGACTTTTTAAATTTACATGATGATGGTGATGATCATTGGCCTTTTATTCGGTTATCTATGATGGATCCTGGCGCCGCTGAACAAAAAAAAATTCTAGAAAAGAAGCAAGAAGATTGAGTTCAAGCATTTTTGACTAAGGATGGTAATTCAACAGGTCGTGATCAGTTGGATTCATCACAACCAACTATGAGACTCTCAGAAGCGATGCAAGAAATTCGTTTAACACATTCAGGTCACAGTGGTTCAGCAGTCGATCATGCAAGATACCTTGATCCTAGAAATTCGACTTTCTGGTTCAGATTGACTCCCGACAGATTAGAGGTGTGGGCCAAAACCTGGGTAGGCTTCCTTATGTTCATCTTTTGATCAAATGGATACTAACTTGATTGTTTACCTTGACCAAACACAGATTGATCACCTAAAGTTGGGAAAGAACGATATCGATGTGAATACTCCTCCTAAAACTCCGATGTTCAAGACTTACCTACGTGGCAAGGAACCATTGGACAATGTTGGACCGATCACAGCCGTCTCAGCTCAATCAACCTCAGGAACACAAGAAGATGTCTTCTTCGATGACGCGCGAATGAATCAAGAGCAATACTGTGGCAGGTTTGCAGATTTCTTAACGTTTGCTCGTATTCAACCAGACGATAATAAGACTCAAACAAGCCTGGAGACCTTGGGATTGGATCATTGGAGCGCATTCAAACCAACTGAGTTCATGACTCCTATCTATCTTGAAAATAAAGGTTTGACAATTGGTGCTGCTACTAAACTTATCTTAGCATATCCTCGCTTTCAAATTCGTGTGAGTGGGGACATTGAGCTTGGTGGATTTACACCAATTGAAGATTAATCTACTTTTAATCCATGTAGCCAGATTTATTCTATTTAAACACAGAACACATATATATATATAAAGAATTTAATTGATTGATTTTGTAGATTCTCTGTAAAGGAGTCTGGCCTTGTAGTCATTATGAAAATAAAAACCAGGGTTCACGTATAGTTGGGTACTTGGCAATCTTATCTATCAGATGTTGGTTTGTTTGCTTTTTATTCCCTGTTTTGATGAATTTTGTATTTGTGGTGTACAATGATAAAGAGACAACATTTAGAGTGAGTCTTTGAATAATTATGTAGGACACATCTTAAGCGGCCATAGTTTAGTGGTATAGACTATTGGCTAAGAAAGATGTCCCTGGGTTCAAATCCCAGGTTTGGAGTAGAGTTGACGCAAAGGAAAACTGGATCCCTAGTGGATTGTCTCAGACCACATGCATATGTCAGCTTCTCCAGGGTGTTGTGGATAGCATCTGCATAACTTGAAGTGCACCCCTTCTTTTGAGTACTTCCATTGCATCACTCTCCTCATTCATTGAAAGTTGTATCATGTAACTTTCATTTTTGATTCTTCCTTTCTTCTTTTTTTGAAGTGTACCAAAGCAAGGAGGTACTTTGTTTTCTAGGTTGGTTGATAGATAATTCAACGTACTGTACAATCTCAGAGATACTTCATTTCTCTAAAGATAAATTTTTATAATTCCCAAGCCAATAATTTATGTATAAATTTCTACATATACCTGAGATTCATTGAAATAGACAACCATAAAAAACAAACTTTACAGGAGAAGTAAAATAATGAGACCAATTCATGAAACATAACCAGATGACATTCGACAAAAAGCAAACTTCACAAAAGAAGTAGAATACAGCAATTCAAGTGAAATAAATCTTTGATAAGATCGTACATACAATGGTAGGTTCAAAACAAGGTCATATATGGTTAGTTGCGTATGAGAGGTCACCAAGATTCAAAGCCAGAAGTTCAAGTACTCACCTTAAGACCTTTCCTTTACAAGTATACAGACCCTTGATATAAAGAGCGCATCAATACTGGAGTAATGACCTCCAAGGCAGCCATATATATCATTTCGGCCTCTTCTTCTGCGTTTTGAGCTGTGGTCAAGATTTGAGTACGACGAAGGCGATCCTTGATCACAGCAAATGCCTTTTCAATCGGATTGAAATCCGGACTGTAAGGAGGAAGGTAGAGGATCCGAACCCCCATTCGAGAGCACAATAACTCGATATTACCACCATGATGAACTGATGCATTGTCCATGACAATGCAGCTATTTTCTTGAGGCCATGGATTGGTCATTGGAAGCTGTATAGGAAGGAAGATGGTCAGCATCCATTTAGTTGGAAGTATGAAAGACTATATCAATAGCTTACCAGATAGTCGGTCAAGAACATTTCAAAATCAGCTCAACATACCGATCCCTCCTGTACCATCAGAGCAAGGCAACCGCTGAGTGAGACCGCCGGTAATAAGCTATAACGGTTGGAGAACGTTGGCCGTAAAAGCCTTTTGGTGTGATGTCTGCGTTTTGCTCGTCCACGCTTGCGATGCAAACTACGTTTTGCTACTGCACTCTCATCTGTATTCACACAAGAAGGATGTCAGCTTGTTAGGATCAAATGAATCAAAATGAGATTACATACCTAGGAAGATCAATGTGTTGATTGGGATACCAGCCACTATGTGAAGATATTCTGATCGGATGTATTCAGACTGGTTCGGATGGACTGTGCGAGCAATCTTC